GCGATCCTCTTCGCTAGCCACTCCATGAAACATACTGTGCACATTACGGAAGTGATCTCCAGACCTTGGAATGGCGACGGCAACCTCGAGAATATTCGCCAGCCCCTCCCCAGCATCAACTCATCGTACGACCAACTCTCTCGTCAGCATCGCGTCCTTCGCCCCATTTAAAAACTATCGGCGCAATATAGCAACACTTTCCATCCCATCTCACTTGTGATGGAACATGTTGGTCAACGCTCAGGCCTTGGTAACAACATCTCCAGACTCACAATAACCAATCACGTTGGCCATTCAACCAAAGACGAATTGTGACGTATCACCTTTTGTCTGAACCTGGTGTAACTGTCGACTGTTGGAGTCGGCTCTCCTCCTCACAAAGGAAAATTGAACCAAGGTCTCCGCACACATCTCGCCATGCTCCGGCGCCCCGACTTCTCCTCTGTTTCTGAATAACTCCCGCCACCATCAGTCACCGAGAGAGATTGTTCGTAACACAGAACAAGGGGTACAGGATGACTACCGAGCACAACAAGCCTAAGGAAGCGAGCGACAGGTGCTTCGTCTCTCCCGCTGCTTCAACCATACACACACTCGCAACCCAAACGTGCCAAATGGAAATCCTCGGCCGGGTCCCGACCCTGGTATATCAATCAATCATCATAATATTCCTAAAGCCGACTCTTGCCTTCCCATCCACGCGGCCATGTCCAACAAACGGACAGCTGCGTGAGGTGCTTAAGGTGCTTAGCCGCCAGGCATACAACCAGCCGGCCGTCGGTCAGCCAGTCAATCCAGTCAATCTACCCTATCCATCATCCGGTCACCGTGGTGAGCAATCCATCACCTAGCCTGGACCCGGAGAAGACCAGACACCGGACGACGTCCCATCTTTGCCCATATGAGCAAGGTGGTCGGACCCTTCGGTGCCCGGAAATTTCCTTTTCACTGTGGACACTGCAATCCGACGATGAAACTTGCTAAAAAGCGCGCGACTGTGCTGAGACGCGACGCCGGTTTGTTCTCCGCAGCCGCGGCCTTGGAGTCCCAAATGTCCCCCGGCGCAGTCGCCATGTACACTAAATGAAGGAATGCTGACGTCGGGTGCGGGGCCCGCCCCAAGTTTCGACCGACCCCGGATTCCACGGTGCTTCGTCACTGTCCAAGCTGCGGTGCTGCGGTGGGAGAGAGGCGGGAGAAGCGGGGACGGTACCCATGGCCTTTTGCTTCTACCTCTCCTCTCGCCACTTGACTACCATGAAGCCATCCCATCATCAACCGGGTCTCATTACCCATCATGTAGGAAAAGGGGGGCTCCGGGAAGTCGGACACAATTACACATCACCTCCGAGCCGCCCGGTTCTGTTACCAACGCATTTTACGGGTAATGCGGGGATCGTCAGTATTTTTTTCAGGTATGTATAAAACACTGGAAAAATACTAGAAAAACCGGGGGCAAACAAGAGATGGGATGAAGATTTACATGGAGAATGGCCCGATTCCTACGTACCTTGCCAGTGAGAGTGTACACCACTAGGTACTGACAATCATCAATGTTCAGACGGTGCGAGGACAGGAATTACGCCGATTTGGTGGTGGGCAGTTGCGACTCTGAGAGTCGTAGGGAAGGAACCCTACCACTATATCGAGATACTGCGGTTGCGAGCTAAAGTAAAACCCCCTTGTCAGGTACCCTGCACGGACCACCACAGCCAAAGCTTCGTGGGCACTGTGTGTTCAACGACCTGACCCACGGGTTTAACTTACCCACCACACCATAGTATTGATCCCGTCACGGACCTCGCAGGCAAGTGTCACGAGAGGAGAGTCAAGTGATTGGTTGAGCGGTTGGCGTGTCTGGTTGAGTGCCATCACTGCCACAAGTGCACGGATCAGAAAGGCATTGCAACCACGTTGTCCCCTTTCTTGATCATCTCTTTCCCAACTCACTGCAGAGTTCATCAAAGTTTCCAGCTCGGCGGTTGAAGCTTTCGGGTGCTTCGTACTTACGATAGACCACTTCCATCCACTTGGCTTTTTGACCGGGCCTTTATCTCATCCGTTTACGCCGATTAAGTTGCCTTCAAGGCGTCCGGACCCCATCTGCGGTAAGCCGCTTTTCTCACACCGGTAACAAACTTTTTTCTTCGGGGTGCTATTCTTCATTTGTCTTTGGTATGGTCTTTTCCATTTATCATCATCACCCGTCAGATTAGAAGTGGCTATTGACATCCATCATTCCATCCATGGTCTCCTGCACGTCATTTCACACAACTGCAGTCTTCCAGAAGTCTGGGCATCACTATCACCATTTTCTAGGTACCCTTCTTGTGCCGTAGAGAGTATGTCTCTCCTTACTGTGCCCGACCCTCGCATTTTGACAGTCGAGGCTCAACTGAAGTGAGCTTTTGCTTACCTCTACCGCACGCACGGAGAGAGAAAAGCGAGATATGTCCATCTCCTCTCGGCATTACTGTTCACGGTCAGCCCGAATACCCTCCCTTTCAAACTGCGATATATCAACTTCTTTCGTTCCCAGGTTGATGATAAATCGTTTCCTTGGCCTTCAACATTGGCATCGGTGGTTCAAAGTGGATCATCAGGATGCCTTCCCACCTATCATCTTACACGAACGCACACAAGCATGAGAAACCTACACCCTCCAAGAGGTTCTCAGCTCAGCAGACATAGACCAATATTACCTCCCACTTCTTTGACTCCTTGAGCATTGGGCAAGCACATGTCAACAAATGTGATCCTAGGCGTGAGCGTCTCGAAGCGTGAGGCATCAAGGTGTTAAGGTGTCAAGGGCTCAGCGCAGTTCGAAATGGCCTCCTGACCCTGTCATTGGCTAGTGTCAGTATTAGTGGTCACCAACACCGACACCAACACCACCAACAAACTCAATCCGAACCGTTTCCTATCAATCTCACCATCCAGTCTGTCATTTATTGCCGTCCGCCGTGTGTCACACCTTTTCATCCGATCAACCCGATCTGCCCACCAACTTAGCCTTTACCAAACCTAGCTAGCATGTTCATCAGTGCAGTGGGTCAAGCCTAGGAGCCGGGCTGTGTCTCACATAACCTCTAGCGCGTGTGGTGTGGGTGGAGTGTCTCACCTCACCTTGATTACCCGTTCATGGGAGGGAAGAAGAAAGTGGCTGACTGACCGGGGATAATGACCAGTAGGTCTAGTGGCTACCTGTTAGACCTGTTGTGTGGTTACGGTTGGTTATGGCCGAGATACATATCTCAGTGTGAGTAGCCACACCCACTTACACCGAGCCACACCTTGAGATCCGGAGGCAAAACTTATTCCGTGAGGAGGAGGCCTTGATATTGGAAGTCCCATACCTACGGTACTGACAACACGTTGACTTAAACTCTAGGTGAGGCTTGATCCGGCGGAGGCAGGCGAGAGTGTAGTGTCAAGCGGCTGGCTGCAGTGGGTGGTTGTTCACTTGATCGTTTGACTACCTGACTACCTGGACTACCTGAATGGCCAGAGACCGATTTCTACCGTACCTACTGAATCACCAGACAAGGCGACTGGTTGTCCGAGCTTCTTCACCATGGAGGTTTATCTCTCGTCTGGCAGTCTGCTGAGCTTAGAGGTAGGTTAGGTGTGCCACACTCCCGGAAAGTCTGAGACTGTTCATCCGAGCCCTCCTGTCTCCCGTCGCTGTGCTTCATGCTCGGCGGGAAATCATGGAAGGCTATTATCATTTCATCAATGAATGCTCTGCTCTCCTACAAATCTGCGAATCAGGACTCAAGAGGCCGGCACGGTGCCTGAATGGAGAGGTTGTTCACTTCGCTAATCGGTGCCCTCCGTGTTGAGAAGGGTATGCCACACCCCGCGGAGCATCAGTCAGTCCTTCAGGCCAAGTCTTGGTATGTTATGGCCTGATATGTTTAGGCGAGAGCCTGCCTAAGCCTTTCAAAGATTGAGATTGAGAATGACTGGCCGACTGCAAGGCTGCTATCACCAAGCCAAGCCTCGTCTCGCATAAGCCTTGGCTGAGTGAGTGAGAGAGTTAAGAGGCTGGCTGCCTGGGTGAATGAATGACTCGCTAATCGGAAATGTTGGTCGAAAAGGTTTAGGTGTGGCACAACTGGGGACGGGAATTCTGAGTCAGTCGTCTTGTAAGTTTCACTCTGCCTGGCTCCTGATGATCAATGTGAATTTAACTTGCAAGATCGGCTGGTAGGTTGGAAAGGCTGTTATCTCCAACGAAACGCGCGTTCCGGTTCATCTGGAGACGTGAATCTTAAGATGAAAGATTCATCTTGGTGCTGGGCGGAAGAGGATCATCTGCTAACAGTCGCGGTGATCAATACATGCATTCATGGACGGCTAACAGATGAACGAAAGGAAGGGCAGCACACAAGAATATTGAAGACCGGCGAAGACAATATCACGGTTCGAGTTCAGTGCGAGTACTTGTTCATGTGAACGGTTTTAATCGCAATGAGATATGAGATACGATAAGAACATGCCTGTTTACTTTGTCAGGAGTTTTTTTTTGGAGACCGGCGAGGGAAAGGGTATATGTGAGTGAGCATGGGTTGGGTGTTCCCTTTGGGAAACCCGCACGTTAGTCAGATATGATACGTTATCTGAAGGACCAAGGACCGTTGGGATGGAACTGGTATAGCATACTTTTTTGCCAAATATTCTTGTGAGTCTTCTGTAGGGGCCGGCCGGCCGGGGCTTGTGGTTGGGATACTTGCGACGCTTAGCATTGGTGATACCCATATCATCTTTCTTCCTCTTTTTCTTTTCTTTCGGCATTTCCTTTCTTTCAACACCATGCGAAAGCCTGTAAGTATCCCCAAAGTACCTATCTTCTCACTCAACATCCTCTCTCTTCGGCTTCGGTTCACTCGGCAGCGCTGCAGCTGATCTCGGCTTTCCGTCGGCGTTTCATCTACATATGTACCCTCCTCAAGACCCCATACCCCATACGACCGAAGATCTCACTATCACCCCTTAGCATGACTCCCCTCACATGTTCAGCTGTGGGTGGTGGTTAAGGTTTTCCTCTTGTGACTACACTAACATCCAAACAAGGAAAAGCAGGTTTCGTCTGGGTCACTCTCGGCCCCAGTCTTCTGGGGTTGTTGCTCGGTCTCGGAGCATTTGAATGGCTTCCTTACCACGTGGGGTTTGAAATGGGTTATGTTAGTCTGACCCAGGCTCGCGAGAGATGGGTAAGAGATAGGTGGCTCTGAGACATTTGCTAACAAGGCTCCAAGGAATGTTCGTCTTGGAAAGTAATCTTGAATTCCCTTATGAGCTTGGGCTGAGCTTTCTTGGAGATCTTGTTTTTTTTTTTTTTTTTTAGAACCGGAGCGTCACCTCCAGCGGCCCCTCCAACCTCCCTCATCACCTTCATCAGAGATCACAGCGCAAATCGCCGAGTCGCTTAGTTTCATCGGCGACCTTGGGTGGTGATGATAGCTTTCGCGCGTTCTGGTGTGGTTGAGAGATAGGCATTGGTGGTTCCGGATCGGCCAAGTTTGGGTTTCCTCCGGTCTTATCCCGGCTTGCTAGGACTGCGATATGTAAGACAAAATGGATAGCCCGTCCCGGTGCTACCCTATACTGACCCGCTCCAAGACATTGAATCAAGATTGATATCGAGCATGTGAAGGCGTTATGAACAGCTTGAGAAGTGAGCAAAAGGAGCAAAGAAACATGTCGTCGATGGTGGATTCCCGGTTGCCCTGCACTGCATGCAAGAAGGGATCGCACAAGCTGCAACTGCAAGATTTAGCGCTGTGGTCCACTGATTGACAGTGATCCTTGGGCTGGGTTTCCTCGGGCTTCCACTGGGGTTGCTTGCGCTAACCTTTGTTGGTGTTTGTTGGCGAAAGACAAGTCTCAACACGAGAATCGTCACGGGGATCGTCACGAGTGAGACAATTTTGCACATGCTTTTCCCAGAATCTGACCCCAGCCAAGCCTCCTAAATCTGGAGAGAACGAACAAGCCCGTTTTGCCTGTCTCCGCGGAGCTGGGTCGAAAGATTCGGAGGAAGGAGGGACGGGATTCACGATTGTTGGAAGGAACCAGGGTGATTTGGTGTGATAGCGGGGTGTAGGATTCGAACTGGTGGGCTTTGTGATTGCCAAGAGGAAGGGCCTAGGACCCAAGAGGTGAGCGTTCTTTCCTCTGTTGCATCACATCGCTACGGGTTCTTGATTTCACCAATTCAACTCGAAACATTCGAAAAGATGGAAACATACGAATACACCGACTGAAAATAAGCTAGGAAAGAAACTAGTAACATCGGACTACGACGACACACTCACAAACATAAGCAAGAAAAAGTGACACAAGTCCAACTTGGGTGGACGACGACGACGACGTCCCCTAACCCAAGCCACCCAAGTGGCCAATTCCCCAGAGTCCCAAACAGCCTTGACGCGTTGCCCTTCTGCATCATCCCCGATCGTCATTCGTCCAAGCGGCCGAAGCGACATCATCGTCAGCATGCTCCAGCCAAGGTTCGGGCAAAGAAGTGAAGTGCGCTACTTTTGGCGTGAAGGGCCTACTTCACGATACTATCCCGAAAAATACCTAGCTATGCCGGGTTGAGGAAACCGGGAGTATCATTCAGTGCCGTCAGTCACACTCCCCTCACAACTTCCCCATGTCCTGCCTGCAATGCCATGGGTTGCCAACTTTTCGTTTCCCCGGCCTCACTCACGAGAGAATCTGGACCGGCCGATTCGGCGCCGATAATGCTCACGCCCGCAAATATTGGGCGATGAAGCTAACCACTATTTCCACCGTTCTCTACTCCCCGGTTACACTGTCGAAAACACGGAATAACTGCAAGACGGCAAGCGTGTGATAGAATCACAGAAGAGAAGGCAAGGGAAACCGGCATCACCACACCAACATCCCGCTCTCCATTAACAGCATCACAGAACTCTTGGCAACGCTCTTGGCATCAATAGTATTGGTCAGTCTACCTCGTCTCAGCCCGTCCTGCCCAATTCCGAATCATGCAGGCTTGAAGCAAGTAAAGATGGTTGCTAGGACGGATTGGGGCTGGTCGGGTCTGCCCTCTTTTTATTGGATGGAGAGATAGGATCTGCGAAAGAGCGACGAGGATGATGGTGATTGATGATGGCTGTGATGGTGGTGTGGTGTTGTGGTGCTGCGGTTTGAGGAGGATGGTGCAGAAGGGGATTGATCTCGGAATGCCTGAGACGGGACGGGATGAAGATGACGAAGCGAGGGGAACGGATGGGAGAGGGACTGGAGATAAGACTCAAAAGCTCAGTTTGGCGAGGCGATGACAGATACAGACGCCATTCGCGATGACGGACGGGCTAAAGACTGCGAGATGATGGACAAGCAGAAGACTGCGAATCTTCAAGTGAAGGTATTCCAATATTTTATCAGGTTGCGCGTACAAGGAAGTCTCCTTCGGCGCCCACTCCGCCAGAAAACAGTTGAGTGACATCTCGCCTACCACTACCCCAACCCGTCTCAGCGAAGCGAGCGGCGCCCCTTCAATAGAGTTCCTAGGTCACACCACTTCAATAAAACACTGCACAACTCCAAATCCGAGGTGATTAATTATGGGTTGACGATAACGGGAGACAGCAGAGCTTGTTAACGCGATAGCTCTGCCTCGTCACTTGGTCAGTAACATCCTACCTACCATGCCCGAAAGAAGCGGCTGAAGAAAAAGTGACGTTATCAGAGCAGCATTGCAGAAGGACTTGTCAGGATTTGTCCACTCATCAATCCATCCATACAATTCTGCACGTGGTTGGGCCCAATAATTCAGCCTCAGCTGCCTTGTTCTGTCCCGCGTCAGGCAGTTTCGTGAGGTTCTGTGAGGACTGAGGGGGAGACCGGACAAGATAACAGCCTCGCAGTCCAGAGCAACTGCAATATCGACGAGATAATTTACAATCTCTAACGACGCCGTTGATCGAACATCACAATCCGTGGCAGAAAAGTTCATGATTTCCGTTTTACTATCTCCATCTTGTTTCCACAGAGTCTCTGCTGCCGAGTATCCGTGATCATTTGAGTCACCAGTAACGACAATGAACAACGACACGCCACCACCTATCCCACCTCGTCCTCCTGGATGGGTGAGCAGCCCGCTCTCAAGCCCTGGGTCAGGACCGGGGCCATCATCTGCGAACAATGAGGCCCCTCCTCCTCTCCTGCCTCCAAGGCGACCAACGAACGAGGAGCAACCACCGGTTCTTGAGCGACAGTCAAGGCCATACAGCTACGTACCGCCGTCTCGGGAAAGTTCCGGTCAAAGCCCTCCTCTGCCGCCACGGGTGACTCGCCGGCCTGTTCCGCAGCGGGAGCCGGAGCCCCAAGCCTCGTCGTCTTCCTCATCACAGGCGCAGCCGCAGCCTCAGTTCTCATCACCGCAGTTTGAGCCATTCCAGCCACAACAGTTTCAAGCACCAAAGTTTGAGTTCAATCCACCGTTTCCCTTGCAGTCACAAAATGGATATCAGTATACCCCACCGGACTTTGAGGCTCTCAAAGCGCAGTACAACCAGTACAAGCCACCGGATTTCGAGGCTCTCAGAGCACAGACCGAAGCGCAGCACACGCCACCGGATTTCGAGGCACTCTTTGCACAGTTTACACCATATCAGCCACAACCGCAACCGCAACCGCAGGCCCAGACCTCGGGGCAATCTTCATCTCAACCTCAACCTTCTTCGGCTCAAGCGCAACCATCACCACAGTCACAGTCACAGCCGCAGCCTCAACCCCGAGCCCAGCAGCAACAACATCATCAGACCTTTCCTCCTCCCCCTTCCAACCCTCCTCCTTCATCCTCATTCTCCTACTCAGCCTCTAACCCCCCTCCTCCTCCACCCCCCACCTCTCCTCCTAGCAACAGAAACCCTCCCCCTCCCTCCAACCCCCCTCCCCCATCCGGCCCTCCCCCTTCATCTTCCAGCCCCATCCCCTACGACAAATGGACCCCCCTCTTCCAACCCAACGGCTCGCCCAATTTGATCTTCACAGCCCTAATGAAATCCTTCTTCGAGATGCTGGTCGCCCAGCAAACGCCCGAGATGAGACCGGCTAATGGAAACGGGATGGCGTCGGCGGTGAATGGACAAAAGCTGTTGAGCCCGGAGAAGTGTAGTGAGTTTTTGGATGTGCAGGGTTTCGCGGTGGAGCATAATGCTTGTGAGTATTATTCCTTTTCCTCTTCTCTCATTAAATTATGCGGAGACCAAAGGCACAAGTGGGAGGGACGGCGGAAAGGGGGTGGATAGGAAGAAAACAGAGGAAAGATGAGATGGTGTCGGAACGGAAGGTCAAAAGGGGGTGAAATGCTCAGCAAAGGAATGGAGAATGTTGGGAAAGGAGAAAAGGAAGGAAACGTCATGAGTATGACTACTTCCGATACCGGCACTGGCCTTCATGTGGCTTCATCTTCATCCTTTCCGTGAGGAGTCTCTTAAGCAAGAGGCTCTGATAAACGAGCTGGGACGTCAAATGATGTCTCATCGCTTCTCGTGGGCCCAAAATCGACGAGTATCTTCTGTGTGTTCATCGTGGATGCGGCTCCACCTCCTTCCTACCCGGGGAAGGCACGACCCCTATTGCGTCGCTCCTTCCCTACTCCCAGCAACCACTGCCCCCCTCTCTCCATATCGCTTCTTCTTTCTGCCGTGCGCATCCTCAAAAACTCCGACCCTTCCCCAAAGCTCACAACCTGGAAGCCAATACTAACTCCTCCCGCCCCCACACCCCAGGGAAACTCAACAAAACCCCCTGGTCAACCGCCCCCTCCGTCCCCGGCATCCCGGACCCCTTCGCCGCCTTAACGCCCCTCGACAAAGCCGACTGGGAATTTCGCACGATCCTCCAAGCCTTTGGCATCCACCACATCCCCATTCCACGTCCTCGCCCTCCCCCCTCTCAACGTCCCCCTCCCGTCTCTACAAGCCCCTTCATCCCATCCTGGTTCACGAACCTAATGGCCACCGAATACAAAGAAATCCCCGAGGGAATGAGAGCCCTAGGAGTCGGGCAAACCCCCTTCCTGACCGAACAGGGATTCATCAAATACATGGCTCTTGAAACGGCCGGGGAGCCGGACAGGGGGTTTGAGGGGTTGAATGCTGCACTCAGATACTATGGTAATGTGATGGGTATGGGAGGGTGGACGAAGTTGGGTCCGATCCCGAGGGAGATGTTCCCTGCTACGTGCCCGCAGGAGATCCAGACGGCGGTGGATTTGGCAAAGGCGAAGCATAGGCATTTGTGTGAGGATGCGTTGGCTGGGTCGAGGGCGTATTGTGAGATGGCGGCGCGGGGGAGGAGGTATGGGCTGGAATTGATTAGTGATGATAGGTATGTGAGGGTGGATCAGTATGGGAATAGGATTTATTGAGTGGCGGTTCTCTTGGGAGGGTCTAGTGTTGGTGTGTGTTTGTTTGTTTGTTTGTGAATTGGCGAAAGGGTTACTGGTGTGCGTTTGGCTGGATGGATATGTTAGGAGTTCCGGTGAAGACTGGATGACGGAGACGAGAGGAGAGATGATATGATGTGTACGTAAACTGAAAGGTACGGAAGGTCGTTCATGGAGTAGTGTAGGTAGCGAGACTGACATATGAGAAAACAAACTGGAAGTAGAAAGACCTAAACAAGTTGACCAGATGTCTCGAGGTAACAAACTTCTTCCTCGTCTCTTCAACTAGCAACTGAACCATCCCTCGAACCTCTGCTGCATTTGGTAGGCAAGCCTCGTTCATTTCAGTTGTTCGCAAATTTCATGCGAGAGGGCAGTTGCCCAAGCAACGTCCTGACATGAAATCGTATATCCGGGTTTCCATTGGCACATCGCTCCGCGGGAAGGTACATGGCACGGTAGTTGCTTTCATTGGGCGTCGGGTGGAAATTTTTAACTTCAACCCCTCTTGCTGATTGTCCTTCTATTTGGGAAGGTGCACTTGGGCGGATAGTTTGGCGGATTACGTATGCTATTATAACTTTTGCCTTTCCGATTTTCACGGCACTCCACCTCAGCTCTCTTCCTTCTTTCAGTCTGCCATCACCTCTCCCTCAAATCCCTCTTGACGGAGTAGCCGTTCTCTACCAGGCGGGGCTTTCACATCTCGTGCTGTTCAAATTTCCAGCCTGGTGTCGTTTGCCAGTCCTCCCAACACAGAGACAGCCAACCTCCCGGTTGTTCGTTCCACCATCTTTGCGTATTCCAAGTACCACTCGACACTCCTTCGCCTTCCACGCTTGTGGGTCTTTCAGCTAGCCGACCGCGAGCTATCAGAATAGGCGCCGTACTAGGTGATCCTGTCGCCAGGCGAAGAATCTTCCTCCTCTGTGCCAGGTCAGCATCACTTGAGCTCAGATCTGCCTACCAAAAGCCCGCTAACTCGCCACAGTATCTCAACAGGCTACCTCTTGGCTCCTGGACCAGAAGCTTTGATGCTCCACACAGAATGACCGAGGATCACCAAAAAAACAAACCCGAGCCGGCCGATGATTTGAAGGAGATCACCAATCAACCCAACTCTACGGCTCTGAAGGATAACCAGCAGCGGATGGCAGCGGTGCCAACGACTTATACCAGCGGTGGCAATCTTCTATTTCATGTCACCCAGCTAGCGACGGCCAGAAAAGACCACGTCACTTTCTGGTCCCTTCCCCGCGAGGTCCGCGACCTGATCTGGAGCGAGGTTCTCGGCTCCGAAGATGACATCTTCCAAGCCAACGTGATAACATCCGTCTGCCACAGGAAATCCAAGGCAAGAGCTCCTGCCCCTGCGAACGGGTACGAGACCCTCCGGCCTGCAAGAAGAGATGATGGCCGTTTCACCAGGACCACTTATGCCGATATCTTGCTGAGCAGCCGACCTCCATTACCGCTGGCCCATCTATGTCAAGAATCGCGCGCCTTTGCATTGCAAAAGTACGATGCGGCATACAGCAAGGCCAGAGGTCCGGACCTAAATCAAGAAAGGGGAAGTCGATTCCGATGGCTGTCCAGATACGCCGCACGTATAATGACAATCAAAATCCCAGACTTGGATTATAACGTGGCGGACATTAAAGTGCCTCTTGAGGAGGATGAGCCTTTGATCGTTGTCTGTTGGCCAGAACTAAATTATAATGGGCTACCACCAGGAAATCTGGAAACAGAGGTAGACCGCCTCAAATTAAATGCGTTGCTTGAGCTGCTGAAGAAGGCAAAGGATTACCAGATCATGATATGTGTTGACACCACATTGTCGGATCCCTTCCTCGTCGATCGGAACATAGCTCGGAATTGGGGAGTCTTTGCGGATCGAGCGTCTGGTGAAGACTTTGCAGAAAATAGAGCCAACAAAGTGAGTCCGAGGATATTCGTAGAAGTTGGAGATACTTTCCCTATGGTACAGCTTCTTCGAGACCTCAACAGGAGAGGTCGCACGGTGGACATGAGAGGGTTGGGCTTAAGTCGACACATCATTCGTGGGAATACCACATGGATGGCGCCTCGGATGGGTCTTCTCGCGCCCATAATTAAGAGTGGTTTCCTGCCGTACTTCACAGAAGATGGTTTTCGGCGTCTGGAAGAAGAGGAGCTTTTTCCCAATGGGTACAAATGGACGAACCTGAAAGACCGAGAGTGGTTGCAAAAGGCACTCTTGCAGTTTCTGGAGCCTTTCGAGAAGTTGTGGGCGGAAAATGTCAATGAAAAGGAAACATCGTCCCAGTCGCGGTACGGACGGATGCCTAAGATAGGGCTTGTTTTTGAGTATGACATTGGCCTCACGTGGTCTGCTTTTCAGCGTGAGATTGCTAGGGAACATCGATTAGCTTGGGGATAAAATTTGGTGATTGTTTGTTATGGCTTTACGTCAGGTTATCCCTCCCCTCTCACAGAATACAAATAATAGTCTCTTGTAAGCCGGAAGGCAGAGGATATGGCAGGTCGTCCTGGATGCTCATGGGTCGTAGTTGATTTGAACTCTCTCGTATGACACACCGACCTGGGACTGACTCCATGCGAGCATCCAGCCTGACTTGATACCACAACTTCTTGTTGGAGGATGATGCGTTGATGGGTAGTATCTTCAAGACACAGCATATCTAGCTATGTTTCTACCCCTTGTAAACGCTCTATGCGCAGCATGCTTGAACTTCTGACCGTAGACTCCCGTCTTCTTGGCCGAATTCCTCCACTCCTCCTCTGCCAATCCAACTCACGATCCCATTCTTTTGATCTGAGCGAGTCAACGGGCCGACTAAATATCACCCTATGTGGCCTATGACCCAGTAGCCTCCCGATAAAACGTCAAACTCCTATTCGCCCCCGCCGCCACAAACATCTCTCCCTTGCCCATGCCCGGCGCCAGTGCCTTCTCCGACTTTGGCAACCACCTCACGCACCAGAGGGCACTCTCGGTCTCGCTGTGTGTCGCGACACAGACACCCCTCGCTACATCCCACACTCTGACTTTGCCGTCCAACGATCCGCTCAACAAGTATTCGCCCGTGTCGTTCCAGTCGATCGAGGTGATCCACGCGGGACGGGTGCCGGTGGCAGATAGGTTGGCGACGTGCTCGCCGTGCTGCATGTCGTAGATGGCGATGATGCCTGCGTTGCCGGCGGCGGCGAGACGCTTGCAGCCTGGCGAGAAGGCGACGGCGCGGACTGGTTTTGCGAGGCCTGTTTTCGTCACCCGTTAGCAAGTCGTTTTCTCCCACTACCACAATACCCGTAGACAACCCCCTCAAAGCCAACGTCCACACCCAGGAGGAAACCTACCAGAAAGCGAATAAACCATCCTCCCCGCATCATTATTAAACACATACACCCCGCCATTCTCATGCCCACTAGCCGTAAACTTTCCATCCCTCGACAAATCCACCGCCATAGCAAAACTTCCCGTCCCTACACTCTCCTGCCCACCACCACCGCCACCACCACCTCCTGCACTGGCCCCCGTCTCATAACTCTGTATCTTCTCCTTGCCCACCAAATCCCACACATGAATCCGTCCATCGCTCGTCGTAGCAGCTAGATAGCCCTCGTCCGCACTAAGCGCCACAGCCCAGACATCGCCCTTCTCCTTTTTGTTTTCGGGTGTCGGGAGTGTCCAGTAGAGCGACCACTGATCGGATTCGGGGTTGCGGTGCCACACTTTGGTCTCGCCGCCGAAACCGACGGACACGAAGGTGTTGCCGGGGCCGCTGCTGCGGGCGGTGGTGACGTGGTGGCAGCCGAGACGGTGGGCGTTGGAGAGGGTTTGCGTGAGAGGGAAGGTGGGCGAGGTGGTGGTGCTGTGGATGAGCAGGTGGGAGGAGCCGGAGGCGGAGATGAGGGTGTTGGAGGTGGGGGCTAGGGAGAAGATTTCTGTTGGGTGGGCTGGAGGAATGGGTTGGTGTTAGTTGTGGCGCGACTCTCTCGTGAGGAATGGATGTTGCGAACGGCGAGGAGGAATTGATGGGGAAGTGACGGATGGAGGGGAGGGAGGAAGGAAAGCTTACCTTGGTCCACCGTGTGGAGGGTTAGGTATTGTTTCGACTGTAGAAGGGTTAGTGTTGAAGCGCGTTGACTGTAGACTTCGTAAATTCTCACCATTGTCACCTGTCCATATACGAGGCGATCGTAAAGTGGTTTGCGACAGGAAGTTGTTGCGGAAAGGGAAGTTGTTTGGAGAATGGAAGTGGTTCTGTTAGGTGTTGGAGACAAGCAATGGTGGGGCAGCCGCTGCAGCTTTCAAGACGTCACATCCGCGGTGCTAGCTGGGGTGCTCCGAGCCTCTATTAACAGGTACGTACTTATCCGCATATGGAATCCACCTTTAACATGGGACTAGTGAGAATGTCAACACGTGCTGTTTGATATTCCATCTGAAGGCGAATTTGGAGTTTTACTGGTTTGATTTCAAAGTCGTGGTATCGTCCGTATCCTGGGAGCGCTACCGGTGCCCTTCTCGTCGATACCGGCGCAGACACTTTTGGTATATGTACAAGATAGTATACATTGTCTCGTTTCACACATGGACACCTATATCGTACACAGGTGGTGTGTATCATGGGAGGGAAATAGCAACCAGTTAAGTGCTATTCTTCGCCCGGGCATTTTCACATGCCCTGATCCCATATTCCCTTCCTCCCCCCAACCAACATGCGCCGCTTAGTATGCCTTGGCGTTGCTACCACCATCACGGTCCATGAAGCCCTTAAGCTCTGTTGGTGTTCAGTCAGCATATCTCCCTAGCACCAAGACGGTATCCCAGTCCTTCACATACTTCCCAAGCAGTTGGAGCACAGGTGGTGCATCCTCTTGAGATTACCGCAAGCCGGGCACCTGTTGAGATGTGTCACATCCTTGAGCGCCTTGCCGGCCATCTGCCTGTGTCTCTTCTTCATGTGCGACGTCTTCTTCTTGGGCACGGCGCGCAGGATGCTCTCCCAGATGTCCTCGAGCAGCGACGGTATCGACGGGAGGAGCGAGATGGCGGCGGCGGGAACGGCGAAGTTGAGGGCGGGGACACCGAAGCGCTGTGTCCTGAGGGTCTGGAAGAAGGTCGAGGGGTTGAACAGCCGCATCGCGGGGGCGGCAGCAGTCATGGCGGCCATTTTGAAGATCGGTGATCGGGTTGCTGGGTATAGATCGATAATTCGAGATGGAGGTTTCGGATATGCGCAAAAAGTAATCGAGTTGTCGTGGCTTGTCCCAGCTGTAGTGTGTTCCCTCCCTTGTTCAAATTCCAAACCCTGCTGTGGCCGTCAAGGTGCTGTCTCTGGGTGGTCGGATCGCGAATCGGGATCGGTGGTCGGAGAGCGGAGTGTGATCTTGGACCAAAAGGTGCCTCTTCTGCCGGGGCCGAAAGTCGAGACTGGCACCGCGCGGGACGGCATCGTGGAGATCCACCCGTCTCAAAAAATTCGGGCATGGGTGACACGGACCATTCGAGGTCCCCCAGGTTGTGTTGTGTTAGTGCAATTAGTGCAGGCTGTGCAGCGCTCAGTGCAGCTCCTGCTAAGCCCAATCCGGGTGTTCCTGAAGCACTGACCCCACAGGGCCAATCAAACGAGCTGGGCGGCAAGGTGCGCCTGCCCCTTTCCCCGGGCTGGGAAGCTGAAGCTTGCTGTTGGAGAGAGCCAGTGATTCGCCTGATTCGCAGTGATTCGCAGTGATTCGCAGGTTCAATTTGGCAGTCGACCCCCAGCAGACCCCCTGGAAGGGAAATTGTTGTTTGGCAACGTGCAGCAGCAGCGACAACAGCGCAGTCAGGCAGGCCAGTCTGTAGAATACGGGGACGGGGAAAGCACCATCACGTTATTGTGTTCCATCTCCCGTTGCTTGTCCCCTAATTGCACTTTGTTTCATTTCACGACCACGTCCAACGTCCACACTTCTCTTCTTCCCGTCGTCCATCTCCAGTCCAACCCACGCCCTTCTTTCGACCGCCCGACAGCCATCATCTTCATTCGCTTCTCTTCTTCACAACCTGCTTTTTGGAATAGCCCCCAAGTTAGCAATCATGTCGACCATGGGCCCTGCCACCGTCCACCCCGAGACCCACGTCGGTTTCGACAGCATCACCTCCCAGATTGAGCGCAAGCTGCTCAAGCGCGGCTTCCAGTTCAATGTCATCTGCGTTGGTATGTCTTTGTCCCAATCAATGCCGCGTGAACATATACTAACTACCCCCAACCAGGCCAAACCGGCCTCGGCAAGTCGACCCTCATCAACACCATCTTCGCTTCCCACCTCATCGACTCCAAGGGTCGCCTCCAACCCGACGAGACCGTCCGATCCACCACCGAGATCCAGTCCGTTTCCCACATCATCGAGGAGAATGGCGTCCGTCTCCGCCTCAACATTGTCGACACCCCCGGCTACGGCGACATGATCAACAACGACCGCTGCTGGGACCCCATCGTCAAGTACATCAAGGACCAGCACTCTGCCTACCTCCGCAAGGAGCTCACTGCCCAGCGTGAGCGCTACATCCAGGACACCCGCATCCACTGCTGCCTTTTCTTCATCCAGCCCTCGGGTCACTCGCTCAAGCCCATCGACATTGTCGTCCTCAAGAAGCTGTCGGATGTCGTCAACGTCGTGCCCGTGATTGCCAAGTCGGACTCCCTTACGCTGGAAGAACGCCAGGCCTTCAAGGAGCGCATCAAGGAGGAGTTTGCCTTCCACAACCTCAAGATGTACCCCTACGACAACGATGAGCTTGACGAGGAGGAGCGCTCCCTGAACCAGCAGATCAAGGTGGGTTTTTGTACCTTCAGGAGGAATTAACAATAGCTAACGTGACACAGAGCCTCATTCCCTTCGCTGTCGTCGGTTCTGAGAAGAACATCATTGTCAACGGCAAGCAGGTCCGTGGCCGCCAGAACCGCTGGGGCGTCATCAACGTCGAGGACGAGAACCACTGCGAATTCATCTACCTCCGAAACTTCCTCCTCCGCACCCACCTCCAGGACCTCATCGAGACTACATCCCAGATCCACTACGAAACCTTCCGTGCCAAGCAGCTATTGGCCCTGAAGGAAAGCAGTGCGCAGGGACACGGTAGCAGGCCAATCAGCCCGGCTCCGGATCGCGAGATGAGCCGTAACTCTCAACGCATGACCATGAATGGCTACTAGGAGAAGCCCAAAAACAATCAATGAGGACAGCAAACTTGACGGAGAGTCGGCAAAACACTGCAGCCCCCCCGATATAGACGAACGACCGATACGCCCTCGGGGATTTGGGGGCAGAAATAAAAAGGCTTTGTTTGGGTCGGCAACAAGCGATGGCGCAAACGGGATGCAATGCGTTTATTCACTACTTCTACGTCTTGTTGGTGGTGGTTATTTCGGTGGAATGGACTTCTTAAACCCCCCTAATTTCTTTTTTAGTACCGGAAGCTCCTTCGCATCTCTGCAGCTTTGCGCCGACTTCTATCTTAATGAGGCCTTGTCAGAGCATACTTGAGGGCTAGATTCAATATTTTATGGAATACATACAGATGTGCTGAGAAGGCGGATGGGAGCTTCAAGGGGAGGTCCAAGGCAGGCAGTTTAGAGACGAGGTTCTTGGGCCAGCTTAATTGTAGCCATGTCGTTTTTATACAGATCTTCAATACCCAGCTTATTACGTACTTTCCCGGTTCAGTTCTCTTGACTTTGATGAATGTGCCTGGCAAGATGACCTGCTCTGCTAAAGAACAGCCTGAAAGCTCAAGCTGACAGCCCCGGGATGCCCCAGACTGACGTTTGACTCCGAGGGCTCCATTGCAGCTGTTTAAACTTGGCCCCACCAATCCACGCGTGCCATTCTCCAAAGTCGCGTCCCACTCCGGTGGATTTTCCCTTTGTCATTCCCGCATTCCCACATTTCCATCCCGACTTCTTTCTCATTCGCATGTCCATCATTCTTCCAGGCATCATGCGAGGATCTACTGCTAGCTTTCGATCTTGGACCCCAACCTTACATCCTGGAATCGCAAAAAAAAACACCGAACTTACTCGCCCATGATTCAACTACGAAAGTAAAATAAACATGCGCCCTTCATCACTGCCCACATCTTGCTCGCACTCGCCGTCGCAGTCGCATTCACATCGGTGCCATCCATAACCGGAACGGATACGGAATCATCATTAAGAAGGGCAACAAAGACGGACCCCAACATGGACCGCAACATGGACCCGGATGTCGACATGATGGACATAGACGATGACTTCTCCGACGACGAATTAGATGCTTATTTCCAGGCGCATGGATTGGATGAAGAGCTGGGACCGTATCGACGGGTTTCATCACAGCATCGACCACAGGAGCGAGTGGAGCAGCAATGGCAACCACCGCCGCCATCGGCACAACGGGAATTTGAATCATCCGACTTGGAACAGAACTACAGGGGAGGGAACTCCAGATGGAAACGGAAGGGCAAAGCCGACCGAGGGGAAACTGTTGGACAAGGGAAGGCTGTTGACCGAGGGGAAACTGTTGGACAAGGGAAGGCTGCTGTTGATGACGAACTAGAACTAGACACCTACTTCCAAGCCCACGGCCTCTCCGAAGATCTAGAACCGTACCAACCGGAAGATGATCGTCCTCCTCCTTCTTACCAACCCCGACCACAACGTCAGCCTCCTCGCAGCTCAGGACTGAAGAACTCCAGGTGGAAAGGAAAGGGGAATGCGGTTGGACATGGAAACGCGGCTGGGCTAGGGAATCCCGCTGGGTTTGGGAGAGGGGATGTGCTAGGGAGAGACGGTGGTGCGAGAGATGGTGGGAAAGGGAAGGTTCAAGCTTGGCTACTGGATGAAGGGGATAAGGATGGGGATGATGATGATGAAAGGGATGGGGAAGCAGTCTACCTCTACCCAGGCGCACCACCAGGCAAATCAGGCCGACCTCAAAGAGTGATCAGCCCGAGTCCCAGCCCCGACCCAACTCTTGGCTCCAGTCCACCAGTTCTATCCGGTCTCAGCATCCACAACAAGGACAACGATGACACTGCCCCCCCTGGTAACAAGAAAACCGCTGCCAGCCAAACGAGGGAGGAAGAAGGCCAAGGAGAAGCCGCTCCTATTGATGACCCCTACGACTCAGAAGTCTCCATCGCCGCCCGCCCCATCGTCTCGCACGATCCTGACTACCCTAATCGCCCAATTGATTCGGACGTCAAGGCTGCGCGGGGGGTTATCCGTCATGTGCTTGTGAGTGAGAAGTTTCCCGAGGTTTGGCCGGACCCGGAGGCGGAGGCGGAGGCGGAGGAGGAGGTGGAGGGGCAACAAAAGGCGGCCGAGAGCGGAAAGGTGGTGGTTGAGGGGGTGAAGGTGGTTGAAGGGCAGAAGAATGGCCCGGAGAAGGAGAAAGAGAGTAAGCAGGGGAAGCAGTTGGGCCAGAAAGCCTTGGAGAAAGAGAAGGAGAAGAAAGGAGCGGATAACTCTAAAGAAGAGTATACGGAGAAGAAGAAGGAAGTGGTGATTCCGAAGGGGGTGGTGATGCTCGTAAGGGGTATCCAATTCCTCAAGATGCCTCCTGATACTCCGAGTGGGTCGGAAGTTGAAGTTTGTTCGCAGTATGGATACGAGGGTGATTCACAGCAGCGTGGGAGTAGTACTCCCCCTTCAGAGTTTTGGAGTGATGAGGAACTTCGTGCACATGGCAACGAAGGTCAGAAGGTGTACGAGGAGGAAGCATATGTTGACGATCCTTCCGGTGACCACACCGGTTACTACAGCGAGGAGCACGAAAGAGTGCGAGACGACGACGACGACAGTGAGCACAGCGTTGAAAGACCTTGGAAGGAACTACCTCAACAAGAAATACAAGAAACAGATCTCTCGGCATCCAACAGCCAACCCTCCTCCACCAACAACGACTCCGACATCCCCATGACCAACGCCGACTACCTGCCCCCACCATCCAGCCAAATCCCACCGCCACATAGCCAACCACATAGGCAATCCCAATCCCAAGTCCAATCCTCCATATCCCTTAAACGCACCTGGTCCCAACGCCAGGACCACGACCACCCCTCATCCCCCTCATCCCCTTCAGACCCAGACCCAGACCCCTATCACGATGACCTCTACAACCAAAACCTCCCTCCGCCACTGCGACCTCCCAGTTCCTCTTCTTCCTTACCCTCCCAACCGCCCACCGGCCCTCCAAACTTACTCATCCGTTTACTATTAGACGACGGAGAGTTCTGGGTGCAAGCTATTTTGAGGCCGGAGTTCCACCATTTAGTGTTGGGGTATGATTTTGATGAGTGGGCTTCTGATTCTGATTCTGAGCCTGAGGATGATTTGGAGGAGGGGGAGGGAGGTGGGAGACCGGGAAAGGAAGAAGGGAATGCGGGGAAGGGGAAGGAGGGAGGAAAAGAAAAGACACGGGAAGAAATAGCCAAGGAAGAGGAAGAGAGGGAGCAAGAGATGCAAGAAAAGTGGCAGACAAAATGGGAGGAGAAAGCGAGAGGGGAGGTGAGGGAGGGGATATATGTTAGGTTGGTGGGGGAGGTGGTGGTGGAGTTTGAGGAGGTTGATGTTGATGATGAACTTCAGCCTCAGCCTCAGCCTCAGCCGATGAAGAATGATCAAGGTGTGAGTAAGGGTCAAGAAAAGGAGAAGGGCTTTAACGAGGTGAACGGGAGGCAGGCCGGAGGGGTCGTAAAGGGGGGAGTAAAAGAAAGAGGGGAAAGGATGCATATATATGACGATGGGATTGGTGATCCGGAAAAGATGGAGAAGTTGAAGAGGGAGGCTATGGAGCGGAAATGGCTGGGGAAGGGGAAAGAAGACGAGGGACTGGCGAAGGTTGAAAATGCTGGGGCGAAAACCGAGGTGGAAAACCCAAAGACAGGAAAGATGGTCTGTCTGGTAGTGGGCCACATGGTTCCGGTTGGATGGGACAGGAAGTACATGAGGGAGATGAAGAAAGCACAACTCAAGGCTATGGAGGAGGAGCTGGGTCCAGACTCGGAAGTTTCATCAACAACCGGCGATGAGATGGATGTGGATACGAAAGACGATAAGTCGAAGAAGAAGAAGAAGGAGCCTGTAAAGCAAAAGCCTTGGTGGATGGAGACTGGATATAGGGCGGAATTGGAGGAGAAGAGGAAGAGAGAAGCGCAAAAGCTGGCAAAGGAGGTAAAGGAGAGGGAGCATATCTCGGACCAGAAATTGCAGAATGCGGCCGTCACTGAGAACAAGCGCCCGGATCCCAGAAAAGTCCTTCCGCCAGAGTGGGCAAATCTCTCAATCTTTGAGGTGGACAGACTCCTCAAGGAATGGGACAAACAGAACAAGCCAAAAGAGCCAAAGCCGCCAAAGCCACCGAAACCCGTCAAGAAGCCTATCATCACTGCGAGACAGGCGCCGCAGTTTCGATCGTCCATCACTGCGCAGGAAATCTTCCAGCTGCAGAATCCCGATCGAAAACCACCCACAAAGGCACCTGGACCCGTTTACTTGGCAGCTGAAGCTAGGGCACTTCGGGGACCTCAAGAGGTTCGTCAAGCTGCTATTGAAAACAATCAGCAGATTCAGAGGAAGATTAAAGAGCTTCCACCAAGGCCCCAACCGCGACCGCAGCAGGAACCGGGGCCTCGACCTCATCTCCAACCTCATCCATTGTTACAGCCGCCTCAGGCTCGGCCTCAGGCTCGGCCGCAGGCACAGGTACAACCTCATCCACAACCTCAGCCTCAACTGCGACCTCAACCTCAGCTTCAACCTCAACCACCTCGACCTCAACCCCAACCCCAACTACCACCGCAGCCTCCAGCCCGGCCACACTTCCAACCGCAAGCACAAGCTCGGCCACAGTTCTTACAGCAGCAACCACCACCAAAACCTCAACCACAACCACAACCACAAGCTCAACCTCAACACCCACCTCGTCTTCCCCCTCAACCTCCCCTCCCCCCTCCCAAACCCAACCCGCACCTAGCCACCGACCCCACCGTCCCCCTCAAACTCTGCTCCCTCCGCCAAATCCCGCACCTCCCCTACGCCCAAAACTGGATGGTCAACGTCCTCGCAGTAATCGTCTCCATCTCCGACGTCGAGCCCTCGCCAATGCCACCCACCTACACGCAACGCATCGTCCGGCTAGCCGACCAGTCCACTTCCAAGCTCGTGCTGTTAAACGTGTTTTTGGATGCGGAGGAGTTTAATCCTAGGCCGGGGGAGGTGGTGCTGTTGATGGGAGTCAAGAATCATCGGTTTGAGGGTGGGTGTTTGAAGAAGTATTGGAGTGATCGGCCGCCGGAGGGGTGTAAGGTGGGGTGGTGGGTGGGGGAGGAGGTGTTGGGGGGTTTGGAGTGGTGTAGGGGGGTGGTGGATGGGTTGAGGGGGTGGTGGAGGGAGAGGGAGGAGAGGGAGAGGGAAAGGGAGGAGGAAGGGGAGAAGAGAGAGGGCGATGGTGGTTGAACAAGGGGAAGAGGACAAAGAGGGTGCTGGTTGAGGGGGTTTGTTGAGAAATGCAAGGAAATCACTGGTTCTTTGGCATAAATGTCGACTTCTTCACTTCGTTGCTTCCCGTCCTCACTCGCGAACCGTCTTGAATTTCAGCTTGGCCTGCTCTGCAGCTTCCACTCGGTGTGTCGAGAGAAAGTGGGTGGGATAAGGACAAGGAGAACGAAAGAACGAGTGGGATGGTGGAAGGGAGGAAATCGTGAATGGACGTTGCGTGATGGGCTCCGTCTCTGGCCTTCGTTGGCAGGAATTACCGGGATGTTACTGAAAAATGAGGTGGTGAAAACCTTTCGAAGCTTGAAAGGAGAAGGTGCCTTCCTTACTCATGTCCACTAGGCCTTCCGTTTTCTTCGCAGGTCATACCGACCCATCGTTTGTTCCCGGATGATATAAGCCTTGCAATCTCCCAAAGCATCGCGCGGTTCAAAGGGAAAGAGCCGCCTTGTCTTCGGTCTGTGAAGGAAGGATCTACCAATATCCAGCTGTCACGCATTCGTTGCCCTGGATGAGGTGATGAGCGAAATCACATCCATCAATACGGTCGAACAGTTTTGCAAAGGACAGAATCTTCGTGACATCGCAGGTCAATCAGATCATTCAACAACGATAACTGAACTCTTCCAAGCCCGTCAACACCATGTCTACGCCTTTATTGGGCCCATCTTGCCCTTATATTCCAGATTTCCCTTGCTCCCATAGCTCGTTTCCATCATGACAGACACAGACATCTCCACATCTTCGTTCTTCACCACAAGCTCTCCAACAAAACCTCAACGACAATGTCTACACCTCGCAGCACCCGTCCCCTCCTCATGCCCCAAATCGCAAAAATCATCGTGGGCCATCTACAGAATCCCGCAGATCTCAAAAGCATTTCGCTTGTCTGCCGGTCTCTCAATGCTGCCGTGCGACCCCATCTTTTTCGGTGCCTGATTTTCCCCAGATTCGAAGTGTCGACGCCAGATCCTTCCAAACCTCTTGCCTACCCACTCAGCCTGGACTACACTCACGACGGAAACCCCGGTATTGACTGCAGTTTTACTAGACTTGCGCGCTCTTTGACAATCCCCAGAGACATAGCAGCTGCCCATATACTATCGGTTGGAAAATTGCCCAGGGCCCAGGAAATAGCACGGTATCAACTCGAGTCTCTTCCAGTGTACCGAGCCATTAGATGGTACTTGAAACGCACACCTCTTCTAGAGCACTTTGAGCCCCTCGGTGTACCTCGAATAGTCCATCAGTTTCTACTGTTGTGGGACTGCGTTCCCAAAATCAGATCGATCAAATTGGAGGCAAGGGGAGATGTTAGAGAGGAGCAATTCGTAGACTCCGTAGGCAGAACCTGGGCTGAAGATCGGCCGGAATGTGAGTCCTAGAACCCCAGTCTTTACATTCCATGCATACTTCACCTTGAATATGGATAAGTCCTGACATATGTTTGCCACAGTCATTGAAACCCCAGAATGGTCTCTTTTGGGAACTCGAACCTATATCGTACCAGCATCTCGTCTTAGCTTTCCGCATCTTACTATTCTGGCTTTGCATGGGATTCCGTTCGATGAAGCTCGGCGCCGTTACCTTGCTATACGAACACCCTCAACCAGACTCCGGGAACTGGTGTTGTTGCTCAAAGGTACGCCCCATTTAAGTTGTCTTGAACTCAGTACCAGCGTTCCTGGCGTCGAAGGGGAACGGGGCGCACTGATGCAAGTACTTTGTCACGACTATGACCAAGCTGGAGGCAAGATTCTTGAGAAACTGCGATATATCAAGCTCGGAAACGGTTTTGAGCTATATTTTCCGAAGGAGCCCGACCCCGAGTACTATTATCTTGACCCTGCACAGTTCCTGGGTAATCTGCTGGATTTTTCTAGACTTGAAGAGCTGCACTTACAGTATGACGACTGTCCAGTTGATCTCCCACCATGCTGCCAACCAACCTTCACCGCTGTTCGTCTTACTTTCAACACCCATATGGCGAGCAAGTTGATTAACCCCATCCGTCTTCCCCGCTTGCGAAAACTTACATTGCCCTGGGCTGAAAGCTACACTTGGAAAATGATCTCCGACTATTCGGGATTTGCCCTGAAACAAAACCTGGTTGTTCACTTCTTTGATGAAAGTCATCTTCATTTTCGTAAATCGAGACCACGCGTGGGTCCATATCCATACTTATGGCGTGGTTACAACGGGTTCTGGGTATACCCTTTATCCGGCTTGGTCCTGCCAACAAGCAGCATGTCCCGCCCGGAGGATGACTTTTCTAGTCCCTTAAGGATTGCCACATTGAGGTTTTTCAAAACAATACTTCCTCCTTTGTGTACATTTCGTGGGTTTTGTCCCTATGATGAAACACGTGACAAATGCCAGACCAACATATCGAACATTAACATGATTAGCTGGCGCTTAAGACGTATCCGAAACCTCCGGGAGCTTTGGCTCGCGGGAGACAGTCGCCACGAGCCACACAAACGTACGGTTGAGCACATCCGATCCCATCACAACTTACAAATTGAGCATTTGGCCATGGACTTCATCCAGCGATTTCGTAAATTGGAATACATCAGGATCCTGGACCGAGCATGGCGGATCGCGAGGAGAGATGATGCTGACGACGACGACAACGACAGCGAGGAGGAGGACGGGTGCTCTTGTGACGATGATGTGGAAGGAGAGGAAAGAACGGAGGCAGTGGCGCGGGAGCTGAGTCCCTGGGAGGTGGAGAATGACATACCGGAAGCGTTCGATTACCGCACGCCGAGTCTATTTAGGGGGAGGCAGTACTGAGCAGGTGTCACCTTCCTCTCTTACGAAGGAAGCGGTGACGTTGGGGTCCAGGTCATCGCACACTTCTCCCGCAGCTTTGAGGTATCTCAGTACCGCCCAGGTCAGGTGCTACATGAGAAGCGCGTGGGGGAAAGGAAAGAGGAGATGATAGGGAAGGTAAGCACTCGTTGACCGGGCTTCCTCCAGGGGGAGGCATTGGCGCGGCACTTCCTTATGGGAGGGAAATCGGCTTGAATGCGTCGGAGAGAGCGGTTCTCTGGCTGATGAGACCTGCTGCAATAATGGCCGACCGCATTCACAAGAAGAAGGAGCGGAATCCTCACGACTTCTTCCCCTTCCGCTGCCTTTGGTGCCTTTCACATTCGCTCACTGCATCTTTGTGCGTTCCGTGTCGTTTAAAGACCCTGAGCAAACTTCCTCCCTCCCAACAGCTTTCGGTTTCTTCCCTCTGACGTCTCCAAGTGAACAATTACCCACGAGTTTTTCAACAGTCATCACATCATTTTCCAAGAGACATCCTTTACACCAGGCCATTTACATCACTTTGCCAACAATGGATGATAAGACGAAAACCAACCAGGACAAGGCTGCGATAAACAGCATCCCTCACATCTTCAACGTCTACGATATTACGTACGTCATCTTCGAGCATATGGGCCACACCGCGGATCTCAAGAATGTCTCCCTTACTTGCCGGGTCCTCAATGCAGCTGTGAGGCACCGCCTTTTCCGTTTCATGACTCTGCCTGGAGCTGCAATTGGGTTAAGGGATCCAAAACACTACAACATTCTCAAGGGCCTTTATCCTGCCAACGGCTTCCAGAGGGTTTCCGATGCGCTCTCTTCTGCGAGATCGCTCAGTGTCACGACGGCTCATCGCCAGCGCTATACCTTTCACTGCTCCCCAACCCTTACGAGACGGATGGGGCCTCGATGATCTTGAGTTCCTGGGGCAATGCCACGAGATCTACGAAGCCACCGGGATCATTCTAAGTCATGCCACGCAACTCCAGCACTTGGAATTCACCGGTTTCCATCTGTGGTTGAATGTGTTGAAACTTCTCCACATGCGTGAAATCAAGGAGGGTTTTTGCAGCATAGAGTCTATCGAGATTACGCGGCCCGGGAAGCTTATAGATGCTTTAATTTTTACCGAAAACGGTGAGCTTCATTCATGTGTCTTTGTACGGAAAATGGCATTGATACTGATCTCAAACCCCAAAACGTAGTACAAGTGGACAGACACCTCGTAGCAGACATGTCTATGATGGTCGGCGTAAAAGGCCGCGTCATGCCTGAATTCAATCTTCGTTGTCTTACAAATTTGGCACTGCATGGTCTCCAATTCCAACCAACCGCTCAAAATAACACGGCTTTGTCACCATACCTGTTACCATTAGTAGTGCTACTAAAAAACGCGGAACAGTTGCGATGCCTTGAACTCTCGACTTATTCCAACCACCGCCACCTGACTCGGGATCGAGCACTTGCAGGAGGTTCAAGTTTTCATCCTGCACATGGTCAGATGATGCGAACGCTCTGTCTCAACCACAAACAAGCAGGAGCATCCCCATTGCAACACCTTCGATACCTCAGACTTGGTCCTGGCTGCGAACTGGACTTTCGAAGATATAACCTGCCAGAGACATATCCTCATTGTTTCTTACCTTACTTGTTCACCTTATCAGGTCTTGTTGAACTTCATCTGGAATCTTCTTGTTTAGGACAGGGGACCTTTTCAGGGTATGGTACCACCCCAGCTAATGCAGCTAAGCTGTTGATAAACCCATCTTGTCTCCCCAAACTGCGGAAACTTTCCTTGCCATGTAATATATGGCACTCGTGGGGATCAAATAACACGGATAGGAAACTGGCGTACACTGTCGAACAAGCGCTCACAATGCGGTTCGTGGGGTATTCGCCTCATCGAAGATTTTTTAGGCTCTTCGATATGCCCCCATTATCAGGCCTGGTCCTACCGACTCCATATATAGACCTCCAAGATATCTATAGGATTGAAGAGTTACAGCGTATAAAGGATCTAAAATCGGTCAAAACATTACTCCCCTCTCTATGCGAAACTGCCGATGGTAAATACACGCCACACTACGGGCAACCACACCAGATCAAACACCCATGGGAAAATGAACCAGACCTGCCACGCAACCTTCAATACATCAATTTCTTACTAAAGGAGCTCACCAATCTTCGTGAAGTATGGCTAACGGGGGATTGCGGGGCCAACTGGAATGTCTCGTGGGAAGACGCTTATTGCGAGTACAGAAAAATGATCCGCCACATCTATTTACACCACGGCGATCAGATCGAGTACGTGGCCACTACATTCTTTCAACGGTTTCCCAAGCTGGAGTACATTCGAATTCTCCATCGCGCATGGCGGAGAGCGAGAAAGGACAGGAACAATAACGGGGAAGCCTCGGGACCAATTCGGGAGCTCACGCCATGGGAAGTCAAGAACGATATACCCGAGGCCTTTGACTACCGCACCCCGAGTCTCTTTCGAGGACGGCAGTACTCCTGAGTATAGAGTACCCTTGCTGCGAGCATTTTACTTGTCTGTCTTTGCACTTTCATTAGACTTCAATGGCATTATTATTTGGGCGGTATAGTCTGATACTGGTTTGTTTGTTTGTTTGTTTGTTAGCACGAGACCTCGGGTCAACTTCCCTAGGCCTTTTAACATTTAACTGATTCGTTTCGTTCTATGATCAAAGCGTAATTTTACCTTGAATATGCCATTTTCGAAGTTCAATATGCCATATCGAATCTTATTAATGCCTTTTCGATCCGTACTTAGCCATTCAATTTGTCCTTATGAGGTTTGGGACAATTCGGGATGGATATTGTCCAATATACCAGGAGTACCAAGCTAACAAACAAACCAGCATTGGACTGTATTTCGATCCTTTCCTTCACCTCACAACCGACAACTTTCTCGACTCTCCAGGCACATAGCTACCTTACCTTCTTAAGTCGTATCAGGCGTCTTCCAACCACGACACCAGCTCGGTATCAAGGCATTGTATACACAACGTACTGCTCGTATTCGAGAGTTTCTTGCTTCATTATCCCTGGATGCTCACCTCTACGGACATACGAAAGCGGTAGGTGACAGTGGTCATGACTCTGTACCTACTTGTTGATTATTGCATAGGTACCTTTCACGATGCGGTGTTGCAAGCACGAGCCAGGCCGAGCTGCTCAATGACACAACACCAAGAATCAGATGCAGATGCAGAACCTGGCATTGGAAGGAAGTATCAGGGAAGCATGAGGAGAAGGCTACAGTAGCAGCATGGCCAAGAGGAGCTATGTAGGTATGGCGATTGTCGGGTTACAATGATGCGAAAACAGCGATGGGGTTTTCTCAGTGATCGAAAACGGGAGACAAATGACGACATTGCTGTTATGGAGTCAGAAGCCTGGAGCTTGGGGCATGGTGATGGAGTGTCTCGAGGTGGCATAATAATGGGCATGACAAAACGCCAAGAATGGGTGAGAAGTGCTTATAGATCTCGGAGACAGGCTATCCATCCAACTCACCGAGTGAGAAAAAAAAAAGAAAAGAGTCAGAAAAAAAAAAGAAGCGGTTGGAAGAAGGCAAGAACGATATCACTCGACAACAGCTTTTCCAACATCCAAGAACCAATGTATTATGATAGATAGCGATTAAAATACCATCCACGCGCCTCACATCACCATGCTTCGCAATGTCACCGAAGCAATGGCACAAAAACATCTAACCCGCTGCCAAGCACCGTGATGGCCAACAATTTCCATTCTCCACGATGCAAAAGCGGGAAAGGGGAAGGACGAAGTGGTTTCCACCTTCCCCTTGCAGTAGGTCCCAAGACTGTGCAGAAACGAAGCCTGGGCGCTCCAACTGCCGACCCGATCACACCAATGTCACCTCGATCTTTTACTGCGACTTGAACTGTTCTTCTTTTCCTGGTTTCCCAGTTTGCTTCTCGGCCTTCCAACATAACAGCAACAGCACTGCCCCTCACCCCTCGCCCCTCGTCCCCGGAAGACGGAAGACGGAATCGCGACGGACGACGGACGGAGGAACAAGACCCCCACATGTTTTCTCGGCATCCCGGGCAACGGGTTCGGATTCGGAAGGTCGACGTTTTGAGAGGGGAGACGGAGGGTGGTAATGCGACGTCTTGGTATGCTTTGTGGCACCTCGCGAATCATGAGCTCCCGAAATGGGATAATGACAAATCCCATTGTAAGGCTGCACGCGAGCTGGTGAGCGGCAGATGCAGAAATTGAGCGAGCGGGGACCTGGATGGCCCGTGGCGGATACGACGAGGTTATCGACTAGGTATCGGGACGGCGCGCTGGGCGCCACGAGGTCGCGTGGGTAGTGGAGGGGAGGGAGTAGGGAGGGGGGATGTGGCAACGCTGGGATAAGAAGGAGACGCAGGTTGGGAGAGCAAATGGCAGAGGTTGTGGCCAAGGTTGGATATGGCGACATCGCTAGTGTTGGAGATGTTGCGTGCTGGAGGGAGGTTACATGGTTCGAGACTGGAAGAAAGCAGCTTCCGCAATGGAAGAGTGATAGACAGGAACAGGAACGGGACGCCAACATGACGATCGAGGAAGAAGTTTTGTTCTGTTCAAGACGGTGATGTGACTGAGAGAAATAGTATAAAGACTCTCTCCACCATCATCAAGATCGTCACCGTCAGTTCCCCCAGCTCAGCTCCTCACCCCCATCACTTACTCCTTCATTCCTCAGTCTTTCTCTCTCATAACCTCTGTCACAATGAAGACGTCCATTTTCTTGGCGGCCGTCTCGGCCCTCGCCGGCACCGCTGCTGCCGAGTCCATGGCCCGGCTGAGAGAGCTCAAGATCGACACTTGGGCCCGCCAGCAGGAGGTCGGCGCCTTCGACATCGACCGCTACCAGGCTACTGCCGCCACTTCGTGCGTCAACGGCAAGGCGGGCGAGTACCAGTGCAGCAACGTCGACTTGAAGGGGTTCCTCCGTCATCAGGACATGGGATCGTCGACGAGAAAGGGGAATGACATCTGGGGTGAGTAGTTCCCCCATCTTCATCTGAACCCGAGCCCGAGCGTGATACTGATGATGTATGTGACAGGCTGGACCGCCCCCAACGGCCGTGAATTCGCCACGGTCGGCCAAACCGACGGCACCGCCTTCGTCGAGATCCTCTCCGACGGCTCGCTCGTCTACCTCGGCCGCCTGCCCACTCAGACCACCTCCTCCTCATGGCGCGACATGAAGGTCATCGGCAACCACGTCTACATCGGCTCCGAAGCTCGCGACCACGGCCTGCAAGTCTTCGACCTCACCAAGCTGCTGACCATCTCCCCCTCCTCCCCAAAAGTCTTCTCCACCTCCTCCGACCTGACCGCCATCTACAAAGGGCTCGGGTCCTCGCACAACATCGTCGCGCACGAGGAGACCAACATGATCTACGCCGTCGGCACCGCCACCTCGGCCGGCTGCAAGGGCGGTCTGTTCATGGTGAACGTGACCAACCCGGCGTCGCCCGTCAAGGCCGGCTGCTTGTCGGCGGGCGGCTACGTGCACGACGCGCAGTGCGTCATCTACAAGGGCCCCGACACCCGCTACACCGGCAAGGAGATCTGCTTCAACTTCAACGAGGACACGCTGGATATTGTTGATGTGACCAGCAAGTCCAGCCCCAAGACCCTGAGCTCCAAGACGTATACCGGCGCGAGCTATACCCACCAGGGCTGGTTGGTCGATAGCAGCATGAAGTACCTGTTGCTGGATGACGAGTTGGACGAGTACTATGGCGCGGGCAAGGCGTCGAATAAGAGGACGACTACTTACATTGTTGATATCACTTCGCTCACTGCTCCTGTTTTCACCGGTACCTACCAGAGCCCGGCTATCTCGATCGATCATAACCAGTATGTCGTCAACGGTCTCAGCTACCAGAGCAACTACGGGTCTGGTCTCCGCATCGTCGACGTCAGCTCCATCCCCTCCAAGCCTGACGGTTCGGGATTGAAGCAGGTCGGCTTCTTTGACTGCTACCCTGAGGATGATAGCCTCGGTGGCCAGGCCGAGTTTACGGGTTCTTGGTCGGTGTATCCCTACTTCAAGTCGGGTTATCTTCTCCTGAACAGCATCGAGCGCGGTGTGTTCAGCTTGAAGTATACTGGTGCTGGTGCTGCGTTTTCGGCTTAGGTTGGTCGTGAGGCCTGGAACTAGGTCTGAGTGAATGGGAAGCAGAAAGAACTGGCTGCTGTCCAGGGTCTTGGGGAGGGGGGTTGTCAATGGGTTGGAGGTTGTTTTGGATGGACTGAATGACTTATTGCATGTGCGAGAAGCGCATGATAAATAAGTTACGATTGAAACACCGAGACTGAATGGACCGTGACTGACCTGTGTGAAAATGTGGTGAGTTCCGAGTATCCGTAAGGCTGTGAAAGGAATCAGATCAACCTTCTCTGGCAGTTCTGTTTTGTGCATGTCTGAGCAACAAGAAGTGCAAGAATATTTCTGCTGGCATGTCTACACCCAAGGGCCAAGCAAGACATCTGCCCCAAATACCATGGCCCAGCAGGGTCACACACCAGGCCTAAGGCAAGTGAATCAGGAATTCTGAGCCCAATAACGGTGAAATGAAAAAGTTCTCGTCAAGTGACATTCGCCATCGAGCAGCGAGCATCACCACAACACCATGGGTCCGTGTGTGTTGTTGACTTTTCGAGAAGGGGCAATGGTGTAGACTGCAGGAGTTCGTAATCCTCGTTTCCTTGGCGATGAATATCAGATAGCAACGGGTTTCGATAACGTGGTTAGAGCTAAGGAAATCTGGGTTGACCGTATCCCACGAAAGGCAGTGCGGGTCACATTGTCCGGGCAGGAACAAAGGCGGAGAGAGTGGCGGTCATCTGTCAGGAACAGGAATGCCACGCGGCCTGGATATGCCACGGGGGAACAAAGGATTTGAAATGGAACAATGGAAAGACAGAATGTTGTCTATAGTAATTGACGTCGAGATTGTCAAACATGGCATTGCGGAAAGGGAGGTACAGCAAGAAGCTGGAATGTCGTTCCACCAGGGGTAGGGGAGTCGTGATAATAGGGAAAAACGAAAGTCTGCTTACGGCCATGTCGTTGAGGCGGTAGGCTTGACTGATTGCTCATCGGTTAGCGGTCGCTATCCGTGCAAGCCGCCCGTCCGTTGTCTGAGAACTTGGTCGTTTGCTCATATGCAATCGCACGAAAAACCCGATGAACAATCCCGAGTTCCTTAGAGCTGACACGGGATCTGTTGACTCTGCCGCTCAGATAGGAATAGACAGGTGCTGGTGAAGGAATGGTCAGCTTATAATTGAAACTTGGCTGCTCCTGGCACGAGTCAATACCCATTGTCCCAGATGGAAAGAAGCCGACCTGAATAAGTTCTGAATAGCACCTTGTTTCCTACAACGATGTCTCGGCAAGCCCTTCACCACCTGGTATAAGATGTATCAGTACCTCAAACCACACTACGGACTTCCTGTCAAGCCATCGTCAGCACTTTCAATCTCTTGACAGAACTCACCATGCTGCCAACAAACCTGAGGTCCATCCTCGCCGTCATTGCCGTGGCCGTCACGGTCTCAGCAAATCCCTATCCGAAACTCATCGGCTGCGTCGATGTCGTTGACATCAAGACAGGCAAAGTCGCTGACTGCGTGCCAGTCGGCCAACTCCCGAACGGCCAAGACTCCAATCATACGAAACACCAAGGAAAACACGCCAGAAGGAGAGCGAAAGCCAACGAAAATAACCTCTGCGTGAACCTCAAGTTCAATACCCAATCCCCTTCCACCACAACCGGCCCCGACCAAAATCGCTGCGTCTCCTTCTCCACCCTCCGCCAGCTCCAAACCGACTACCAATACCAACACTCGTTGAAACCAAGAGGCGACGAGGGCGACAACGTCGCCTCCAACGAACCCTGCCTCGACGTCTACTACCTTTCTCCCAAGGACAACACCACCATGACCGGATCCTGCGTCCCCATCTCCGACCTCGAAAAATACGAAACCGTCACCATCAACCCCATAGACCCCCCTTCTGATGGCTCCCCAAATGACCCCTATGGCGACCTCTCATCAAAACGCGACTTCGGCCCCGGCGTCAACTACACCTTCTGCACGGAGCCCTACGACGTGATCCCGCACCTCCAGTACGAGTCGCCGCACTACCTCGACTGCGTGATGATACCAGCCAACGCGCTCGGCCGCAGCCGCTACTTTACCTACCGCACGTCCAACGATGCGTACACCCTGTTGACGGCAAAGACGTGCGAGCTCGCGCTCAGGACGACGGGCACCGTGGTGAAGAAGGGGGAGATCCTCAAGATCGGCAATACCGATATCGAGCGGTCGTATCTACATGGCGTCAAGGCCATCAATGATTTGCCGGCTAATGCGGGTGGCAAGCAGCAGCTTTGGTATGCGCAGGGGTTTGAGGTTGAGGGCAAGTGGAAGTGTTGGGATAATGCGGAGACGCAGCAGTATCAGGTGTATTTTGGGTATAAGCTGAAGGGGAGCAAGCCGGCGTGGTGGGAGGGGATGGGGAATAGGTAGTTGAGTGAGTGAGTTGAGGGAGTTACGCAGTACCTAGGAGGGGAGGCCCGGGATGGGGATTGGAGATGGTGGAAGTTTGGGAAGAAATGGAAAGAGCAAAGGTTGCCCGATGCCATCACCCCCGGAGTTGACGTGGGAAGAGGGAAGGTGCGTGGGGTGGAATTGAAGGCCGGAAGGAAAGAAGGAAGGGTGTACCGATAACGCTTTCCTTGCGTCTGTTCTCATTTTGCTGTTTTGAGATTCATATTCCGGTTTGCTTCATAGCTTCAGGTGTTAGACAACCTCTTCGCGATAATTGAGAAGATGACCGTATTCACGTACCACAAATTTAATGACTCCTTTCAAGCAACTTTCGACTGATCCGACTTGTCAAATCATTTGGGGTGCAGTATCAGTGAACCCCCCCCCCCCCCAATTGTCGTTAATACCGACTCCTCACTCTTGTTATTGAGAGCATGGTTGGTGAGTGGAAGGACCCCGTGCGTACCTTCCTCCAGGAAGTCCAGCGAATGCCGAATCCACCTTGGCAAGAAAATTTCGATCACTGAGGACAGAGATTTTTCAACTCTAGAGTGTACCTCCATCCTGCTGTGTGGTCAGTTGAAACTAATGGATCAACTATGATGTTCTGTTCAGATGAAGCTTTGGGATGCCAACAAGTCGGAACATCGGCAACTTCTCATCATCAGCAGTAACCCAAACTCGCCCTCGAGGGTCATCAAGCCCAAGTGGAATTCCAACCACACAATCGCAAGACACGGTACCTGGTCATTCGCACGAACGCCCAGATGTTACCTTTTTGATCTCAAACAATGGACCTTCAGCGGCCGTCAAAAGTCTTTGTTCACCCCTGAGCCACCCGCCTCCCGTCCCGCTCGATGCCGCTCTTACCTTAGTTCCCTTCGCCCAAAATAACCACAATCCTAAGACCCCGAGTCAAAGGCGATGTAAAAACGCCCTTCAACCATGGGCAAGGATAAAGCCCTCTGGCGAGAACTTCCTTTCCCGAGAGAATGGTCTATTCAGCTGAATAACCTTCTCGCCCAAAACCGCAGAGCAGAGAGAGGCCCCTGGTCCTACCGCACCGACACTCATTTGACAACCCCTGACGGACAAAGAAACCAAACCAAACCAAACCACTCAGTCTCAAACTTGAGCCCGCAAAACACACTCCAGCAAAATGCAGCTCCCAACCAACCTCCTCACCCTCCTCCTCACCTCCACCTTCCTCTCCCTCATCACCGCCACCCCCATCGTCTCTCCCTCCGGCACCAACCCCGTCGACTCCTCCGTCCCCGCCGACGCCAACATCAACGTCCACGTCGACGACGACCCCAACGACCCGGCCATCGCCTTCTTCTCCTCCCTCCCCCCTCCCCGGCCCAAACGCTCTCCCAACCCATCCTCCCCCTCCGCCACCGGCCTCGTCAAATTCTCAAAGCGCGGCGGCAACAAAGACTTTTGCCGAGGCGGCGGCATCTTCAACAAGACCTCTGACGGGTCCCCCTGGGTGGACGACTGCAAGATCATCATCCAGAACATCTCGCCCAACGGCGGGACGTGGCACTACATGACGGGCACCCAGCGGACGCTGGTTTCACACAAATCTTGCGCGCTGGGGATTGAAAGTACGGATGGGGTGCCGAAGGCGCTGCAGACGCTGGTGGGCGATCTGGATATCACCGAGTGGATCCAGAAGAGCATTGACAGGTTTAGGTCGAGTGAGGAACAGGGGAAGGTGGGCAGTTATGGGGATACGCAGTGTATTAGCCAGACGTTTAAGGGGGATGAGTATAGTTTGAGGTGGGGGTTGTATCGGAATAAGGGGTACTAGGTGAATCTGGATTAGGGGGGGTTTGTGATATGGATAGAGGTTGTATGTAGAAGGGAAAGGGGAAGGGGAAGGGCCTTTGTGTTTGTGTTTGTGTAGGGGTAGGAGTCGGGACTTTGTTTCCTTTTGCCTTCGCTTTTTTTTTCCCTTCTTCTTCTCCTCCTTTGGACATTATACTCGCTATACTCGCTCGCATCATTGCCGTTATGGGTTTTCTTCTTCTACTCTTCTTCTCGGGAAGGGGCTGGGGTCTCTCTCTGCTTCATCCCTCTCGCATGCATGCTTAGCACACTGGAGTGTGTGGAATGCGCACGCCTTACTCCTGTCCTTCTGTTTTTGTAATTACCAAGAGTTGCTTGTCGCAAGCCGTCAAGGAAAATAACGAATATTCTTCTCCGATCTTTGTACTGAATGGAATACTACTTGGTCATGTTTACCGTCTCTGTCTTTCCCGTTCGTTGCCTATAATTTTGCGTTCAGAATCTAGTCACCAGACACACAAAGCACAGGCGCGCGCACCTGTAGGTATGAGATCCCCCTTTATTCTGTTGCTGTTAAGGAGAAACGTGGAAGTAAGAGAAAAAAACCCTCTGAACAGGAACATTCGGTGAATTCCACGGAAGGGTCCACTCACCCCTGCATGTACAGTAGGCACTATTCCGTGGCTCACTCTCTTGGGCCATGTCAGACTGACAGCTCGTGTGTGTAGAGATAAGGAAGATGTCCCCACGCCCCCACGCTCCCATGTTCCCATGTTCCCATGTTCCCATGTTCCCATGTTCCACTTGTGAGTTGAGATGTGGAAGTACATAGAAGCGAAGCAGAAATGAACCTTGTCTCAAATGAGGCTGGGTAGGCTAGATGGGTTGGTTGGGTACATGTATAATGCGCGCGATTTATGGTATGGTGAGAGATGTCAATGAGGTTGCATCCATCAAACGTTCAGACGTCTGTTTAGCAGATCTCGGATCGAGGCTCATTGGCGTCGTGACAGTGATGAATGCAGCAGAGACAGATGCAGGTACGTACGACGGGAAGTAACAGGTAACACGCCCCGGGCAGATGAGAATCCCTTACTTCCCTTTGGGTTAGGTTCTTATGTCTCGGTTGCCATGTGTGTTATCTTTCTGGAAGCCTTGGAAGCTTTGGAAGCTTTGGGAAACCTGAAAGTTGTATCACTCTCACACTCCCACTGAAACATGCCATTAGGAGGGTTGTATGAAGCATGATCGAAGATTAGAACCGTCGACGACGACCTCATTCTGGGAGTGTGTATGGGCTGACTGACCACTTGGACCACATGAACTCCCCACCTCCCTCCCCTTCAAGAGCAGATGGCATGACGAGCAACTACCCAGCAGTGTCTCAACTGTAGAGAAAAGGGGCAACAAGTCGGCGACCAGCTAGCGACCATCGAGCACTAGCACATAGTAGGCAACCAGACGAACCGACAACATCAAGCATGGCTAGGTATTCCTGGTCTACCAGTTTCCTAGCGTGGTGCTGTGTGCTAACGAATGGGCAACGGGACGAGTGGTCGGTCTGCAGAATAAGAGGGCTAGGGGGACATGTGAACAGTACATGAAGTGGTCCCTCCGTATATCTGATGGTGAAGCAATACTGAAGAACCAATATGGAATTGAATCCGACGACCAAGTGCTAAATGAAGTGAAGTGTCGACGCACATCAGCCCAATAATTGTTAGTGCCTCGTTAGCGCAGCGCAACCGGCTTCTGTTGTGACAGCACTTGCTGAGGTGTGTGGTCTTTGACCAAAGGGGCATTGGCACCGAACTGTCAACTTTTGCCTCGTTCAACCGACGCTGACGGTCTGGGCATTGGTGGTCCTTTGTTCTTGGTGATTTGGTGCTGGGAGTTGACATGATGAAGAGTGTCGAGATAATATCAAAGGTCTTGATATCAACATCAACTGTCGTCGACTTATGCTATCGGGCGACTCCGTAATTGTGGATTTCGAGCAGTTATCGTGATCCACCGAGTTCCACCGAGTCCACTCTCTCCAGGCGCCTAAGAACAAGCGCCCAGATAGGGTGATAGGAATCCATGTCGGCCCGTGATAAGCAAGAAGCTTGGAACTCTTGGTGTTTCTTGGAAAGAGTGCTGGGCAGTTCTTGGGCATTCCCCCGCATTTGAGCTTGTTCGCATTTGGAGAGCCCGGAGGTCCACTATCGTGGTTGAGCACCAGGTGTCCAGTGGAGTCCCAGGAGACCGGCCCACCGGGTTTCAAGCGGGTACAGGTGCCAAGGAGCAGCCAAGAGCCGCATGCAATGAAACCAGCCACATCTCGCCCCATCACGCCCCAGTCCGGAAGCTGTCAAGAAACACCAAGAGTCCAAGACTAGCCTAGACACTTGGCTTTTGCCCCGTCATCTTGGTCCTTGCCCCTTTGTTCCTTCCCTTCAACGGTGACGCCTCCCCAAAAACAAAGGACCTCAGTTGGACTTGCCAGTGCAAATCACAAAATACCCTCAACAATGTGGGGGAAGTTGCAATCTGCCGAGAACTGATCAGCACAGAAACAAAAGGACGCTACCAAGGCTGACTGCATGAAAGAGACACTTCCCCCTCTTACTACGCCACACATGTGAGGCATGCCAGGCACCTCAATCCCAACACATATTCACCGAGCTCGAGACCGAGCTGTCGGATCCCTCAGGTGCAACAAGATGAAGATGGTTCTCAAAAAGAAACGACAGTGATACTACACTGTTGCTTTCGTTAGCGCGGAACTTCACTAGGCACTCTGCCCAACTCAACCACCAATCCACCAAATTTCATGCAAAAAATTGCTATCAACCTGATGCGTCTCGAGAGCTTCAGATAGTCTCTCCAATTTTTTGCTTTGAATGTGCTTGTCGCGTGTTTTCCTGTCTTATTTTGCAGACCCCCGTCACAAGAATCGCGCTAACAAACGAACCAGTATTGAACTGTATCGTCATTCCGCTACAGTATCAACCCCTGAAAGTGCAACCCCCCCAAAGTGCAAACACATACAAACTGACCCGTTAAGTGCAAACTTTTCCGCGGCCCGGATTCGCACTTTTGTATGTAAGTGAGGTGCCAGTAAGTGCAAAAACCCCATTAAGTGCAAATTTTGCGAGCCATCCCCCATAGTGCCCGAATTATTTGCACTTTCAGGGGTTGATACTGTAGTCTCATCTGTTGGTGCTTCCTAGCACACGGTGGAGACGGACATGGTCTCTATTTGCGACCATCAGATGTGGATATCACGATGCTTAAGGGACTGGGGCACCAAGAGAGCCACGCGGGGGACCGGAGCCCAGTGGACTCCCTCCCACGCCTCGGACTCCATTCCCTTGTGAATCCACAGCATCTGGACCCGAGTCTCCTCCATATCTATTACCGGTTATCGCCTATCTCGGACTCCCTATCAAAGTCCTATTCAGCAGTGAACTCGATGATTGTAGTCGAACCACTCGTCCTTATTCACATACAACCTCCGTCGGTGTCTGGCTGTTTTACCCCAACATCACCACACTTTGCCCAGCCGGGTTGATCCCTGATGCAGTTCTAGTTCCCCCTCTCCCCCCATTCATCAGCTGGGCGAGCTTGGTTGATGAACTTCCGTTTTCGTCATTAGTAGTAACAAGTCTAACAAGTCAGTCTCACCCTCAAGCCTAGGCCCGTCCAGCCAGACGACTCTATTGGCTGCGGGCGGACAAAGATGTTCTAGCTGCCTTCCATGCTTCGACATCATCCTTGCCCCCCCAATACATAGGTCCCCCTTTGCCTCTCGCTTATTGCGCGTGTAGGAGTGCTTTTACACATTGTTATTTGTCCACAAATTGCAACCCAGCCGGGCCACAAGACAGATCCGTTGCGGATCACACTCCAACAACGGACATGGTGGACTGCCATGTGTTAGCCCAACCACCAAACCCCCGGCTATCTTGTTCAGACTTCGACGCTTTTCCCATCCGGGGCTACCGTCCGAGAGGCTTACCCAGTAACCCTCGCTCAAGCAGGGCTACCTCCGCAATCCAAGAAGCTTGGCTGCACTACCATCGCCGGGCTTACACACCCGCACGCCTGCCCTATCTTTCTACTAGTCTTTCCGCAGAGGCAAATCCTCCGCGCTGTCGCCTATCTGGCTCCTGATAGGACACCTCCCTTTGACCCCTATGTGATTTGATCCTACCTCTCCAGCCAGCCCGTTGGGTTACACATTCCCAGTCTCACCAAGCCGAGGGTGAAGTGGTTGTTGCTTGAGTTCTCGTGGCTCGGAGTACTTTATCCTCTCTTCTCCTCCCCCTCTTCTCCTCCCGCCGTCCGTCCGTCCCTCTTCCCTTTCTCTCTCCCCACCTCCCTCCAACCCATCACCCCCCCAAACCACCACCATGTCCGACATAGAAAAAGGCTCCCACGACAAGGAGACCCGTGTCGACGCGGCTCCCGCCTATGAGGCCGGCGTCGCCGAGGACCTCCCGCAGGAGGACTTCATGACGCGCAATGGTCTCAACCTGGCGTCCTTCAAGCCTCGCCGGTATCACACCGGTGACAGCACCGAGATCGAGCGCACCATGAAGTCCCGCCACCTGCACATGATTGCCATCGGCGGCTCCATCGGCGCCGGTTTCTTCGTCGGTTCCGGCAAGGCGCTGCACAATGGCGGGCCTGCTTCCCTGCTTATCGATTTCGCCATCATCGGTGTCATGATGTTCAACGTCGTGTACGCCCTTGGCGAGCTGGCCGTCATGTTCCCTGTCACCGGTGGTTTCTATACCTACTCTACTCGCTTCATCGATCCGTCCTGGGGTTTCGCCATGGGCTGGAACTATGTGTTTCAGTGGGCTATCGTCTTGCCTCTTGAACTTACTGTCTGCGGTTTCACGGTTGGGTACTGGAATCAGGAGATAAACGTCGGTAAGTGAAACATCCTCGTATTGGTTAATTATTGGAAAAAAAAAAGAACTTGAATACTAACTCACCGAACAGCCGTCTGGATCACAATCTTCCTCGTCGCCATCATCATAATCAACGTCTTCGGCACCCTCGGCTACGCCGAAGAAGAATTCTGGGCTTCGGCCTTCAAGCTCGGCGCCACCATCGTCTTCCTGATCATCTGCCTCGTCATGGTCCTCGGCGGCGGTCCCAAAGGCAGCCGCTACGACGAATACTCCGGCGCCAAGCTGTGGTACGCGTCCGGTGCTTTCGCCAACGGCTTCCGCGGTTTCTGCTCCTGCTTCGTCACCGCCGCCTTCGCCTTCTCCGGCACGGAACTCGTCGGTCTCGCCGCCGCCGAGGCCAAGAACCCCGTCAAGTCCCTCCCCGGCGCCATCAAGCAGGTGTTCTGGCGTATCACCCTCTTCTACATCCTCGGTCTCTTCTTCGTCGGCTTGCTCATCCCCTACGACGACGAGAACCTGTTGGGCGCTAACCCGTTCATCAACGTCAACGCCTCGCCCTTTGTGCTGGTCGGCAAGTACGCCAACCTCACCGGCTTCGACTCGTTCATGAACGTCGTCATCCTGGTCTCGGTCCTCTCCCTCGGCGTCTCGTGCGTCTACGGCGGCTCGCGCACGCTGGTCGCCTTGGCCCAGCAAGGGTATGCGCCCAAGATCTTTGCCTATGTCGATCGCTCCAACCGCCCGCTGTTCTCCGTGCTGGCTATCATTGCGTTCGGTCCCATTGCGTACGTCAGCTTGGCCGCTGCTGGCCCGACCGTCTTTGATTGGCTGCTTTCGCTTTCGGGTCTGGCGGCGCTGTTTACGTGGGGATCTATTTGCTTGAGCCATATCCGCTTCCGCAAGGCGTGGGCGCTCAAGGGCCACAGTGTGGATGAGATTCCTTTCCAGGCGGCTGGTGGTGTTTGGGGATCGTGGTTGGGGTTGGTGTTGGTTGTTTTGGTGTTGATTGCTCAGGTACATATGCCTCCCTCCCTTTTCTATCCCTCTCCTTCATTTTTTTTTCTTTTTTTCTTGTTTTTTTTTTCTTTCTTTCCTCGCTTCGCTCGATATATCCGTAACAGCTGCTAACAAATTGCAAACAGTTCTACGTAGCCATCTGCCCCCCCGGCGGCGGCTTCAACGACGCCAAGGGTTTCTTCGTGCAGTACCTCGCCCTCCCCGTCGTCATCGTCTTCTGGATCGGCGGCTTCATCTGGAAGGGCACGAGCTGGCTCCGCGCTGACCAGATCGATGTCGACACGGGCCGTCGCGTGCACGACTGGGACTCGATCAATGCGTACCGCGCCGAGTTGGCGGCTATGCCCGCTTGGAGGAGGTGGTTCCATAAGTTGTTTGTCTAAGCTGCTGCTGCTGCTGTTTTCCTAAGGGAAGCAGTTGATTTTTTTTGGCTTTTGTTTTGTTTTGGATACCCCTCCCTGCTTTATACCACTAGTGATTGAAGAGGGAGAGCACGGAGGGCTGGGGGTGAAAAGGGACGGAGAGTGATGAAAGGATGAAAATGACGAAGGATGATCAAACGTGATGCTAAAATGTTGATGTTAATGAACGTCGAATAATGAAGTGGAATACTCGGACCAAATGGTCAATGGTCTTGTGCGCTTCCGTTTTCCATGTCAAGCGCAATTAAAACTGACCGTCTTTCTGATGCGATTCAGCTGTACTGCGCCGTCACAGTCAGTCAGAGCGGGAGCAGGTTAACCTGATGCCCCAGCAATTGGACAACACAGTCGTTATGAAAGAAAGAAAGAACAAATATCGGAAGGAACCCAGGAGACAAGGTCGGGCGAGTCAGGCCAAACCCAAATCCCACGGGAAGGTACGTGTCGCAAGCCTGAGGCTTGGGGTGGAAGGAAGGGACGATCTGAGCTCCCCCGTCGTCTGCCGCAAACGACTTGCGCGTTCTGGCCTGCTTGATGGTTTTTGAAGTTTTCTATGCTCATATAATTTGGCTTGCTTCAAACCAGCCACCTCACGCATACCAAAGAAGCCGCTGAAGGGAGTTGATGAGGTAGAGGTAGTGTTGACGGGAGTTGTGATGATGGACGGGGATTGCCGGTAGTGAAGTGCTTGTTAAATCACTAACATCAGAAAGCCCAATATGCGTGGATAGCAAATAGTGTTGTATCTGACCTAGTGGCACTTTTAGCGCATCCTACAACGGCCTGAGCAGGCCCGTGACGCACAATGACCGATTGAAATGAAACAGTGGAGGGGAAAACTCATCGCGGACACTCGGCAGATCGAACCACTTCCCATCGCTTAAAGTGTAGAATCTCTTGTAAACTAATTTGTAAAAGTAGGGTAGGTTTATCTATGACAATCAATCCCTTCTTCATTCTCAGCTGGTTGAAGTAAGAGCAACTTAAATGTCAAGTGCCTGCTGTGGTCGAACAAGCTGAAACGCTTCAGTGGGTGGGCGCTGGAGTTATAGTGGGGTTTAGCGGGTGCCCGGCCAGTGAAGAGCGGTCGATTAGGTAGGTTGGACAACTCTTGTGCCCGTTATGACGGAATCTGATCCTCAAACACAAGAGACCGGCATCGTAGTCGTGTTCAACAATTGATTTTCTTTCTCACGAGCATCTATTTCTTTGCTTTCCATCTTTGGATGGCCTCCTCTGTCCTTCAATAGCTTCATCCCTGTTATCATTTTTTTCCCTCGTAGAGTCACAGTGTTAGTGCGACCGAACTTCTCAGCCTTGAACCTTCAAAACAAGATCAGGAACCTTCGTTTTCCAAGTAGTACGGCAACAAACATGCTAAATTGTTGAACTGGTAGCATAGCTAATGCCTCCATCTGTATACCGAGCACTATCCCGACGTTGAAGTGAGGCTGAATATCCACCCAGTTGATACTCGCTGCGCTCGCTGCGGTGTCCCAATTCGGAAACCACTGCGAACATTCGATGCATTCGATATGTCGATCCCCCAGATTTCACACGTGTGCTGGCCTAAAGATTCGACTGAACGAATGGAACAGATGGAAACGACTGCGCCGCATCACATTGGAGGTATCTCCGAACGCCAGCCGGTGTTATCGGTACATCATCTTGGTTACCGAACATGGAAAACTTACAGGTGTTCAGCCAAGGCTCCTCAGAAGCTTTTTGTCGGGGAGTGCGTGAAGCATATAGATGCAGAGCATATATATGACCAAAGTAGTCAATGTTTGACACGTTTCATGTTCCACTCTCTCGTCTGCTGGTTCTTTTCCAGCCTACCCCAAAAACCAACATCAACACCAGATACGAAACGCCAGAAAGAAAACCAACAAGCCAAAACAGATTCGATATGGGCATCTTTTGCCGTCTACGCCCCCGTCGACACAGACATTTACCTAGAGAGCAGACCATGCCTGCACCACTTCCCTTATACGAAGATGACGCCCTCGACAAGCAACACCACAACCTCTCAACACCAAACTCAGACCCCCAAGAGCCAAAGCAACAACCACGCTCCGGCACCGTATTATCCTCAACTTCACCCTCACCCTCAACCCCATCATCCATCTCAACCGCCACTCTCAACGCCCGATTCGCCACTTGCTTAGACCAGCTCGATCAGCTATTCGGCAGACACTCATCCCCTCCCACACGACGCCCACCATCTCGACTCCCAACATCCGAAACCGCCCCTCCCCCTCCCTACGCCCCGCTCTCCTCCTACACAGACCTCCCTCTCCCATCCTACTCGGAACTTCAAGATCTGGGGAGAGTTGTTTTCCCTCCACGCCCCACACCAAGAGAACCCCCGCCTTCTTTCGAAGCGGCAGAAATCCAGGAACACGAGGAGGACCATGGGACGGAACCGTTTTTGTGGCCGGGGTGCGAGTACTGTCGGGTGTATGCTTTGTGGGTTTGTTATTGGAGGGGGGTTGGGGAGGTTAGGGGGTGAGTGGGTGAGTGGGGGAAAGGCTGCATGCAGTTGGAAGTTAGGGTGCTACAGGGAGCTGGGAGGTGGAAGAGGTGAAAGAAGAGTGACGCTTTGAATGGGGAGTATACCTAGGGATAGGGGTGTAGGTAGATGGTGTATACCTTGGGGAATCCATGATTTGGGATCGGATACCGGGTTGAGCTGGAGGAGCTGGGATGGGGAACAGCTATTCAGCATGGAGATGTTATATTTTCATTCCAACCTTTGGACTGTTTCTGCCAGTTAGAAATCACTCAAAACCTCCCTCGTTATCTTGTTGCTTTCTTCGGTGTTTGTGGTTGGTTACCCCGTCGACTCTTTTGATTCCGGGCACGGGCTCCTCCTCCTCCTCCTGCTCCAGCGTTCAACTGCGTCCACCGCTAAACGTGTTTCACAAGGTTCGCACCATCCATAGCCCCGTCTGTCGCGCCACCCAATATGTACATCCTGTCCAATTGTCTTCCTCAACCATCTATTGATGGTCCGGGTCTTGTGAAGATCTAACTCCATAACCTTGTTACACAATGCACACCCTTCTCGGTCCTTCACATCCATCATCACGGTGTTTGTTTCTTCGAAAACCGTCTTGGCTGATTTGGTATAGTCCGGGATAATTTGAGCAAGGCCGGTGCGGGTTTCCTTCGATATGGAAAGTACCGCGTAGATATAATCTCTTGGATCGCTGGCCATGACTTGGGTATCGGCGCAAGCATAAAGCCAGTCAAATATAGTGTTGTTGAACGTATATTCCAGTAGCTCTCTCCTCGTTTCCCGCACGGAGGTCCAGTACGCAATATTGCCTGGTACGAGCCCGGATGGAGATTCAAGTGTTGACTTGAAAACGACCGGGAAACAGATATCAAGTGCACGCTCAGTGATGGACCTGGAACCGCACATGAAAACGAGTCTCTTCGCTAGGACTATTTCCTGGATGATCCATATCCTTTTCCAGTAGGGGCGATTGCACCAGGCAAGAATGGCTCTCTTTGCACGGTTATTTTTAAAGATCTGGATTGGTTAAGGTCCCTGGGGGCGTGGAGTTGAGGATATCTATCGCATGGTCGCTGTCGTTTGCCATCGGTCCAGTCCATGCAAAGACCTCCTCCGCACTTGAGAAGATCTCCCTCATCTTCTGGACTTGCTGGCTTTTCTCGGCGCCGTCGTTTTGGTTGATGCATAGTGCATCGACCCAAAGAAGTAAGAAGCCAAGATGATGGATGACTGAACTGGTCTGTTTGAGGCAGTCAAACAGATTTTTGCGGATCCTGACCATGTGACCGTCAATGGTGATATTTGGGTCGTCATCACTGGGTAATCCCCATTCGTACGACAGTGCCTTGTAGGGGATTTTGCCTAGCTCAGAATGTTGGAGGGTGTAGGCGACCTCTTCCCCGGAGTCTGGTTTGATCAAGAGAAGACGGATGAAATTTTCATGCTCGAGCGGTCGGTACGGGTATTGTTCGCCATTTATTTGGTCAGGGTCTGCACTGCTACTGCAATTGTTAGCTCTCGGTTCGTGTGAAGGAAGACCAGACTACATACCATGCCTGAGCAGCCCTTCCGACCTCGTTGGCTTCCATCACAGCTTCGCGTCTGATCCGTGGATACCGGATTGGACTGAGTTGAGTAAGTGATCAATAAGAGAACTGATTGAGCGAAGACGTATCGTTGACCTCTTGATGCCTTCGTATGATCACTGTGGTCGACAGCTCAAGCAGTTATCCTCAAAACAGCAATCGATCGAATAAAGGCCCAACAGCCCAACCAACTATTATATCCGCTTTGTTAGAGGCTCCTTCCCCAGCCACACCTGGAAGCCAGTGCTGCATGACGTGGCGTCAAGCCGACTGAGGCGAAAAGGGAACCAATAATAGGGAGAACGCTTGATTGGCGGCTTGGTTGAGAAGAGAGGAATGGCTCGTGTTAGAATTGGCACCACTGAACCAACCAGCATAATTGGAGCCCTAGCTGAGTCGGAGTAGTGGCCAGTGTGGCAACCATTTATTCTGACAGCTAGCCAGACCATGTCTCAAGACTACCAGAATGAGAAACCGGGGTGGGATGGACCTTCCACGCGTTACACAACGTGAGGCTGTGGTTGTCGGCAAACGGTGGTTGAGGCGGAATTCTTCCAGTGTTCGTTGAAGAATGTAGATACCTGCTACCACATTGCTGAATTATCGTTCGCTAGTATCGCTGAGCATGTCGCAGACTGCTGAGCGACGTTCCCCCAGAGCCTTGTCCGAAAGACCCCAATTCCACACGGTCTCTTGCTTTCCTATCTCCATCATCAGGCCCATTTCTGACCTCGAGCCGACAAGAGCCTAGCATCGGATGACAGTGTAGACTTCGAGTCTCGAGGTAACAGTCGTCCATGCACTTTCACAGTCGAATAATGTCGAGCATCCCCAGTGATCTCCATCGTTCCCGTGTGTAAGGATCTCAGCACTGTGGCCCCGTGCTCGTTGTCCAACCCGGATCTCTTAACAAACCAGTCCTCCAAGTCGTCATCCAAGATACCCATTTTCTTAGCGAGCCCTCTAAAGTGAGATCCAACAGGATGGCGGTACAGATCACCGCGATGCCCCAGACGGCGCAACTCCAAAGGAACAGCGTTGCTGCTCGCCAATAACTCCATGGTCTCGCAAAAGACCGCTCGAACTGGTTTGTCGTAATCCGGTATTATTATGAGGAGTCCATTGGCGCAGTCCCAGGAAACTGACAAAAAACGTATATGTAATCCCGCGGCTCCATGGCTTCGACGTCCTCCTGGGAGCAGACCGACAGGAATCGGTTCAGGTCGTTGAACCAATGGAACCCAAAGAACTTTGTGTGAATATGCCAAATCGCCGGGGTTTTCTTGATCAGCTCCGCGTATCCCGAAGCAGAAAGCTTTTGCGAAACCTTGATGGCATTGAGACCGACATGCAGCTCATCATCTGTGATGACTTTGGAGCCACATAGAGCGATATACTTCCGCGCCAGAAACAACTCCTGAAGGATCCATAGAGGTACTCTCTTCCAGTATGAGCGCTTGAATAAGAGCAGAATGGCATCCCTTGTACGAGAGTCGAAGCTTGCCGTTGTTGACTCCAAGACGATCTGTAACCCTGGAACCCCGAAGAGAGGCCTGAGCAGCTTGAGATTTTCGATGGCCTGGTCGCTGCCGTCGGCAGCTAATCCGAGCCAGGAGATGACTAGGTCCGCGTTGGACTATGTCTTACCCATCATCTGGACCTGTGGCCTCTTCTCCACGTTGTCGTTCTGGCTGATACATAGCGCATCCACCCAGAGGTAAAAGGGACCCAACCCCAAGTCGACTTCCATGCCCATGATTTGGCTGAGAGCCTCATACAGATTTCTCCGGATTTTCACCGCATGGCCGTCGATAGTAATCACTGGTTCATCCTCGGCAGCCGATCCCCACTCGTATGGTAGTGCTTTGTAGGCATATTTGTGGGCGACGTTACCGAGCCGGTCCTCCTGAAAAGCAAAGGCCAAGTCTACCTTGCCTGGCGTGACGAGTAGAAGGCGGATGGAACTCTCATGCTCGAGTGGCCTACATGGGTATACTGTGTCGATGGATTCGGCATCACTAGCACAGCCATTGCCGTTAGCTGACGGTTTTAGAAGGAAGTGCAATATAGCAACACGAAAGGTACGATGATTCCGAAGATGTATTCCTCTTCTTGTGTTTCCTGAGCATGTGCCTTTGGATCCATTCCATTTCGACGAGTTTTTCGTATGTGACAGGACTCAGGAGGCAGTTGATGAAGGTAAAAGGATGCTGGGGCAAAGAGGTATTGGGGACCGGGTAACATAGATGTAGGTCGGCAAGATCTGGTTACTTCCATTGTCGCTATCATCTTCTTTCGTGGCGTTTAGTGTGTCGAGTAAGCACATCAGCACCTCAAACCAGCCATCACCCTGAACAATAGCGGTGCTCGCCAATAAGCTCAATGGCCGAACCCGCGGTGATTCTGATGTCCGCGTCCGTAGACTAGTCCTTGCTTCCCCAGCCTCCCAGCCACCTGTGGCTTACCAACGCAACGCTAACATCGGTCCTCCGCCGAGCACCGAGGGCTCAAAACACCGGGTCTGTTAGCTCCGGATGCGTATCGCTCTCCTTCGAGTATCGTGATTTCCTTGTCAGAGTCAGAGATGTCTAAACTCAAAGAGCCAAAATTCGGTATCACTCTTCGAGTCCTTTGCAGCGTCATTTCTCCTCATAACCTCCGAGTTCAACAGAGTCTCAGCTTCCTCGCATGAAAGGCCCATTTTGTGCGAAAGTTTCAGCAACCAGTCTGTATTCCACGTTGTAGGGACTTCCACGAATGACTGTAAAAGCTGACAGTAAACTTCCGCAATTGGCTTGTCGTAATCCACTTCGATCTTGGTCTTATCGATTCTGGTGAAGTCGTCACAAGATATGGAGAGTAGCGCATAAAGATAATCATGCGGGACGGTAGCTTGAAAATTGGCGATAATAGAACGACGTAGCCATCGAAATAACGTGTAGAAATTTGCACCGTAATATCGCTTTGAAAGAACTATTTCGTATGCCACGCTCAGCATGATCTTATCTCGGCTCTTCGGGGCATTTGAGAGGAGACGAGTTAAATCGGCCAGAGCTTGGTCAAGTGACTCCGATGTGATGGACCCAGAACCACACATGACAACGTAGTTTTGGGCCAGGAATATTTCTTGTTGTATCCAGATTCGGCGCCAGTAAGTGCGTTCACAAAGTGACACAATTGTAGCTTCCAGATTGTCAGTAAGGCCGCCTGTTGCCACGAATTGGGACAGCCGTTCGGATGGCATGCTCAATATTCTCAGCGCATCGTCGCTACCATCTCTGGGCAAACCTATCCAGGCAAACACCAGTTTGGCAGAGCTGAAGATGGTACCCATCATCCCTACTTGGAAGCTCTTCTCCGATATGTCGCTTTGATTGATGCAAAGGGCATCAATCCACAGTCGAGGTGGGTCATGTTTCGCCCAGAAACAGTTATCCTCCAGATTCGTCCATGGGCATAATGCTTCCTTATGGCGCCTGTAGCCACATACTCGAGGGTGGTGGCTGAGCTTCTGGCTACGAGCCAAGGCTTTCTTCACTCTCTTTATACGTTTCCGAGCATGTACGACGGGGCCACGACGGCGATCCCCCGGGAAGGATGTAACGGAAACACCCCGGTCTTCTAGCGCCCACTCATCCACGACCGTGGTTCCAGGGCGGTGTGGACACTCAAATTTACCACGTTGTCTTAGATAACGTGAATAGTGTTTGAAGATCTGCCGTATAGCCTCGTGAAGATTCTTCCGGACCTGAACTGGGCGGTTATTGATAAGGATTATCGGATCATCCGGCTCCGATTGGCCCCATTCGTAAGATAGAGCAATATACTCCTCGGATGTTGATGAACGATGCATTTCCAGCGACAACGCCTCGGATGTATGCGAACTGGGTTCCCCGAGTGTCAATATACGGATGGCGTCCCCATCCTCTTCTTTGAGAGGGCGAATCGCAGGGGGAAGTTGGTCTTCGTCTTGGTCTGCACGGATTCTGGTTGTTTGTCAGTTGACAATGAACAAGCCCTTGACGGGAACAAAGATGGGTTCCTTTTTGATGGCAATAATACCAATGCCTGGGATGTAAAACGAAGTCATTCCGAATGTACGTGTAGTAGGTGAGGGGAGGCATATTTAAAAGCTTCCGATATCGGTTGTTGTTCGTACTCAAGACTATTGCAGGCAGCCGACTATTTACGACGTCTCTAGATTCGAATTGTCCCCGTTGTCAAACAACGGCGTGGAAGATCTCGGTCCTGTGGCTTTAACTGAGATATTTGTCAGAACGAGCTCCACGTAACAAGCCCATCAAAGCAGCCAACGGAAAGTACAACAGGATGAGCGAGAACGTACTCCACGACGGTCTTCAAGACGGCTTTGGCTTTCAAAAGTAGCACCTGAGCTTCCATATGGTAGAATAATAACAACTAGTCCTCGTAAATTTTACGCGTGGATATCGGGCGTGGGTCATGACCTCCGGGTGGTGTTGTTGATGCAGGAAGCTGGGAAGCATGGTATGGCGCAGAGTGTTGGGCACCAAGACCACCCGATGTGCTCGTGCTCTCCATTGTGATTCTAGCCGCTTCTTGCTAAGCCGAGCTTACTAGGCCGCCGTTTCGGCCATCTGCAGGACAAGTGCGAGTAACTCGCATGGACAACAAGTGGAGAGGTCTCCTCCAGGTGCACATTGCCTTTGAGACATTAACCGGTCACACGGTTTCACAGCGTACTCAGCCACGTTAGACAGCAATCAACGTCACCGCTCATTGAAGTTAGACCCAGGAGGCCATGACTTCCCATTCAGCCGAGGGTGTATCGTATACCGATACAAGTTGCAGTTGGTGATGGTGTTTGGGTTGAACGGTGGACAATCTGTAGCCTTGCTGAGGGAATTTCAAGGCTGGGTAGTAGCAAGATGCGCCGACTTGATGGCAAAACAAAGCTCAGTACCTGGCTGCCCGAGACTTCAGCGTCATATATAGAAGACCTGGACGGCATTCCTCAGGGCTGTATCAGTGACAGTCAAATGTGGCTGGCTGACGGGCCCGACTACCGACCCAGGCTAACAAAGTATGATTGCAACATGCGTGATGGCCGTGTCCATTCGTGGTGGAGATAGCTAGCCGGACAACGAAGTCATTGAACGGCTGAACTCCGAAGCGATGACGGTTAGGCCACAGCTTCCTTGGACATATGTGTGCGTGATTCGCCGAGTGACACAGCAGCCGTCGATGGTCTTCAGCTCAACAAAGAGCAAGACTCGGCCAATTGTTGAGAGTAGAAGGGTAATCTGCCGTGATTGCATGATTCTCCGTTTGGTTTCCTTTCGATGTGTCGATCTACGGCGTCTCCCCAAGATTGAAGTGGGTAATCAAAACGATATCTGCGAGAAGAGCTAGTCAGTAAGGGTTGTTCAATTGGAATTCAAGAAGCCCACTCAGATTCGGGAAGGCGACAAATCAGTCCCAAGTCGAAGAGGGTTGCTCGCCATCCTTCCTGTTCATACCGAGCGGAGAGATATCAAGAGACGTCCAACATTGCTCTGATGGAAGTCGGGCTGATACAGGGACTGGGATCCATTGTGGGATGTGGAAGCCGATTGTAACTTTCGTGTTGTCGGATCGAGGTTGATGGATCCAGGGGTGATGATTGTCTTGAAGAGTTAACCGTGGGTGTGTGGTTTGGTGAGATCTGTGCTGGCACGCAACACCCACTCTCTTGCATATGGGCGGGCTCGTGCAAGTACGAAGTTTTGGAGCGGATGCAAGACTCGCCTGCCGGTTTGTGCATCGCTTCCAGGTTTGCTTAAGTAGGTAGGTACGCCCTGGCATCTGTCACGGTCGTGACGGAAATCCTCCGGGAAGTCGCTCCTTCCCATCTTCAACCGAACTGAACTGCGTTGCAATGATGATGGATTTTTCTGACTGGATATCCGACTTGGTGAACTGGAAAGAGCGAGAACAGCTGATACGATACAACAACACAGGAATGACAAGGTATTTGGTACTGACATACAGGATTGACATACAGGATAGAAACTCATTATACATTGTAATTACAGACGAACATGACATCCCAATCCTAGAATTAGGCAATCAACCTCAAGAACAAGAAACAACTTTCCAATCGTAAACTCATCATCATGAGAGGACGAAGCAAATTGGCACAAAAAAAAGTGCCTAATCAGAACTCCCCACCCGCTTCCTACATCCTCAACCAAAACACCCCGAAAACTCCATCCTCCATGTCCATATCCTTCTCCTTGAACCAAGTCCATCCCTCCCCATCCCCATCCCCATCCCCCCTACTCATCATCAACATACTGACAATGATGAGCAACCAAAACCCAATCCGCCCCCGCCGTCTGCCTCCAACTGGAACTCACACTAGCAACCACCTCCCTCGTCCCCTTCCCCTTTCCATCAACCCTATACAAACTAACCTTATAAACCAGCGCCACCGCCATCAAATCAATCTCCACCACCAACGGATCGCCATGGAACCTGAATCCCGCCCACGGTTCCGCCTCCTCAAACACCTCCAACAAATTCGGCTCTGAATTTTTGCTTAGGGGTGTAGAATAAGGATGGGAGGACAAAAGAGGGTTGATGAGAATACAGTCCTCGGCCATGTACTCGGGCGCGGCGGAGGGGTCGTCGCAGAGGCAGCGCCAGAATAAGGTCTCGATTTCCTTGGCGGCGTGGTGGTTGCGCTTGGAAATGGTGTCGAGGCGGGAGCCGCCGTTGGGCTTTTTGAGGTCGGCGTTGCCGAGGGTGGTGGTGGTTTTGGAGGAGGAGTCGGTTGTTAGGCCCATGACTGTGGGCATGTTGGTTTTTGTTGTTGTTGAGTTTGGGAGTGTGTGGGTTGGTTGATTTGATGTGGTGATGTTCAGGTTGTATGTAGTTGTTGTAGTTGGTGGTTGGTTGGTTGTGGTTGGTTGTCTTGGTGTGTAAGTGCCGTTAAGGATTTGTATCCTCTCTCCCGCTTATGTACTAACAGCTTGCTCTTTTCGCTATTGCTCGCTTGATTTCAACCTTGGGAAAAAAAACAAAGAAACAAAAAACTCAAAAGACCCTGAAAGGAAGAAAGATCCCAAATATGTTATCCCACACGTGAATCCATCTTCAAAAGCAAAAACAAGGAATCCGCACAATGATGTTTCTTGTTCATGCTGCTGCTGAAACGATAAAATTCACCAATGAGGTTTCATGCGCATCCCGATAAGTCGGATAAGATGGATGTCATACCTTGACGTCACCGACCTGCGCTCATCACCCACTCCATGAGATGGGCTGATAGGGCCAAGCAAGGTCCACACCACTTTTTGCGCATCTCTTTCCCTGTCGAGGAGTTTGGAACATCCAAGATCTCAGCACAAGGGTCGTGGAAGAAAGGAAAAAAGGAAAAAAAAAGGACCCCTGGGTGATGAAATACGCAGAAACCCGTTGGTCGATGACACGATGGCACGATGGCACGATGACACGATGACACGAGATACTAGTTCTAGTCATGCAGGGCACCCGCCACCCAAGGGCTTCTAGATGTCGCATACCTCTACATACATAATCCGTCCCTCGCGGCATTAGTTCACCCGTCTCGCCCGTTTCGGAGAATATCAAGGAACAAACAAGGAACAAGGCAAGATCCCTCGGAGGGGTAAGGTAAGCAACACGAGCCTTGCCTTGCCTTGCCTTACCTTACCTTGTCTTGGACCCTTCTACCCTTCAGTTCAACTTTCACAACCCATCCCATCTCGCCGCATCTCGTAGTGGTGTCTTGGCTTCCCACCCACCACCACTACAGAAACAGGTTCTCGCTTCCACAGTTCCACAGTTGCGCTCGCTGCTGCGTATGGCTTATAGCAAAATTATTTTGACTTCGGTACTATAGCTTCGGTTCCTATAGCTTTTTTATACTAATGCTCTGCTCTAGCAATATGTGCTTGTACGAATGAATTGGTAATAATGAGGATACGAAAAAGGCAACGTGATCCTTTGCTTTGTGTGAAAACAGAAGAGATCTTATCTTATCTTTTGCTTGATCTTGACAAACGAAACCAACTCAAACTCACAACTGAAATGACTTTCCTCCCATTTGTTGCTTTGCCTTTCCTTCACCTTGATTCCCTTTTGTTAAGTACCCTTTACGGCTCTGTGTCCTTGTACCCATCCCATCGCTGTGTACGTCCATCACGTTCGCTTTCTCGAGAGCTCAAAAGCTGAATGAATACCGCCACCAAACCACTGAAACCACCGCATCTTGCATCGCATCATTAGTTGACCTTTCCATGCTTTGCTTGTTTGTGCTTGTAAAAACTCATATAAACCTGATATCATTCCAACCCCGTACAAGAATTCATCACCGTACATAATACATGGCTTTACCTATACCTATACCTATACCGATACGCAAACCCATTCCATTCTATTCCATAACCATAACCATCGGTAACCATAACCATACCATACCATAACCGTTCCATCCATTCCATACCGTTTACCAGTTCGATCGAAACGAACAACAAACTCCAGTTTTTTTATACTCGAAGCAGAATACCACAGAGCACACCACACCACACCACATCACATCACATCACTACATAGAACATGCCTGCCATCCCAGCTTCTTAGTTCACAGCACTACTCCGTCCCCAAACGATGCAAATTCGACAAAATCTTGTCCAACACATCCTGGCGACTCAATGCCGCGCTACCACCACCGCCGCCTTGTCCTCCCCTTGATCCATGTCCCCCCATCCCACACCCCAACTCCCCCTCCCCGTCCTCTATAGCACTCGTACTCCCCATAAAGACATTATCACCACTCCTGCTCAGCCCTCTCGCCCGTCCGCTCGACGTTCCATTCCCGCTGGCACCCGATTCTAGACCGCCGAGAAGACCGCCAAGCGTACCCAAGGCACCCAGGCCGGCAATACCGCCGCTGAGGGCAGCTACGTTGAAGGCGGAGGCGGCGTTAAAGCCTACACCGACACCGAAGGAAGAGCCGAAGGCGAAGCCACCGGGGTTTTGGATGCCGGTGAGGGGGGTGGGTGGTGGTGCCGAAAGAGGAAAGTAGTTCTGGTCGGGGGAGACGTCGGTTGATGAGAGATGTTGCGATTGCAAGGGAGGGGTTTGGAGACCTTGGGCTTCATTGAAGTACGAGTTTTCGTCGTCCTGGCCTTCTTCTCCGCTCTCTTGCTCGGCCCCTGCATCTGCTTCTGCGGGTGCGTTGTCCGAGGCATTTTGGGATTGTGCTTGTGCTGGAGCAGCAGGAGTGGCTGGCGCTGCTTGTTGTGAGGAAGCATTAAGCGGGGAAGGGAACTGTAAGTTCACATTGTTCGCGTTTGTCCAGGGGTTGTTTGAGGTCTGTTGGGTCTGCTTGACTTGACCTTGTGTTGATGATCCTACTCCTAATTGGGTAGGAGAGATAGTTTGCCCTGACGCCTGCTGAATCGATTTTCGTTGTCGCCGCTTTTGAGCTTGGGGTTGCGAGGAAACTCCTTGACTTCCCTGCTGATTGTTTGTCTGTGGGGGCTGGCTCAACGGCGATGGCTTGGCCTGGTTCATCTTCTGCACATACGGCGGCAATGGAATCGGACTATGACTTTGCTTTGTGAACTGCGGCTTCGCCGGCTGTTGCGGCTGAGGCTGCTGGTTCTGAACCTGTTGCTGCTGTTGAGGCAGATGATGATGATGACCCTGTTGTGCCGGAGACGAAGGGGAAAACATCTGCGGTTGAGGGCTGCCCACCATTTGTGGACTCCCCATCCAGATGTTATGACTGCCCTGGTTTTGATACTGCTGTTGCCAGGGTCCTTCTTGGTACTGCTGCCTCATATCTTGGTGAGATCCGGACTGTTGCCCAACCGTAGGACCGAACATCACTGGTCCTGGAACCGAGTGACTCGAGAATGGCGACGATGATGAAGGTGCACCGAATCCAGCCTCGTGCTGGTTGTAAGTGTACTGAGGTTGGACTCTTGGCTGCTGCGTAGGCTGGCCAGTGAACGAGTTCTGTTGGAGCTGACTATCGTTCGGCTGAGCAGATGCAGAGGAAGCGTCGCGTGAGTGAGCATGACTAGTCGTTGGCCTCGAGCCAGGCTCAGAAACGTCCTTTCTCGTCAAGGCTTCACGAGCCTTCTTCATGAATTCTGTAAAGTTCTCCCCATAGTCGTTCGCGAAGTCAGCGTGAACGAGCTTTTTCTTCCCAGTGGTCTCATCCAGTTCAGTTACAGCCGGCTTATACGGCGAGTGGTGCTTCAACGGATCCCTAGTCTTCATTAGCTTGTGCTTTCAAAGTGTCCACCAGCAAACTCACCTGTTATTATAAACCTGGAAAAATTCGTACTTCGTTGAGACCCTCAGATCATCATCAAGACACTTAAGCAGCGACGAAGTCATTGGAGCCGGCATGATACCCTCGTCACTCAATGGCGACCAAACTCTCCGTCTGAACTGAACTTCACGGCCTGAAATTGGGCTTTCCGGAGGCCATACAATTCCGGCAAGGTCATGGATCCGGTCAATGCCAGCAAACGAAAACCTTGAAGACGCAAAGGCCTCAGGCAGGTCTTTCTTAGCGCCTGGCCTCTTCTCGGGGAGTTTGAGTTTCCTAAACTGGGATGCCTTGTACACTTTGAAGGGTCTTGACTTCTGCAGAGGTTGCGGCGGAGACGGTGGTTGAGCTGGATCTGCTGGCGGAGACGGTGATTGAGCTTCTTCATCCTGGGGCTGTTGTTGCTGTTGCTGCGGAGAGCTCTGAGCTGACCGCTGAGGTTGCAAAGGCACCTGGGGTACAGGGACAGGCGTTTGCTGAATCTGCTGAACCTGTTGCTGCTGGTGCTGAGGCGGTTGAGTTTGAACCTGCTGAACCTGTTGCTGCTGTTGCGGCGGTTGCGGTTGAACCTGTTGCGGCAAAGGAACAGGAGTCTGCTGCTGAAACTGGAAAGCCTGGGGAGGCAGCGGGACAGGGGTTTGTGGGTAATTCTGCAGGGAATAATGACGATGCTGCTGCTGCTGCTGAGGCTGTTGTTGATAGTGCTGCTGCTGCGGCGGTTGGAAGTGCTGGGATTGCTGCTGTTGCTGCTGCGGTTGAAATTGGTGTTGCGGCATTTGCTGGGGCATCTGATGTTGAGCGAAATGCTGTGGTGACATTTGCTGTTGAGGATACGGTTGGATTGGCTGCGACGGCCTACGCTGAGCATCGAACTGCATGGGCTGAGGGCTGAACACCTGGGAAGGGTGTACCGTTTGCGGGACATTCGGTCGCAATTGTGCCTGGTAGAACGGATGGTTCTGCTGAGGCATGTACGACGGTGACGGAAGAGGCGGTGCCGGCATAAACATGTGCGACGTATACTGGACGTTGAACTGTGTTTGTGGCTGGACAGGTTTGCGTGGCTTATACACATATGGCTTGTCCTGCTTTGGCGCAAAGGATAACGATGATGCCCCTGACGATACTGGCGACGCAGTGAATGTCTGCTGTTGTGCCGGGTACGTTGCCGAGAACGATTTCCTAGGTGCCGAGGCGACTTGAACAGGGTAAGCTGGAGGCGGCTTGGGTATCGTGTCCAGAAAGTTGCTCTTGGAGTTGTGCTGCTTTTTAGAGGGGTTCTCCGTGTACTGGGCTCTGGCTTCCGTAGACGTCGGTCCAAGGTAATGCCATACTTGATTCTCCTTTTCCAAATCAATCTTGACTTGCTCCTTGTTCTTGTCGGGCTCGCCAGTATGGAACTCGGCCCAGACAAATCCAGTAGAGAACTCATCACCCTTTCTCGGTATCTCCTCGACCGGGCGCTTGGCGTTGATCTCCTGCTTGGCTTTCTTCGAGGTCGGCATCGGAATGGCGTTGGGTGATGCTTTGGGCAACCTGTACTCGGACGGGTCGGCCACGAGAAGCCACTTCCACTCAACTTGAATCCTATCCCCACTCGGAATAACATCAAGCAGGAGCGTCTCCTCCTCGTGCAGGTTCTCCACCACCACACCGGCAAAAATGTTGCCCTGATAGTACTGGATCTGACAGATGTCGTTCTTTTTGAGTGCCTCTGCAGTCTTGCGCACCACCGGATCGTCTTCAAGTATAGTGCCTTCTGTTTTGCGGTCTCTTTTGACTCTGTGGAAGCGGCAGCTGAACTCAAATGCCTGCTCCTTGTATTCCGTCCCATCTTCTCCGATAACCGGCACATCACCTTCCTCCACAAACACGCCAGCTGCTGCTGCGCAGGTAGCATGGTACGCCCTGGGACACTTCTTTTGCGAACATTGGAAGCAAGCACCCTTTTTGGACCGGCAGTACAGGCACTTGAGCTCCAAGCGGGCCTTGTCGATGCCCGCCACATTCGCAATAATCTCCTGGTCGTCGACGGTCTCGATGTAGGTCTCTGGTAGATAAAGAGCACACATCCGGTGAGCCTTGCGGCCATCGTCCGTAGGCATAATCTCCGCCCCGGGAATGTCGTTCGGACACAGACAACACGGCGGCTCGACAGGTGCCTTGAGGCGGTAGCGAGTTCTCTTTGCTTTCGCTTGTGTACCCTTGTTGTTTGCCTCCCGTTTCCTCTTCTGCCCCGCTGCTCTGACTCTCTTCCCCCCTCTTTGGTCCAAACCTGACGGCGGACTAGGCAATCCGGTATCTTGGTCTGAATCTTCCGAGTCCTCTTCTTCCTCTTCATCCTCGTCCTCTGTCACCTCGTATTCTGTCGACTCACCGCGCAGCTTACGCTCGATTTCGTAGACATCCACCCAGACACTGTCCTGAGCTTGAGCACATTGGCACTTCTTGGCAATCTTGCCCATGGGGAGCCAGCTGTCTAACGCAAAGTTGACAGCCTCAGCGCAGTTGTAGCCCAAGTTGTAGCCAGAGTGGTAGCCATAGGGGTAAGTCACGACGAACTCGCCGGGATAGGACACGACCTTGTTGACCGTGATGCCGTAGTGCTGCTTGAGGTGGGAAGGTGAAATCAGGAAGGACTTGTGGCGAAGGAACTGATCGCAAGCTTTGGCATCGGTTGGCCAAATATTCTTCATGGCAGCCTCGAACCGACGGGCATCCGCTTGCGAGATACTATACCATTGCTTGGGAGCACCGAAGTGGAGGAAGTTGATACTGTAAAGATCGACATCCTCCAAATGCCATGCGAAGGTCGCCTTCCACATACCCAGGTATAGATACGCCGTGTTGACGCCAGGAACCTTTGTACCAAGAACATCCAACAGGTTGGGAAGTTTGTTGAGATTCCAATTCTCGGTCGACTCGTCAAACAAGGTTCCGGGGAGATCGGCACCGTATAGCGGAGGGGCATATGTCAAAGTCTTCCAGTATATCCTTTCCAGCTCTTCGCAACGCTCGGGTGTGAACTCGGACACGTCCATACGGTAATCCCAGTTCTTGAAAGCCGCCTCGTCGATCATGGCCGACCCTTCCCGACGAATGTACTTGCGCCGTGCCGATGTCGATTGCATCTTGGGCTTGCTTTGCCTGCTAAAGCCCATTCGGCCAACTCTGGGAGTGCTCTCTTCTTCCTCGCAAGCTTCGTCCTTAATATCCTCCTCCTCAATCGACTCAAGTGGTTTGTCTTGGTCTTCGGGCGGTGGTGACACGGGAGTTATGGGGGGATCGTCGGTTTCATCCGCAGCGGCCTTTGCCGATCCTCGCGTAAGCCTGCCTTTTCGTTTTCCTTTTGTAGTTGCCGTTGTCTTGGTGGATGTGGTAGCGTTCGCAGCCGCAGCAGCGCGGCTTCGAGCAGCGGGCTTGTTCTTTTCGGCATTGGCTCGTCGCTCGCCTCGTCGCGCAGGGGGCTGGTGTTCGCTCTGTTCGCAAAGCTGACGCCATTGGGGTAGGTTGTAGGATCGCTGATGGAGAATGTTGACCTGGCGATAGGTTCCGTTCTGGCCCATAATCTCCTGCTTGATTGGTTCGCGAACACGGACCTGCTTGACCAGTTCGTCCCGTGGCGGCAGCGCGCTCTTCCATTCCTCGGGAGGGACGATCTTGATGATGCCGGATTTCATGCCATATTTGTCTACCTTTTCCATCTGCACTCCCCCGAGAAATCAATTCAGTCAGCGAGACCTGGTGTCATAGCACAGGAAGAAGACAAACATACAAAGAGTTTGAAATCTTGAAACTGCTTCATGGTTGGCTTGAAAACAGGAACATTGTTCTCATATCTATCCGGCAAGATGTCGCCAATGTCCTCACTTGGAGACATTGGGGTGGTCGCAGACGCTGCCCCGGTTTCTGGCTGTTGCGAGTGTGAAGTTGCCTCTTTTCTTTCGCCTTCTTGTTCCTCCTTGATCTGTGTACTTTTTCCCGTGGCCGTGGCGGCAGGCTCATGCTCATGCGAGACGCTCGGCTCAGGCTGCTGATGTCCGGTTTTCGAATCAGGCAGAGGGTCGGAGCCGAGGTCGAGATCGAACGTAAGGTCTTGGTCGAGTTTGTCGGCAACGTCGTCATCTAGATCGCTGAGCTCGGAATCGGAAGCCTCGTCGGGGTTCATGGCCTTGTCGCTTTCGGGTGGCGATCGCAGACCCATGGGCGTGGAAGCGTCTTGGTCGGCGTCGGCGTCGGCGTCGGTCATGATAGCATCCGGACTGCTGTGGGCGACGAGGTCCTGGGCGACGTCTTGGGCGACGGGGTGGTCTGGCGCCGCAGCGCCATTCGCTTGGGTGGACATGATACGGGGCACTACATGCGTCCAGGCTTTGCGATTTGCGCGATGATGACGAGGTCGAATGCTGGGACGGGGCGTGCGTGCCGTGTGCGGATAGTCGGTTGGGAAACGGGACGAAAGCAAGGCTTGGTGAAGCCAGCCAGGTCTGCCACTCCCAGGGCGAAGGAGGGCTCGTGGGTACGGTAGAGACAGGCTCAGGCGAGAGGTCGGGTCAGTACCGGTACCCGTCGTGATGCTAGGTGTTGCGTGATGCGTGATGCGGCTTCTTGCTTCGGTTTCTGTTTTGGAGCAGCAGCAAGGGAATGCGCCTGGCAGGCAGGATAATCGAACAACCTGAACGGTGGTAGGTGCTAGGTTCAAGGGCTTGGTAGCAGAGGAACCGCAGTGTAGGTTGTTCGATAAGATCGATTGATGGCACTTGTGCCGTGACCGGGCCGATGTTTTCAGTCTTGTTTTGTAACTGCTTCTAACTGAACGTGTTGACGGGCAGACTACTAGGAACCTTGAAGCGACGCAGTGACCAAGCAGGAGCAAGCGTTACGGCAGGTGGTTGGTTGGAATGGATGGCAGCAGCAGTGAGTGGTAAAAGTTTAGGTTGGGGACGGCAAGCAAAGGCACTTGTTGATGGGTCGATCTGCTTGGAATCTGGGCTGATCAATTGACGATCGGGTTAACAGTTAGACCTGCCATCCAAAAGGGCAGAAAAAGCAGGCTTTGGAGGTTGCCACCAGGCACAATTCACTAACATCGGCTAACAGGGCAAATTCAATGATAACACAATGGGATAATGCGATAGTGATAGTGATCGGATATAGAAGTCGCAATGGGCGCTTCCCTCGCTTGTTTGCCTGTAGGGTTGTTGGAGGGAAGGAAAGGGTTATGTGAGACATTGTGGATTGCATTCAGGTGGAGGTTGTTGCCCGATGACTCTTTTTCCTCATCTTGTACGGTCCCTGCCGCTACGGATTGGATTGTATAAACCACGGGCACCAGCCAACCTCTTGTCAACAGTTTTGTTCGATGGCTCCTGCGAACACCAAAGCAATGTTCAGATCTTTTTCCTACGACGAAATAGTGCAACAGGGACATTAAAGTCGTGCAACCCTTTGGTGATTCACCCTCAATTGGTCGCCTCTTCACGATCTTGGAATTGGATCACGGAGACGGAGCCCTGCGACTGCCGAGAGCGATGGACCCGGCTGGAATCTTGACTTTGCCCTGCCAGATGCCCGGAATCCGTGCACACGTAGTCCCATTGCCGTCCGCACGTAGTCCCCCCCCCCCCCACTTTTTTGCGCGCAGCCATGCCGCGCAATAACTTACAACGCGCATCACCAAATCCGCGTTATTTTGAAGTCATTCAGAGTCTCCAATCTGGTCAATTGGCTAAGGTACTATTGAGGTTATCAGAATTTCTGGAATTGGTGTCGCCTTTTGCTGCCATCTTGACGAAGAATTGGACAAGTGGGATGCGCTTCTCGACAAACTGGACAAGGGAGAGCAGGTCTACGATCCATCTGAGGACCAACAGACTAAGAAGCGAAAGCGTCGTAACAACGATCCCATTGACAGTGATAGTGACAGTGATAGCGATAGCGATATCGATATCGACATCGACATCGACATCGACAGCGACGGAGATGGCGATAGCTTCAAGTCAGAGGGCGCGCGCGAATGCACTTAGTTGGCGATGTGAAGTTAACGGGCGTAGTTGGGAGCCAAAGATTGGCTGCACACCCTAAAAAGTGGGGGGGGGGACTACGTGCGGACGGAAATGGGACTACGTGTGCACGGATTTCGCCAGATGCCAGATGCGATCAAACTTGCATCTGGGACTGGCTCCAGCTGGGCTTGCGCGGCTGCGTGGAAACAACCAATGAGAGGGAAGAATTCCGACAGGTGGCAAAATCTGCACTTTACCAAATGCAGCGAAGATGGGCAAAAGAGAATACCGCAAACAAGCGAATTTCACGTGACTTCGGTTATCGTCGCCGTTAAGTCACTCCAGTCGGTGATCCACTCCCAAAACGTCACCGTCTGTCACTTTGTGTGGCTTTTTTTCTGACAGTTCTTTTTGTGGCTTTTGGTTTCTATCGGCCCGTTGTTGTGGGATCGAAACGGTCCTTTTGAAATCCGGCAGTGAGATAATTCTTGAAACTTGTCACGTTGTCTGTCGGATGAGGTACAATGCAAAGTATGAAGAAGCACTGGAAGTATCGGAAGAACTTGGGGCCCGTTTGGTTCATCCAGCTGTTTTTTCTTTTGTATGTGAAATCGACCCCTGCAAATCAGCAAGTTGATTTATGCAGGAAGTTGGGGGTCAGTTTGCCTATTTAACCCAGCTTGGCTGCGTCAAGAAGTATCGCGCTAAGGCAGGCAGCCCAAGAGGGGAATTAGTAGGCCCATTTTGGCCAATTCTGCTGTTTTCTATCTTCATGGGGGTGACCATGAAGATAGGTGCATTTTGCTGTTTGCGACCGACAGCGCCAATCATAACCCCGGTTACAACAACGCGTCTTTTAGCCCACGCCTTTGCTTGGCGAGCCTGGTACAAAGCAGTGGCTTTCTAGCTGCATTTTCCGCTTTGTACCCCAAATCAGCACGTTTAAAAAACAGCTGGATGAACCAAACGGGGCCTTAAACTCCTGCTGGAAACACTCTCCGGTGTGGGTGTGGCCCGATGGAGGCTTTGATACACTGGTCCGAGCTGTCTTCTGCGAGGCTAGACATGTATCGTATTTGTGCATAGGCTTGACATGCACATGTGAAGCTATTCACAAGTACATATATGTGTGTTTGAAGGTAGGCAGTTGTCACGTGGTTCACTTGGAAATACGCCAGGAAAATGCAATGGCGAGTTGCGAACCAGGGACGACCTGAGTTGTGCGTGACTTCATAGGGCTGAAAAGGCTTTGATGGATGGCATGGTCCGTTCGTCTGAGCCGCCAGTCGCTGTCACCAATCTCTTTATTAATTTGCTGCCGACCTCGTCTCACTCATCACCCACCGACTGTCCTTGCATATGCATAGTCAGTCTTCCATCCCGTCCCATTGCAAAAAAAGCACCTTTAAAATGTCCAACGTCGAATGTTGATCTGTCATGTCATGTCAAAGTCACGAATCTCCACCTGCCAATTCAGCCCTCTAAGTTTACTATGGTGTTGTGGGTAAGTTAAACCCGTGGGTCAGGTCGTTGAACACACAGTGCCCACGAAGCTTTGGCTGTGGTGGTCCGTGCAAGGTACCTGACAGGGAGGTAAAACTTTTGCTCGCAACCACAGTAGTGTAGGTCCACGATCCGCGACCCGCGATCCACGATCCGGGGTCCGTCACGCCTCGGCCTCGGGCCACGCGAACGGCGGCACGATACCGAACAACCTATGGGATGACTGGATCTCTGGGTTCGGTGAGCTGAGCCTCAGCACAGCAACCTTGACGAGTTGACGTGCTTTGCTGTGCCGAACCAGTGACCAGTGGCCAGTGACAGCTCATTCTCAGTCAGTCAGGGTCCGTCAGCCCCAGGCCCCCAGCAATCCCCGCTTTGGCTTGACTCGGACGCGGACTGGATCTCGAATTCTTCGCCGCGAACACATGGCGCACTTGGCGTCCCATCTCTGACAGGTGAGACAGCAGGTGGTCAAGATGCTTATCATCATACAGCCGCCGAGTCAACCCCACCAGGGCCGTGATCTTCAGGAGCCAGGAACTGAAACACAAATGTGCCTTTGGCGTGTAACCCGCAGACAACAGGTTTGACATATGTATGCTGGGTTCCTGGTTAGGGTTGTCGGCGACATGTAGGAACAGACAACTTCACCTTGATTGAACGGCACAAGGCTCGGTGATGCTCACTATCGACCCCGCAAATCGACGGGCGGCGACCTACAGTCGACCTCTGCCGCGGATAATCTGGTCCGGCAGCGTTCTCATTCGTATATATCCCCTGTGCCTCAACGGACACTCCCTTCTTGTGAGCTCCTCCTCTACATTGAGAACATTTACAGTAGTCCGAAAGAGAGGGGGGGCGGATAGCGTCAAAAATGAATCCATAACATGATACCAACCCCGCCATATGACCTATGTACAAACTAGCAAAAGGAAAAAAAGTGTGCCAAGAAGTTCAGTTGAAAAAGACAAAAACCAGAAAAAGATCTACCCCACCTCTTTTCACCCTCTCATCAAGACCTGGAACCACTGGGGAAGGGGAGGTGACCAGCTCCTAGCAGACCTGTGAGCTCAAATAATATGGGAATCGTGTCAACTGCTAGGTATCCGATGCCTGTGTAACCATGTCAGTATCACTTCAGGAGACAGCAAAATGCCAAAGAGGGGTAGTAGTAAAAACTTACCAGCATAAACAACCAACTTGGTCACCACCTCCACATCATACCTCACTCTCGGCCTCGTCAGCTTCGAGAAAATCTCCTTCTCGCCCAACTCATCCCTCTGGCCCAGATAGAGCTCCGGCTCCTCCACGGCCGACGAGTTTGGGCTCAAGCTACCCGTGCTCTCAACCACTACCTGCCCCTGACCCATCTGCCTCTCATACTTCTCAAAGCCCGACGAGTGCGCCTGATCAACCACCGACTCCTCCCCATCAGCGCCCTCAGCAGCACTATGAACCTGCCTCAGCCCGGATCCCTTCTCGCTACTCAAACTCTCTCTCCTCTTCCTCTCACGATACGCCAGCGTCTCATACGCATCCGCCGCGCTCTGGGGTCCAATGCTAACTGCGCGACCGCGCCCGGGGCCACGGATGCTGCGCATCATCCTGGGGATGTCGCTCATATTGGGAAGGACCTCGTCGTCGCGCAGGTTGAGCGGGACGTCCTTGTACTCGGTAGCGGGCATGAAGAAGCGGCGGGGGAGTGAGAGGCCGTGGGTCTCGATGACGCGGAAGAGGCGAGGCAGGACTTTGAGGAGTGTGGGCTTCATTACTTCGCGCCAGGCAAAGATGATGAGCACACCGAGGATGAGACGAATAATAATTACCGGCCAACCCAAAGCCGAGAGGTCGAAGAGGGCGTTGGGCCCGTTGTAGATGTGATCCCACCTCGACCGCGCAAAGTGCCAGGTACCGAGCTCGAGACCGACGACGACACCGGCGAAGGAGACGGAATCGTCGAAGCAGGGGCAATCATCGGCCGGCTCGGGGTGGATGCGCACGAGGATAAGGATGGTTATGGCGAATAGTATGGGGACGACATAGTCGCTGGCGTACAGCCAGTCTTGGAAGGGCGGGCCGTAGTAGAACTCGATGTAGGAGATGGCGGCGCCCATGATGGAACCGATGATAACGTCGAGGAAGCCGTGCATGCCGCAGTAGAGACGGCCGAAGACGATGGAGAAGGCGTAGAAGTAAGCGAGCAGCTCGAGCGCGAAGGTCGTGCTGGGCGAGAAAGTGTTTTTGTCGCTGTGGAGGACGAGGATTGAGTAGACGGTTACGGAGACGGCGTTGGCGGAGTGTGTAGATGGGAAACCGTATTCGAGCGCGGCGGAACCGGACATGGTGATTCGGTGGAGAGGAGGGGAGAGCGGTCGCGGGAGGGAGAGCATATCTTTGACGAAGCCGGTCCAGAAGACGCCGGCGGCGAGGATGTGGACAAGGCTACGTATGGCGCATTGTCAGCTTGGATCTTTAGGGATTCCCAACGGTCCATGGTGAAGGACATACCCTTTGCCAAAGCTGGAGAAACTGCACCAGAAGAGAACTGGTAGACCGATCATGAAGAAGGTGTGTGTTCCGAGGTTGGCCGTGATGGCAAAGTATCTATCCAACGCTGGTGTCCGCATCTTTTCCTGGAGCATAGCTAGGTATGGAGTCTCCCAGCGGATGAGAGGGAGTAATCGTTGTCGTAGGTTGTATCGCCATTTTGGAAGCCTTCTCTGGTCTAGTCACCGTGGTCAGCTCGAGGCTCGAAGACATTGGAACGCGACCAAAAGTGTAAGACAGGCAAGACATGGCGGGGTTGGAGGGGCACAATGTTGCTCGAGACCGTATGGGTGAGATCAGATGACCCAAGGGTTCCAACGGCAACACAAAGCCAGCTTGTACATACAATGATCTAAGCTCTTCAACCCCGCGTCGACGACGCCATTCTGGACGGGTTTCCCGTTGACGGTAACCCGCGGCGGGGCAGTATCGGAGAGCTCTGCGCCGGAGCTAGAGCCATGGTTGTGTGAACCCATGGGTGAGGGTTGGAACTGTTGTTCTTATGGCGTTGGTGTTGAACTCGTAGTCATCAATGTCGATTCGAATAAGTCGTCTGGGGTTTTGGTTGTTCGAGTTGTCGAACCGAGGCAAAGTGGATGTTGGTGTCAGCAACAGGAACAAGATCAAAACGTGTATGCGACCCTGGCTGACAACTTTAGGACATTGGATCAAAGTCTCGATCAATCCAAAATCTCTCGATCTGAATGGACTTTAAACGGAACCAGCTGGTCGTCATGCAACAAAGATCCAAACAAGGAAAAGTCAAAAGTCAACAAATGCCAAATCACATTTCTCTTCCTTCACAAAGCGTGTCGCGGTTTTGGACCCTTGCAATTGATGGACCTCGATCTCGCCGGCGTTTCGTCAGAATGGGATTGGTTCCTGATCTTTGCTCTGCGACATCATGAAATTATTACCTAATTGCGGGTAGCACCAAGCCCGCCATCCCCTGCATCTCTCTTCATTATGTAACCCAACGGTCTTAACACGTCGTAACCCGTGAAGCAAGCATTGCTGTTAGTGCACCCTGGTATTATCATTGCCTGCCGGGACAGGCTCCCTATCACTATCAATGACATCGCATCTCCAAAGGAGAGGGACACGTCCATTGCACAAACACTCCGTCAAGACACTTTGCGACATTCACATGTCAAGATGGCGGGTGTCAGCGAGAAAGAGAAAAAGACAATAGTCTTTCTCCATCCCGACCTGGGAATCGGCGGCGCAGAAAGATTGGTGGTCGATGCAGCCGTAGGTCTTCAGAACCGTGGCCATAAGGTGGTCATCTTTACGAGCCATTGCGATCCCAGACACTGCTTCGACGAAGCTCGCGATGGTACTCCTCCTCTCTCTCCAGCTCCATTGTTCAACCCAAACAACCAACTAACAGAGTGACAAAACAGGAACCCTCGACGTCCGCGTCCGCGGCAACTCCCTAATCCCCCCCTCTCTCCTCGGCCGCTTCTCCATCCTCTGCGCCATCCTCCGCCAACTCCACCTAATCCTACAAATCACCCTCCTAACCTCCGAACTACGCACCCTCTCTCCCTCCGCCTTCTTCGTCGACCAACTCAGCGCCGGCCTCCCCCTACTCAAACTTCTCGTCCCGACCTCTCCCATCTTCTTCTACTGCCACTTCCCCGACCTGCTCCTCGTCCAGGGGCGCCAAAAATGGTACAAACGTCTCTACCGCCTGCCCTTCGACACCTGGGAAGAATGGTCCATGGGCTTCGCCGATTCGATAGCCGTCAACTCGTCGTTTACCAAGGGGATCGTCTCCCAAACATGGCCCGGTCTGGCTAGCAAGCGCAGCTTGGAAGTAGTCTACCCGTGCATTGACGTGCGCTCTACGTCGTCGGACCAAAAAACCGACAACGACGAAGGAGTCCTACCCTGGACCAAAACGGGCATTATTCTCTCCATCAACCGCTTCGAGCGCAAAAAGGACATTGCTTTGGCAATCAAGGCCTTCGCCTCCCTTTCCCCTCAACAAAGAGGAAAAGCGAAATTGATTATTGCGGGAGGGTATGACAACCGCGTACACGAAAACGTGTCCTACCACGCTGAGCTGGTGGACCTAGCCGAGGGGGCTCCCTTCCACTTGAAGACGGCAACAGCCAAAACGGTCGTTTCGGCGCTTAACACGGCGCCAGACGTGGAAGTGTTGTTCCTCCTCTCGGTACCCAACACCCTCAAGGAAATCTTGCTGCGGTCAGCCAAGTTGTTGGTCTACACGCCAAGCAACGAACACTTTGGTATTGTCCCGCTCGAAGCCATGTTACGCGGCGTGCCAGTGTTGGCGGCGAATAATGGTGGGCCGACAGAGACGGTGGTGGAGGGGGAGACGGGGTGGTTGCGGGACCCGAATGAAGTAGGGGAGTGGGCCAAGGTCATGGATCGGGTGTTGAATGGGATGGGAGAGGAGGAGTTGAAGAAGATGGGGAGGAAGGGGGTGGAGAGGGTGAGGGGTAGGTTTGCGGATACGCAGATGGCGGAGAGGTTGGAGGAGATTATTGAGAGGATGCCGAGGGGGAAGGGACAGCGGAATGGGATGGTGGTGGTGGTGGTGGGTGCGGTAGTGGCGGCTTTTGCGGGGGTCGTTACTGCTTTGTATTTGAAGCTTTGGTGAGCAGGGTTTTGAGTATATGTTCTTGGTATAGACTAGCTAGGGCGATGCATTGTTTAGAGATACCTGGTATTGGTGTCCTTGGTCCGCAGAATAATATTCATATTACTACCTTAAAACCCGATACCAAACCCTTATTCATTCCCGTTTTCCATCAAAACCAACATCACTTTGCAGGATCCTCAGTTAAGTATCTTCCCCTGGAGCAGCAAAACATCTCGTCCGTACCATTTACTTCCTTACCGCCAAGTTTCCAATCACCTAGTTCTGAGTGTAGAAGCATGGGTAATGTCATATGTCTTCATCTTCGCATCCATACCTTCTCCAAAGCACTGATTGTATGCCCTCTTCGTCTCCATAATGTCTTCAAAAACATCGACACCGGCCACCGCATCCACCATACTCACTCCTATCTCAAATCATATCGTTACCCCTAACCCTGGCCTTGGCCTGGGCCTCCCAAGTTCTATGTCTCACGCATCATCGTCTGACCTCTCCCTCTACCTCAAAACCCCAGAAATTCTCCCAAGCATCATGATATCCTCCGCCTCTCCACCGCCACCGCCACCAGTTCTCTGTACGTTCACAACGCTTCCGTTGTCGATACTGGGGTTGGGGTTCACATTCCAGGAGCTCCCGACCGCAGCCCCGTTGAAGCTCTGGTTTGCACTTGAGGGACCACTTCCGCTTCCGCTTCCGCTACCACTTGCGACTCCGTTTTGCTGCCCGTAGGTTGGGAGAGGGATGAAACTCATTGATGTGTATGGTCTCTGTTGCTGTTGCTGTTGCTGTTGTTGTGGTGGTGGTTGTTGTGGCTGAGGTAGTTGTTCCTGTTGGACGGGTTGCTGTTGGACGGGCTGCTGTTGTCCAGCCGTATAGCTCTGTTGCTGTTGCTGTTGCTGTTGCTGCTGCTGCTTCTGTTGCCTCTCTAGTTTCTGCTGCTGACGTTTTCTCTGACGTTGTAGACGATATCGTTCCTTCGCAGCTTGAGCTTTAACCCGGGCCCTAGCCTCAGCCATAGCCTCAGCCTGACGTCGAGCTTGAGCGTCCCTTGCGGCCCTTTCAATTTCCCATCGATTCTTCCATAGGTACTTGGGATCGGGGCCTTGTGGTTCGGTTTGAGTTCGTCTCTTCTTGGTGTTTTGCTGCTGCTCCTGACCCTGACTTTCGCCCGCATTTGAAGCTCCATTACCGTTCCCCGTTGCCATTCCCGGCGCCATAGCAGCACTTCCGCTTCCACTCGCCGTTGCCGTTTCAGCTGCCGGCTCTGCTTGTGAAGGCCCAGCCCCAGTCTCCACGACACTTTCACCCTCACTCTCCGACTCTTCTGAGCCAGACGACCCTTCCCTCTCTCCCGCACTCTGGCCATTCCCAGCCCCAGCCCCAGCCCCAGCCCCAGCCCCAGCTCCCGCTCCCGCTCCCGTCCCCGACGCCTCCGCTTCCGCTTCCCCATCATTATCTCCACTACTTTCCACTTCACCCCCCTTCGGCCGCCCCCACCTCTCCCTCGCCTTCTCACTCCCCCTCAACCCCCCAGCCCCCCTCGCCCTCGTCCAATCCTCCACATCAACCTCCTTATTCCTCTCCCTCCACGCTCCCAAAGCCCTCTTAACCGTAACCCCACTGACCACCCCCCTCCCATCCTTCCCCGGAATCACCCCCAACCCCGCCGCCACGGGAACATCCTTCCACTTGACCTCCCCCCTCCCCCCATTCCTATCCAACCACGCCTCAATAACCTCCACATCCCTCTCCGTCAACTTCCTCTTCCTGCCGCGGGTCTCCTCGCGCGGGTTATTGATGATCTCCGCTATGCGGGCGTTTTCCTCTTCCTCGAGGGCGGCGGCGGTTTCGGCGTCGAGGGCGGCGCGTTCGCTGGCGGTCAGGTCGGCGGAGACGGAGATTTCCGAGAGCACGCGGTAGCCTGTTGTTCGCGAGACGGAGAAGAGGCGGAAGATGTCGTTGTTGGAGATGGTGCCGGGGGGAAACTGGTGCCGACTGCGCAGGAAGCGGAGGAGTTTGAAGGCGCCGATTATTTGGAGTTTGGTGGTGGGGGTTACGTGGGGGGCCATTGTTTGGTTTTGTTCATGGGTTTATGATCATAGGGATTGGTGATCAGAAGGATGGTGTTGATGATGCCCTCGGGAGGAGGGCGATAGAGGTTGTTTGGACGAAAAAGATGGAACAGAGAGGTCCGGACACGGTAGGAATTAGCGGGTTTTGTTGTTGATGTTTTGGTGGTGAGGTGTGCCAAGACGAGCTGTGACAGGGGTTTCGGACTTGCTTATGCGGTGTCGGTTAATTTGTTTCACGTGCAGATCAGGGTTAGGGGTAGGGCTGATCGGTGTATGAACGCTGATGATGTTGATTCTTTGCTGTTAGAAATGAAGACTTTCTGGACAACTAATACGTGGTAAGAAGAATCCTTGGACAGATTGTTTGACCCTTTCCCACAATCATGCGGTAAGCCATCTGAATGCACCAATGCCCCCCAATGCTCACAAAGTACAGGCCCTACCATGGACGCGGTTGATTCATCGGTGATGTTCCTCCCTTGGTCCGAACCATCAAGGTAGCAACCTGTAAACTCTCCAGAAATGAAAGAGCCACACCAACCAGAAGAAGCCAGGAAGAAAACGAAGTAAAGAAATAGCTTCGCCTACTTCTTCTTCGCCGTTTTATCCTTACCATCCGACTTCCGACGATCCAGCCTCTTGACCACACTCCCCAACACAACCTTGAGCAATTTTTCTCCCTCCAACTGCCTCGCTGTCGTATCTCCGTCGTCCCACGTTACCGTATCGACCATATCCCTCGATTTCTCACCACCCAGCTCGTCATCCAGCTCCGCCAACGCCGCCCTAGCCTTCGGGTCATCTCCCACCTGGAAGAACTGAATACCAACTTGATAAGGAGGGGCATTTACTCTCTCCAACTCCTTGATAACTTGTTTGATCCTCGACTCCGGATCATCCTGCGGATCCCCGTCCGTGATCACAATCAGGTTCACCGGCTTCACGCCCGTCTTCTCCGGGTCCCAACTCGAATTCCCGTAACCCCGCGTGTACGTCTTTAGATACGGGCCCAGAATATCCCAGATGCGCTGTCCCGTTAACGTGCGTCCGGACGGGCGAACGCTGTTGAAAATTTGGTTGACTTTGGCGGCCGAGGTGATGTTCGTGTAGCTCCGGCTGTGGTTCAGGAAGTGGATGTCGATACCGTCCTTGTCGTGGGCGACGCAGACGGGGGCGATGGCGGCGATGGCGTCCCTAGCTTCGGACCACCGCTGGCCAATCATGGAGCCGCTGTCATCGATGAGGAAGACGGTGTCGAAGATGGAGAGGAAGGCGTAGGGGTCGTCTTCGTCGGTGACAACTTTCCCGTCTAGGGTCACACGCCGTTGAAAGGAGGTTGAGGCGTCGGGGTCTTGAGAATTCGAGGCGTCTAGTTGGTTGCCTTTCACCGGGATGAAGGGGATGGAACTGGATGCTCCGGGCTTGCCTGACATGGCCTCATTGTAGGAGGGCGGGGCTGCCTCGGAGTTGGCGAAGGGGTTGTTCGAGGCGAGGGCATCGTGGGCGGTGCTGATGGGTTGGGGGACCTGACCCTGGCCTCGGAGGTCGGAGTTTGACTTTTTCTTGAAAACGCCAGAGAACCTTTTGAACCCTCTCGAAAAGGCATTGTCTTCCTCTTTCTTGCCTTGATCGGGCATGCTTGGGTCGTTGGATGAAGCTTGCTTTGTGGCGGCCTGTTGATGATAATTTGTGGAGATGTTGCTGGGGGGAAAATCGTCGAGGTCTGCCATTTTCAATGGACCTTCTTTCTTTTTGTCCTGACCGTGACTCTTTCCTGCAGCTTCCGGCCTTTCTTTGCGCTTGCGTCTTGGCTACCTACCTAGCCGCCACAGCTGTTTGCGCTTTGTTACTTGTTGGTGCAGTGCGATATGTGAGTACCTCAAGGGATGAAATGATATTGTAAGGGATGCGGTATGCGCTGGCTTCTACCGTAACTGACCATCTGTCATCAAACTTGATAATCCTCAAGCTGACATCCATCTTATAGGATGGAATTGTAGAGGCAACAATCACTTCTACTGACAGGTATCCTCGCCATCATGCGGGATCGGCCAGGGAAGTCAAGGGATATAATTTGCCTTTCCAAAAGCCCAGGAGGCTGTATCATGTAGTATTTGAACAAAGGGGTTCGTCTTTGCATTGCAGTGAGCGGCGTTTGATGCGGAAAGAAGATGATGTTGGTGTAACTTTCAGGCAGTGCTGTTGGATCCGCTGGTACCTTATCCGGGGCGAATCACGGGCCACTTACCGTTTGGGCTAGCCCCATATTTTCTGGGTAAGGGTCCACTGTAGGGCGGGGCAAAACAGGTGGGCGGAGCGCTTGCACTGCCCAGTTCCGCCATGTTTTCCAACACGCGCTTGAGTTTGGTTCGAGATACCTCAGCCTCCTTCAACGTTGCGCAATCTCAAAGAGCCAACTTGCCAGGAGTATTCATCGCCATTATGCCTGAGGCGCAAGGCTTGATCTTTTCCAGATGCGGCCTTGTGGGACATGTGCTTCTCTGGACACTCGTCGCCCTCAGCCCCAAGGGCAGAGATGACACTGTCATCAACAAATGGCTGCTCTCAAGTCAGCGGTGCCCAAGATCCAAAAGACTTCGGGGCGGCGTATTGGAAAGTGGAGGGTCGGCAGATGTTGAGATACTTACGAAGGTACACACAGCAGTCAACCAGTCAGCCTGACGAGATCGGCCCTGGCTGAGACGAGAAGACCAGAAACTCGGGCGACATTGTTCCAACGAAGGAGGGTGGCCAGACCTTTATACACAAAGCATGGCGGGAGGGCGCCCGGCCAAGGGGAGGATGAGGCTCTCAACTCCAAGTCTGGGTACTCCTCCAAATGTTCTTCCTCCCCTTCTCTAAAAGCTTGGCAAGAGATCACCATCCAGAGCCTCACCGTACCTCAGCCCTACGACTGTCTCTTGGCCCACCTGGTGAACCAGGGGACGGAGGTGGATAACAACCTTTGTTGTGACCTCTTTCTTGGCGAACCTCGACTCGAGTCATTCCTGTTCGAGGACCTTCACCCGGCAGACTCACCTTTATACGCCTTCATTCGCAAACCCTCCCAAAGATGATGCCCCGAGCGATCCGGTATCAGTTTCAAAAATAAGGTCTCTTCAATCTGAGAAAATGTCGGTCAACCGAACTTGACCCCTAAGATGGCGAGTCATGATGTCCGGTTCGGGTGACGGGAGGTGAGTTTAGGGGACCTTGGCGATGTCCACTGATCCGAGAGACGAACAGCGACGGCGACGGCGACGGCGACATGACTGGCTATCACGAGCTGGGGACATCTCGAAGTACAGCTCCGGATGGATCCGGCGACAAGACGACCGTTGTAACCCCTGATCTTCTTGGCAGGGGTTCCCTCTTGATCCGGACCACCCGTACGGATTAGATGGGGTCAAGGTAACACAAAGATATCACAGTGGTGATACCAAGTGGTGGTAGCCATTAGTACACGGGAGGCTTTAGCAGATTTTATATTGATCATGTCAGATATCTGCTAGACTTTTCAAGGGAAAACATTCACCCTTTAACTTCCAACTCCCAGATCAGCCATGTGCAGTGAATGGATCTGATGGAATTCTTCTCCGAGTTCTACCGCCATCGAACCCCTTCAACCCCCTCCGAGCCCCCCTCTCCCGTGTAGTTCCCGTGTGCCGTATCCCTACCGTCGACACCGAGTGGGTTGCGGAAGGTAATACGGGAATTCTATGTGTCTATGTTATGGAGCTGGTCAACTAGAACCCACTCTGCGCCCACTTGGATCGTCATATCCTCATGCATGATTGGCATGCCGTCAACCATTCACTTGCAACTCACCTGTATCACGGCCACGAGTCCGCAACTCCAGCCTCCTGAATGGACACTTCCCACAATCAATGGCCCCCAAACCTTGTTCGGGGAACACGGCGTCATCGACTGAGAGCGAAATCGGTAGTCTGTCAGGGTAATTTTTTATCAAATTCTCCAAGTCTGAGCCTCGATAACATCACCAAAACAGCAGTCAAAACCGACGTTTTTGCTCGTGGCCTCTTCGCATTTGAATAGGTTCTTCCCCGGGCTCGCTTTATGAGGCCATCTTACAAAATCGTGTCTTGTGTTGGAGGTCAAATCATGCTGAAATTTGAGGACAGACTATGTCGACCATGTCCGTTGTCTCTAACACGAGCTGATTGGCGGAGCAGACACCATGCGCGGTGGGCCTTACCCTGGCTGACTACCGATTTCGCAACCTGACCTACCATCTCGAGGCAAGTGGTTACGTTACGGCCATTGTACTTTTCGATGGATGTGACTGGATGACCCCTCCCGTTCAGGTTCCAGCGTCCGCGGGGTAGCTCAGCCGACCCTTCACTCCTTTTATTCTTCCCGTCGCCCTTCCCTCTTGGTTTCTTCCTGAGCTCCTTCTCTTTCCAAGCCAAAATAAATACTGCTGCCTTTTTATCCCCAGGCGCAGTTCTCCCATTGACAACTTAGCCAAAACATCCCGAGACCTGGAGAAGCAGTGTCTTTCACGATGGCTTCCCACCAGCACCCCCCTGGTCACCATGGTGCCTTCCACAACCGGAAGTTCAGCATCAACCGCAACACTGGTATCCCCAGACCTGCCCGTCGCTTCTCCATTCAAGAGCCCAGCATTACTGGTATGTCGTCCTCCGATTAAAACATCATGTTCGCCAGGCTAATCAAGAACTCAGAGGCATCCAGCGATATCCACAAAAAATTCAGAGCAGCTCATGAGGGGTACGTCGTCTGTGCCACCCCGTCAAATCGGACGAACCATTCTAACATTCGCTGATAGACATCTTCCTCATGCTGGCCTGGATGCCACTCGATCCTCCACCGGAGTCATCTGGTGCTCCGAGCAAGCCGGCGAGCATGGTTACTTTGAGGAGCCCGAGAAGTGGGCAAACCTCGGACGTGTGTATCCCCTCTCGCCTATTACCCATAACACATACTAACAACATCACAGAGGGCGCCCCCGAAGTCGACGACGAAATCGAGGGCTGCTTCCCCCGCCCCCAGCACCTCGACATCTCCGTAAACTCGCGCGAGTATGGTCCCACAGCCGGCATCAAGCCCCTCCGCGAAGCCGTCGCCAACCTCTACAACGAGATGCACCGCCAAGGCAAGGAGTCCAAGTACACGTGGGAGAACGTCGCCATCGTCCCCGGCGGCCGCGCCGGCCTGATCCGCATTGCCGCCGTCCTCAACAACGCCTACGTCGGCTTCTTCATCCCCGACTACACGGCCTACAACGAGATGCTTTCCCTCTTCAAGAACTTCGCCGCCATCCCTGTCCCGCTGTCCGAAGAAGACGACTACCACATCCACCCCGAGAAGATCGCCGAGGAAATCGCCCGCGGCACCTCCGTCATCATCACCTCCAACCCGCGCAACCCCACCGGCCGCGTCGTCGCCAACCCCGAGCTGGCTGAGATCCAAGATATCTGCCGCGAGCGCGCCACTCTGGTCTCTGACGAGTTCTACTCGGGATACAACTACACCTCCAACTGCGACGGCACCACCATCTCCGCCGCCGAAAACATCAAAGACGTCGACGAGGACGACGTCCTAATCATCGACGGCCTGACTAAGCGCTTCCGCTTGCCCGGCTGGCGCGTAGCCTGGATCTTGGGTCCCAAGGAGTTCATCAAGGCTATTGGCTCGTGCGGCTCTTACCTCGACGGCGGCACCAACGTTCCCTTCCAGGAGGCGGCCATTCCTATGCTCGAACCTACCTTGGTAAAGGCAGAGATGAAGGCGTTGCAGCGCCACTTCATGGACAAGCGCGACTTTGTCGTCGGCCGCCTTCGCGAGATCGGTTTCTCCATCAAAGCCGTCCCCGACAGCACTTTCTACCTGTGGCTTAACCTCGAGTGGCTGCCCAACCCCATTTCCGACGGATTGAACTTCTTCCAGGCCTGTCTCGAAGAGAATGTGATCGTCGTCCCGGGTATCTTCTTCGATTTGAACCCCAGCAAGCGTCGCGACTTGTTTGATTCCCCCTGCCACCATTTCGTGCGCTTGTCATACGGCCCGACGCGCGAGGTCCTGGAGAGAGGATGTGATGGCATTGAGCGCGTGGTCAGGAAGTTCCAGGCGTTGGAGGCTCAGGGCGCTTATGAAGTCCCTAGGGCGCCGAGCCCGAGCAGGACAGAGGGCGAGAAGGAGAGTAATCTTGTGCCTAGTGCCGGTGGTGGGGAGAGGGAGAAGGATGAGATTTTGCATTTGCTTTAAGCGGCGTCAGCTTCTGGTAAGGCATGGGCTCTTGACTGGCCTTGATGCCATGGTGTTTTACTGAGCGGTGTTTTTGTGACTGCTTATGCATTGCAATGACAACATTAGCCATTTTAGCTAGCTAGCGAGTTTGTGGCTTACTGTAGTCAATTTACTACCACCTTAATACATGTCCGTCCTGGTGATATCTACTTCTTGATTCAACCTGACGATATCTTCTGCCTCCTCATCAGCTCCAAATATCCCCCATTATTACCATTGCAATTACCCCTTGTTTATAATGAATCCTTACTCCTTCCTTCCTCCCCAAGTTTCCCTCCTTTAAGCCCTCGTAATAGCATCAACATCCACCCCCTCTCCCTTCGGAAGTGATTATCCAGCATATAAAACGACATGTACCATCTGGGAGGCCCACTACGGAACTTGAAGCACCGTCGACACCTCTTTACCACACCACTCCTGCCTTGGGACTTCCTGACTGAATCTAAAGACACTCATCGAGAGGGTGCCCAGTGCCCACAGAGTGCCCGAGGTTCCAGCCTAATAGGAACACGCGAATTCTACAGTGTATGGCTTGCGTCTGTCTGTCACCCGTTCTATCTAGCTCGTTAAAACTGCCAGCCCATCGAATCCCCCTATTGCTCGATCTATCAAATCACCAGTCCAATACTCGAGAGACTTCCTCTCTTGGCTTCCGTCGTGGCCTTTTTCGTTCATCAGCCTCTGCTGCTGCCTCTGAGACTTGACGGCTTGTAGCCGACCAAGAAGAGCACAGACACTCTGTTTACCTCAGGTTGGTTAGTTGTTTCGGCTATTAAACTCCAGTTAGCTCGATCCTCTAGCCTCAGCACTAACTCCTGTCAGCTAGACAAACCACCAACTTGCTAGCTAGCTAGCGAGTTTGTGGCTTACTGTGGTCAATTTACTAAGTCTACCACCTCAATCCATCTTCGTCCTGATCATTTCTAGTTGTATTAGATCATTGGCTCACGGGTCTCTCTCGCTGTTTCGATTCATCGCCAATACCCCCGGTCGGAAGGGGCTCCGACTGGTATCATAAAGGGTAGGTTAGGAACCGAGTAGAATGAGTACTTCTTGATTCAACATGGTGATGATATCTTCTGCTTCCTCACAGCTCGACATATCCTCCGATTATTACCATTACAATTACCCCCCCCCATTTTTGACCACTCTTTAGCCCACCTCACCATCCTCGTTCCCCCTTTAAACCCTCGTGATAGCATCAACATCCACCCCCTCTCCCTTCTTCCCCTTCTTGTTCACCTCCCCGCCACTTCTCCTCGCCATTCCCATTCCCCGACCCACCGCATTAACAGCCTCCTCCTCACTCCCAAAAGACAAAGCCTCAGATTCAACGGCCTCGGTTCCCCTTTTAATCTTAACAACACTTATCGGAGTCTTCATCGCACCCGCACCATCGAACAACCCACCACCACTATTCTCTACTGATTTCTCAGCACTATCGGCATCGGGGTATACCCCCGACTCAGATCCGGATCCAGAACTAGATCCAGATTCACCAGCAGCGCCAGCCGGGGAGTTGATAGGCTCCGCACTAACAGGCTCAGAAAATCCATACCAAGCTACCACCGCTACGCCCAAGATACCGGCCAAGCAACTCATGACCAACGCCGCGATCCCTCCTCCTGTGAATCCCGAGTGCAGCTCCCCAGGCGGTTTCGGTTCCCCGTCTAGCACCAACCACTGCTTCGGATCCCCCCCGTTGCTGTCTCCCCGTCCCGCAGCGTTTCCCTCAGTGGGGATAACTCGGTTCTTCGACTTACAGGCAGCATAATGATCCTCGGGGATTTCTAAAGTTTGCTGCAAGACAGAAGGAGCCTCAACAAAAGTAACCACCAACCCACTAATTATATGCCACTCAATATGACAATGAAATAACCACACGCCCGGGTTATCCGCCTTGAATCTAATCACCGCGTTTCCATTCGGTTCCACGAGCAGCGTGTCTCTTCGCATCGGAGGAGCTTCATGGTTGTAACTTGATTCGTTACCGGATCTGGACCAGGGTCCTTCGTCGGGACCGGAGCGGTGGAGGATTTGGAAGTTGTGTCCGTGTAAGTGGAAGGGGTGGCGGCCCGAGTCGAGGTTGTTGAGGACTAGTTGGATTATGGAGTTGTGGGAGAGGATGTAGGGGTGGGTGTAGGTGCCGTAGATTGAGGGGTTGGTGGTCATTTGGGAGGAGTTGGGGGAGGACAGGACGGTGTAGAGGGTGGGCACGAGGGGAGGGACGTAGGTGATGTTGTTGAAGAAGGCGTAGTTGGCGCCGGAGGCGAGGTTGTTCATGGATATGTTGAGGGTTATGGCTTGATCGGGGAGAGGGAGGATGCCGACGTTGTCATGGGGGCGGAGGTGAGTGTCGTCGAGGGGTGTGAAGGAATCGAGTGGACTTGGTGAGGTGAGGGGGGCGGTGTTGTTGTAGAGAAGGTAGCTGGTTACGTTGGGGTTGAGGGAGGGGGGGATGGTGTCGAAGAGGGTCTACATTCTTGATGTCAGTATATCTGGCTCGAGGATGAGGTGGAAGGTGACTTACCGTGTCCATGCTGGCAATGATGGGAAAGTTGCGTGAAGTTTCCTTCTTGGCCTTGAGGAGAAAGCTGCATCTCTGAGCCGCAGCCAGATAGATCATGCTTGTCTCTGTCGGATGGACGTAAACACCATCCATCTCAACTACGGTCATGTTATGGTCTTCAATCCATATGTACTGACCCGCAAAAGCTCCAATGTTTGCAATGCGGAACAAGTAAGTCCTCTCGGGTATCATGGGCATGGTCAAATTCTGAGTGTCGTTCATGAGTGCCGAATTAGGAACTGGTTCGGCTCCAGTTGGGTTGTACTTGCTCATGAAGCGAGGCTGCAACACTGACATTCGCTCATGGTACCAATCCGAAACGGTGAGAACAAGCTCTTGGTCGTATTGGAACGGGGTTTTGGGATCGTGAATAACGAGGGGTCCTCTAAAACCGTCAGGATATTGGCCTTTGTTGTGGGAGTGATACCAGTAGGTGCCCGGTTGGTCGACGGTGAAGTTGTAGGTGAAGCTGGCACCCGGGGAAACCGGACATTGTGTGACCATTGAAGGACCGTCCATGTGAGCTGATCCGTTCATGAACAAGCCATGGAAGTGGAGAGAGGTGTCTTCATCACCGAGCGAATTCAGGAGGTTGACAATGAGGCGATCACCAACTTGGACATCTATCCTCGGAGGCGGCCATTGGTTGTTGATTCCAATGACCTGTCGCTCAGCTAGGCCATCTGGATTTGCCGTGACCCATGATACGTTGAAGTCATAGACGACGGTGGCAGCGTATGCTGCTGTGGTGATGGAGAGTAGGACGATCAGTGACAACATCCTCATTGTGAAGGCTCCCATGATAGAGACAATAGACGAATGTCGAACTCGAAGCATTTTTTGAGATCTGATAAAGTCTGGGATCTGATAAAGTCTGGGCTCGCTCTGTCAAGGATTTTGGGGGGGTCACCACTCACCCCTTCCCATCTCGCCGAGTGTCACCTAGGTCTAGGCCTCGGAAGCCTCATTGGGTCAAGCAAGCTCCTTCCAATTCGAGACCAGAGAGCACATTTTTGCATGGCACAGAAATTACCTATTGTGATTGAACGATCGAGAAGCTACATTCTACCCCGGGTACGTGTAACTGCGGACAGTGAATCACTCATGAGCATGGGACCCTTGGTTGGTGTCGAGGCCGGGCGGAAGGAAAGCGGTCTACTTTACCGAAGCGCTCTATCTTATCAATCAATCTACACCAGAACTGGTGAGGATCGTTCGAGATCTCTTTAGCTGCGCAAATTTATCATTTAAGCGTCATGCAGGTTGGAGCCAATCGGTGGCTCCCATTCTCCTGTGTTGAGCTTGTACTGTGTAAATACCTCGGCAACCACAGCCTTGGCAGTTCTCTACCAGGTAGAGGGTTCAATGCTACCATGGCATCGATCCGGGTTATTTCCGGTTAACATCAACCCAGAACAATCGATATGGCAGTCAAACAGTCCATGACAGGAGTACCTATGAAAAGACATCATGGAAACAGCAGGCCTCTCCTTCCCTGCTTGGCTCCATGGGCGCACAAAGATGTTGTGTGTTCATGCACTTTTCCTTTTCCATTCCATATTCGGGAAGTAGGTACAGTAGCGCCCTTCCAGTCAAACAGGGAGTGCCACCTAGAGGTACACTAGTGTTCCCTTTGCCACTTTATCGTTTTGTTCAGTTTCTTCCACCATCAACATCTTCTCCAACCGTCCCAGCCTGCAGAACTGAAGACAGCCAACACCAAACAGTCCGCAATGCAACTCTTCTCCGTCCCCATCTTCCTCCTCGTCTTCCGCGAGACCATCGAGACATCCATCATTGTCTCTGTCCTCCTCGTCTTTCTCAAGCAGGCCCTTGCCTCCCCTCTGCCATCTCCAGAGGCAAGCCAACTTGGCCATGCCGCTGAACTCAAACCTACGCCGCCGGAGCGTCTAGGCCAAGTCGTACCCCAGCAGGCTCAAACCTTGGCCCAACACGATGAACCTCTCTCCACCTCCCATTCACAACCCGTTGATCTCCGTGTGTACCATGCCCTCCGCCGCCAAATCCTTCTTGGTACCATCTCCGGCTTTATCCTATGTATCGCCATCGGCGGCGCCGTCATCGGGGTCTTCTACACTCTTGGTGTCAACAAGTGGGAGAGCTCGGGCGCGGAGCTGAACTGGGAAGGAGCGTTTTGTCTCTTGGCGAGTTTGATTATCAGTGTGGTGGGCGCGGCGCTGTTGAGAGTGGGCAGGATGAGGGAGAAGTGGAGGGGGAAGATGGTTAAGGCTATGGAGGGGAAGGACAGGAAGGAAAACGATGGGAGAGTTACAAGGGAGGAGGGTCAAGATGGGGAGGAAGATACGGAGCGAGGGGAGACGGAGGGCGTAGAAAGGGGACGCGGATGGTGGGTGAAGATGAAGACGTGGATGGAAAGGTATGTCATGTTTGTTCTGCCCTTTGTGACAGTGTTGAGAGAGGGCGTGGAGGCGATTGTGTTTGTTGCTGGTGTGTCATTCGCGGCGCCGGCGAGCTCGATCCCGATTCCTGCTATTGTTGGGGTTATCGTGGGAGCTTTGGTTGGGGTGGTTCTGTACCGGTGAGTCTCTTCCTCCCATCGTCGGCTGAGTGGTAACTGACGAGGGTTGTTCCCAGATTCGGATCATCGACCAAGTTGCAACTCTTTCTCGTGCTCTCGACATCACTCCTCTACCTCGTCGCAGCTGGTCTCTTCTCTCGCGCAATCTGGGCATTTGAGAGCCAGCAATGGGCCAACGCCATCGGAAGTGATGCCGCGGAACTCGGTAGCGGCCCTGGATCCTACGATGTTGACAGATCTGTCTGGCATGTGGACTGTTGTAGCCCAATTGTGAACGGTGGAGGCGGTTGGGGCATCTTCAACGCCATCTTTGGCTGGACCAACTCGGCAACATACGGCTCCGTCATTGGATACAACTTGTATTGGCTGGTCGTCATTGTGTCTTTCCTCGTGATGAGATACCGCGAGGTGAAGGGGAAATGGCCAATCATCCTACGGAAGACTGCGGTCGAAGATGGCAAGTCGGTAACGGGGCCTTTGTCACGCCATGACACGAGTGAGAAGGCTAGCCTTTTTGACAGGTTGAGCTGGAAGAAGGGCAGGTATTGAAGAGGATATCTGCATCAAGTATCGCAGGGCAACAAGCCGCCGCGTGCGCGACAAAGAAGAAAAAACGAGAAGGGGCCACCAACAAAAAAAAACGCCCAAAAAAAGAAATCAACAACCGGTCAAGATGGCTCATCAGTGAACCCCTATGTTCTACTAGGCCAGATGCAAGTCCCGCGGTGTACGACATGTGAGACACGCTCTCGGTCTTGTTCCTTGTTGAAAAGAACCACATGATCTGCCCCGTCCTTGACTCGAACTCGAAGTCACACGGGGTGGGAGATGCAGGGCTGGACGTGTCAAACGGCAAACCGACTACGCCATATGACCAAGTGGTCGTTGGAAGGTGATGGTAGAAGGTATTGGACGAACAATTATATGGTCATTAGATATTTGGCTGGTAATGGAAGGAGCAGTAGCGGTAGAGGTAGGCTGGCAGGCACGCACGTATGTACGCAGTGGTGGGCAGTTGGCCCGGGGACTCGGGCCAGATTCGGGACCAAGTGCTGCGGATGGAGGGCCATCAAGGTCCCTGGACGGGGAGACATGTTTGCCAGACGCGACTGTCGAGATGGCGTCTTGTTCGCTTCTCATACTTTATCTGTTTATCTGGTCATGTAAGCAGCTTTTAATCAAGCAATACGTCCCCGTCTAAACGCCAACTCATGCAACCAACACTCCGTCCTTAGTTCCTCCCCAGACAACAACAACAACAACAACAACAACAACAACAACAACAACAACAACAACAACAACAACAACAACAACAACAACAACAACAACAACAACAACAACAACAACAACAACAACAACAACAACAACAACAACAACAACAACAACAACAACAACAACAACAACAACAAAACTTCTCAATACTCTTCTGCCGTCCAATCCCACTCGTCAGCTAGAAAGAGTTCCATGGCCATCTTACTCGTCCCTAACGTGCTATTATATCTCATTCTCGGATCAGCCGCCAGACTTCTGGTGAACTTGAACACCCTCTTCCCTTTATCCCTGCCATTGTCATCATCATCCTGTCCCTGCGCCAAACTCACCCAACTAACCTCCTCCCTCCTCTTCTCCCACTCCCCCCTCTTGATGGCGATAATCTCGCTACTCAACATAGCCTGCACGTAATCCAAAACCGGCAGCATTCTCGTCCTCAGACCGCAGTTGGTATGATGCCGATCAATCTGATAACTCGGACACTGTCGCAGGATGGAAATGAAGTGGCTGATTTCCATGGTCGAGATGCCTCCCAGCCCAGTGTCTGTCCCTGGCCCCCTACCACCGCCGGGGGAACAAGGTTTAGGAGGACCAAACACCACACCCGTCCCCGGCCCGTTTCCGGCATCAACCTTAGCCAACGGGTTCTCCCCGCCATCGTACTGGTTAATAGCCCGATCAAAGCTCATGGGACTGAAATCCACCAGGCTGAACAGTCCTTTCGTACAAAGGAAACGAATCATTTCCCCCAGCTGATAACTATCGCAACTGGCGCTGCTCTCATAACCAAGTTTACACTGCCGTCCCTGAGCAGCCGCTTGCAAAGCCGAGGCGGCGTTGGAAGTGAAACTTGCGCCTATCCCTGCCGAAGAGGTGGTTATCGAACGGGTTTGTGGCGGGCGGACGATGTATAACCTTAAAAAGTGCCGGGGGATTGATGCCAAAACGGAGAGGAGGCTATTTCTCCGATACGACAGTTCCTCTTCCAACGAATCAGGCAACTCCCACCATCTTGCCTTGAACCGATTCTCCCCATATTCCCCAGCTTCCATACCATCCCCTCCTTCCTCCTCTTGTTCCTCAGGTAAAGCACCCAACCCCCACCTCCTACTCCCGTACATGACGAACTCCCTCGTGGCCGCCTGGAACTTTAGTGGGAAATCCAGCAGCCAGGAAACCAAGATCTTTTGGCGGAGGAGCTCTTCCCCTGCCAAAGTGAGGGCGTGGCCGTCTTGGTCTTTTGTGATACGGGTGGGCGTGGGCGGCCATTTCATTTGGGTTTGGATCTGGATCTGGATAGGGGGTGTGAGGGAGGAGGATGAGGAGGAGGAGACAAGACGGGAGAGGGAGGGGGTGCAGGAGAAGCGGTCGGCGAGGAGGGTGAGGGTGGTCAGGTAGGGGATTGTGAGGGATGGTAGTGTTGGCTGTGTTGGCTGTTTGGGTTCGTCTGCCCCTGGCTTTGGTGGTGCTTTCTCCCGGCCCTTTGGTAGTGTCTTGTCTAGAGCCTTCTTCAGTCCGTTTGGTTGTGCTTTGGCTGGTGCCTTGGCTGGTGCTTGTCCTGGTCTTTGGCCCTTTACTGGTGTTGTTGTCTTGGTTGCCGGTTTGGATACTGGCTTTGTTGTGGGTGCTGGTGCTGCCTTGGGCTCCGGCGGCGGTACTTCTGCCGGGGGAGTTCCGTCTGTTGCCGGGGGAGTTCCGTCTGCTGGCGGCGGCAGCGGTGGTGCCGGCAACCTCCCATGATGCAGTATATAAAGCAAATCATGAAAGACATACCTCACCTCCGCACTCTGCGTAGCCTCATCATCCTCTCTGATGCTCACCCTCGGCAGCTGCGTCCATTCCGCCTCACCAGGGCTAATATCTTCCAACGAAAGCTTAGCAAAGGCCGCCTCAACAGCCTTGGCCTCGGCAAAACGCGTGTCTGACAGCAGACGGGCAAAGTAGGGTGAGTGCTCCTTCAGGACAGACAGATGAACGCGAAAACCAACCCTGACTCTGGGCTTGGGCGGTGGTCTTGGTGGTCGTGCTGGTGTCTTCGCGGGTCCTTGTCCTGGTCCGGTTGTCTTGCTGGTCCGAGGAGTTGGTCGGGAGGTGAAGGCGGCGAAGGCTTTCTTGGCGGCGAGGATGACGGGCTTGGAGGTCTCGAAGGTTACGTCGAGGAGGATGTCGCCGTTGGGGACGATTTCGATGATTTCGAGATCTGGGGGGTTGGTGCTGCTGCCGCCGTTGGGGGGTGGTGGTTTGGTGGGTGTTGACATGGCGGGTGGTGATGAGATGTGGTTGCTCTCATGCAGCCACAGTATCCCGTTGTGCTAGTCGTCTTCCTCAAAAGATTATAGCTCGGTCCAACAGTCCGTTGACAGCTTCCTCAGGCAAGGAATTTGATCTGGCCCAAGGACCAAAATCTACTGAGAGTTGAGCTGAGATGGACAGTACAGTTCGATTTGTTGTCTGATATCAAAGATTACGTGATCAGCCAGAGTTGTCCCCGTCACAAAACTTCACGCTAGCACGCCTGAACAAGAAGCAATAAAGTGCTTGACATTTTGAGATAAAAATTCATCGACCGTGACGCTTCATCTTTTACTCACTTGTGATTCACCCAGACGAAACGCCACGAGCCCAAGCTTTTTCAGCCCTAGAACTATTCGTAACCGGAGAAACAGAAATAGGTATCGCTGGAGTTGTTAAGTCTAGATTTTGGATTACCCGTGGGTGTGAAGCGGCAAACGGTTAGTAATGCAAGAGGCGAAATTGTTAGTGCAGTCACTGCCAGTGATTTAACAGAACTGACAGGTGCGCTGTCAGTAGTGATGATCAGCACCGGGAATGCATTGAAGCTACGGAAGCTAGAGATGACGTTTCTTGTAAACTCTGCACAATCTGACCGAACTGGTACGTGTAATTACGGGTTCGTATTGCAATATTTTGTAGGCCTTGAAACCTCATCTCAGAAACCGGGTCTTCCGAGATCGGATCTGGAACCATGTCTCGTTCACAAGAAAGGAGAACGAACCCCTTTTCAGATGTTTCTCGTTTTTGTTTGCCTTGTGTTCTCAGATCCTGCAGACTTGAATCAATCAATCAAGGTGTTTGCTTGTTCTCTGTCCACAGCTGGAGTGAAACGTGGTAAGGTTGGCGTAGCGGTAGTGGCTAGCAAGTGAAAAATCCAGTAAAAATTAGGTAAAATAGAGGGCGGCCGAGACCGCTACTGGATGTCCGACCCAAGACAAGCCCACCCCGACCAAGACCACCATCGTGCACTTTCTCGTCCATCTATGTCGTGCCAAGAAATCGACGTCAACCTTTTGGGCCAGTTTCGTCTTTTTTTTTCTGGCATCTCCCCATCTCCCCTTTCCCACACTCCTAGTTTGCAAAGTACACCTTTGCCATGCTCACCAGGGCAGATGCAAATTTTCCAAACTCACTTCTCTCCGTCTTTCCCTACAACCTGTCTTGACACCTCGTCGCCGTCACCTCAGATCGCAACTCGGATAGGCAATGGCCGCTGTGCGCCGTCGTCCCCCTACCCAGTCTCTTGTATCTGCTCTCCAACACCTCGAGCCTGCTTCTTTCCACGCGAAAGCTCCCAGAGCTGCCCAAGACACCGAACTGCTGGATGCCTTTATGGCCTATCTCTCTACCTTCTTCCACCATCCTCCCGTAGCTACGCGACCCACGATGAGACGAGTAACGATGCCCGGTCCGCGGGTTCTGCGCACAGCTGTCGGTAGACGCTACCTCCACGCATATGCACGACCCTCGAGAACCTCCTCCAGCTCGACAACAAGCACCGACGAGCTTTGCGACAGCTTCCGAACCCATACCCTCACCGATCGAACCTCGAAGCGCAAGTTCCACAACTACTTCGTCACCCATCTGCCGTCGTCCTCCTTACATCCTGATTCCCGGTTACAACATCCCCACCATAAGCTCCCCCGATCGGCATCGGTACCACACAAGCAGGATCCCGGAGCTGCTCCTGCTGCTGTACCTCCCAACATACCCGGTCGCGACCTCACCGTCGTCCGAATTCCACTACGAAGCGCAAAACACCATTTTGGCGCGTCCAATTCTCGCGGTCAACGTAACTACAATGAAGATACAAACCAGGCTGGTACAATCAGCATGCCGTCCTTCGCCAAGCGAGCTCCCATGAGCCTCGTTCGCAGTCAGATGCGGTCTCTTAATGAGAACACCACGGCGAATAGCTCGTTTGGAGACCCCCAGATCTTCTACTTTGCCGTCTTTGACGGCCACGGCGGCTCCGAGTGTAGCGAGTTCCTAAGGGACGAGCTACATGGCTATATCGAACAGGCAGCACTGGACTTTGGTCTGCAGAGTAGTTTGCAAAGACAAGGCGACAGCTTGAGTAACCCACCGGAAACGTCAGGAAATGCGCCCAGGAGCAGTAAAGATGCACTTAATCGAATCGACATGAAGAGCCCCGAAGAAGTCCAGGACCAGCTCAACGTACCGGAAACAAAGGGCAATGCCGTCGTCGAAGAAGCTTCCCACGAGCCACCCCCTGACGGAGACGAGCCTATACCAGCAGTAGCAGACGAAGCCAAAGCCGAAGAGCTTGAATCCGATCTCCTAGGCGAATACCGCAACACGGTAGGAGGCTACTTCCGCCGCTTCAACTCCCGCTACTTTTCCGAACGAGCAGCCGCCCGAGCCCGCTACTCCGGTAACAACGCCGCCTCCTCTATGGATGACAACACCCTCAAGAACAAACAACAAAAACAAATCGACGAAACCCCCGTCACCACCCCGGTAACCGTCGAGTCCGTCCTCACCTACGCCTTCCTCCGCGCCGACCTCGACTTCATCACCGCCCAAGCCCGCAAGCCCGACCCCGACGACCCTCATATCGCCGACTACCCAGTCAACAAGGACGAAGTCCTCGGCCATCCGCACCTCCCGCCCTCCGGGCACGGCATCGGCGGCTCCGCGCGCTTTAAGGGCGGCTCCACGGCCTCGATCGCCCTGATCGCCACTCCTACTCCGGCACCCTTCTGGCACCCGGCGGCACACAGCACCTTGCTCGTCGCTCATGTAGGCGACACTAGGGTCCTACTCTGCGAAACCGCCACCGGCCTCCCTCGCCCCTTGACACACGACCACCACCCCTCCAGCCCCGCCGAGACCCGCCGACTGATGCGCTACGCCGAGTCTCTAATCACCGACTCCTTCGGCGAGGAACGTATCTCCGGCCTTGCCAACAGCCGGTCCTTCGGCGACATGCAATCCAAACGCATTGGCGTGTCTGCAGAGCCGGAGATCATACGCGTCAACATGGGACCGGCCGAGTACTCTTTCCTGGTGCTGATGAGCGACGGCGTGAGCGGTACCCTCAGTGACCAGGAGGTTGTGGACGTGATCAAGGAGGCCAAGACCCCAGAGGAGGGCGCCAGGCATGTCGTTGAGTATGCGACGGAGGTGTCGGCCGATGGAGATAATGCTACTTGTCTTGTGGTGAGGCTGGGAGGGTGGGAGAGGAGGATGGAAGGGGGGTTGGGTAGTCTCGGGACGAAGGAGATTAGGGATGCGAGGAGGGCGGAGGCGTTAGATCCCAGAAGGGGGAGGCGGTGATTTTGTGGGGTGTGTCTGGGAATGAATGCCAGTGATTTTCTTTTTTTTTTTATTTTTTTTTTTTTTCGTTGATGATATGGTTCGGCGATAGAACGTACTGTAGACAGCGTTTTTTTTCTTCTTGTGACTTACGTACGGGTACATAATGATGGTGTTTGATTGTTTGGGGTGCATAGCATGGTGGGTTGGGATGGGGTGGGATCTGAGGTATCGAATATCACAGCATCATTGTGATTGTAACGGTAAAAGCGCAGCGTTTCGGGGAGAGAGAGAGAGAGAGTGTGTGTGTGTGTGGAAGAACCTGATCGCGTTGCGTGAGACAAACAGATTATCTGGAGTGAGACTTACACCGTGTCTTTTTAACATGCAATCTAGTTAAGACAAAGTGTCGGGATACCCAAAACTCATAATATTTGTTTTGTTGTGTAGCATCTATTCTACACCCTCAGAGATAAACGGATATCTATCATCTCGTGAACGTCTTTTTCCGCGCGCAAGTATAATCAGAAAATGTGTCTCTCTCTCGGTTGTAGTCATGGTAAGTAGCATTTGCCTGCGTAATAGCAGTGTGAACCCGAGTGTCACAGGATTACCTGTTGACATTGGTTTATAGTGTGCACTCCGAGTCCTGCCTAGCAAGCAGAACATCGTCCTACCTTTTGGAGGTTTGGCGGACTTGGTTATGTGCACGCCTGTCCCGTCATACCGAAGACCAAATTCAACGACGAAGATAAAACCTTGAAGAGAACTAAAGGACATCCATCATCAGAAATATCAGACATGTGTGTGTGTAAGTGGTGGTTGAGGACTAGAACTAGTACGATACCAAGCAAGTTTCTGTGATGCAAAGTCTATGCATAGTTTGCGTGCGGTATATAAGTACTAGATCAAAACATTTTCATCAACCAACAAACAACAACCAACGGTTGTATAGTGTAGCGGTTATCACTCCGGATTCTGATTCTTGACGATTAGAACATTCCGGCAACCCCGGTTCGATTCCGGGTACGACCTCTCTCGTATTTTTTGTTTCTGTTATATCTGCTCCTTTTGCCTCCTTTCCTTGCATGTTCAGTGTTTCCTCTTTTTTTTTCTTTCTCAACTTCTCTCTCTCTTTCGTCTTCCTTCCTTCTCTTTTACTTCGAGATCCTTCTAATTTTATCCGGTTACCCTAAGTAACGCAACATTTGATCATGCACAGAGCCGGTGCCGAGACTCGTTGCGGGCTGCGGCTTTTACCACTTCCCCACATCAGCCCCACCACCTCTCTAAAAAGTTCCGAATTGCCTCACCTGAGTACATAACGGTGCATCCCAGCACACGCACAATAACGAGAACCACAGGAACTTGAACAAGAAAAAGGTTCTATAGTGTAGCGGTTATCACTCCGGATTCTGATTTGCTTCAGAACATTCCGGCAACCCCGGTTCGATTCCGGGTAGGACCTCTTCTTTTGACATTTATTTTTCCCTCTCTTTTTGTTTTGTTTTCATTCACCTCCCTCCCTCTACGCTCTTCCTCTTCACCTATCCTCAGGAGGAAACATTTTCATGACATGATGGAGGGCCTTCTCCTGAAGGAGATACGTGAAGAGGAAGGTGTGGTTACGTATCGCCGGGTGGGATTTTGTAACTTGATGTTAGTATCATTGTTTGATGGTGTAGAACCGCGCCGGATTATACCGAAATGAGCGAATGTAGCAGGAATACTAATGTTTGTTTGCACGAACCCAGAGGATCATTTATGTTCAGATTGTCAAATATTAAAGGGGAAAAGGGGTGTGGTTAGGTATAGTCTGCGAGGTCAACAAGGACAATATGTGTAACACTTAGCCCGTCCGGATGCGTTCTTTGCTGCACGTAATTCCAAACGGGTCCATACTATAGCATAGATCAGCGTATGCCAACGAGAAGACACGTTAGATTTGAGGTCACCACCGCCCAAGACTCCCCGTCCCCATCCCATTCCCCATACGCCAACCCGCGCGTCAAGTCACAACAGCACATCAACCGTCGCCACATTAAATTCCAAAAAAAAAAACAATTTCTTCCGTGGCCTCAACAACCTGAAGGAAATACTCTACCCACAGCCCTTCACAATCTCCAACGCCCACCTACCTACCTACCTACCTTTCCGAGCTCTCCCTCCTCGTTCATCCAGCAGCGCTCCCAACCGCTCTAGCATCCCCAACACCCCATCATCAGTCCCATCACCATCACCAACACCACCCCCCATTCCCTCCCCCCTTTTCTGCCCAAAATCAACCGTTCTCTCCATCATCTCACTTTCATTCCACCGCCTCCCCATTCCCATTCCCATCTCGATCCCTCGTTGATAAACCCCCCTCGCCTCCTCCAACTCCATCCCATCTCCCGTCCGATCGAGGTGCTTGACCAGCGCCACTCCCATGTTCGCTAGTGCCACCATCACCTGAGCCTGTGCCTGAGTCTGAGCCTGAGCCTGAGGCTGGGCCTGAGCCCGGGTCTGGGGTGGAACAGCCAAAGAACAGTCAACCCCGAAATCGGACGCTGCAGACGCTGCAGACGTTTCCGGCGCTGTGGGAGGTGTGGGAAGTGAAGAATCCAGAAGCGAAGAAACTAGCACTGGAGCTATCTGTCCCAGAACGAGCGCTTGTTCCAGCACCGAAGTCTCATCCTCCCCGTCCGATCCGTTCTGTGGATTCTGTAGCTCCAAGTGGGAGTAAGATGCAAGGATCGCAAGGAGGGAGGTGGTTTGTTCATTGAGGGATGTCAGGAGGGTAAGGTGGTCCTTGCCCTGGTCCTGGTCTTTTTGTTTCTCGTGATGGTGGCTGCTGTGACCGTCAAGCTTCCACTCGGCCTCCGTCAAAACGGCCTTATGATGCCCCTGCTCGTGGGAAAAGGCGTCTGCCTCCGACTCCGAGGGAAGAGTCCTAGGGATCGCCGCCGCATCATCGCCCAGGGGAAGTCCAACCTCGGTTACCACGATGGACCTCTTCAGGGACTCCGTTGTTGAGTGAAGGGGGTTATGGTAGAGGGCATATGCGGGCATGGACCCGGGATGGGTGCTGACTGGAACACAGCAGGGTGTTTAGTCGTGTGAGATCAAAATGGTGGAAGGGGGATTGTACCTACCGTAGGCCATGATGGATGTCGTTAAGACAGGGTAGTCGATTGTTCAGTGTGTAAATGTCTTTGCATAAGCTCTTTGATTGAGTGGGAAACTGATCGTCAAAGTATATCAAAACACTTCTGACCTTGTCAGATATCACTCACGTCGCCACAAACAAAGAATGAAAATAAAACCGAAGGCATCTCAAGTCGTGCGCAACGGATACGCACGATTTATTAACAAACATCCCATCAACCTCTCTCCCTTCCCCTTTTTACCAGCCGACACCATATGGCATGGCGCTTCCGCAGCCTTACCACCACCCCCTTTGATCCTTGAAAAAGACATGTGCAGGAGGATCCAAGGTGTTAGCTTGGGTCAACCGACAGCCCTAACATTCACGGATGTCTCTCCTCAGCAGCGGCCTGAGTGGCTTGAAAGGCCTATTTACTGTAAAAAGGTGTCAATTACCTTTCACTGGCCGCATGTAAGGCCTACAGTGCTGCAAAGCTCTTTACAGTTTCACATACATACAGCCCCCTGACAGCTACTTGAGGACACTAAATCCGAAGCTGTACGGCAGTGGCTCTAATATTTGTCAGCCACTTATAGCCACCTATTAGCCACCTAGTAACCAACTAGTAGCCACTTGGCGGCAGTTATCACCATCCTTTTCGACGATTTGGGTAAGCCTCAGGCACAAATATGGAAGAGAAGGGGATGAAGGGGAGGATAAGCAGGAGACAAAAGGGGGTAAGGCTGAGGGAGCTGAACGTTGCTGAGGGTGGGCTGAAAATTTGGCCGCGGGTTAGCGACGTGCGGGGTGAGGATTGGTTGTACAAAACGCCGAAAGGGGAGTGATGGGGATGGGATGGGGTGAAGGTGAGTCAAACGGCTTTTGGTAAGGAGTTCGTTGACTCGATTTTGGGTTGATGATTTCGATATCTTGAGATGATTCTTTCCTCGAAGTTGGATACAGGGTCGGAATTTCCCCTATGGTGGTGGACAGCACCACTCACTCGGTGCTGACCTTGAAGATAGTTCACCATCACTTGCTGAGTGAGGTACCCGACCACCGGGCTTCGTAAAAGTACATCGTATTATTGCTTTCTTTGTAAACCGCTTTTTGCAGTGTACGCTGTTGTTCATTATGTATTTAGTAAGCAATGAAAAGTCTTGCTGGCAGGTGAATCTTCAGTCATGACCATCCTTCTCCTGTCCCTCCGTCTCAACCCATCCTTCTCACATCCTCCCCCTCACCATCGCCATCCCCTCACAACCCCCTAGCACCCTATTTCTTCCCCTTCCCCTTCTTCTTCCCCGCCGCCTCACTTCCACTCGCCCCCGGACTCGTCGCACCACTGCCTCCCATCCCACCCATTCCCCCCATTCCCCCCAACATATTAGCCAACCCACTCAAACCCCCCATCCCTCCCATCCCCTGCAACAAACTCGCCATATCCGGCATTCCTCCCCCAGCTCCTGCTCCCGCTCCTCCTGGCATACCCGGCATCCCCGGCATGCCTCCGGGCCCCATCTCCTTCATCATATCCTTCAAGAAATTCTCACTAACCCCACCCCCCGTCATCGCAGGACTATAATACGGCAAAAGCTCACTCATCTTCCACCCCCTCGGCACCGCCGGCCGCGGCCACTTCTTTCCCTCCTCCAACATCTCCCTCGGCGGCGGGCCGGCGCCCCTAACCACGACCCTCAACGCCGGCGACTCATCCGTAGTAGGATGTTTCTTCAGATGCTGCGCCACGAGGATATACAAGTGGTGTTTATTCTTCAGCTTTCCATTTTCGCCATGGAGGCGGATGAATTCTTTGAGATTAACCTTCACGCGGCCCGGGTTGGCCCAGTCCTTGGGGTGAAGCTTGCCCGCTTCCAAGACGACGGAGAGGCGGAGCTGCGCGCAGGCGTTGACGATTTCGGTTGCCAAAGGGTTGGGCACGGCAAGCTCCTTGGACACGCGCCGGCCTTCGGCGCGCGAGCGCGTGGCGTCGAAGTAGCACGGGTACAGGCACTGGAAGGATTTGTAGGCCGAGTCGTCGGTGGTGGTTTGTATTTCGGGGTAGCCGGGGGGTTGGGTGTAGGCTTGTCGTTGGGAGTATTGGGGAGGGGGTTGTTGGCGTTGTTGTTGAGCGGCGGCTGCCTGGGCGGCTTGGGCGGCTTGGGCGGCTTGGAATTGTTGGTGTTGCTTTTCGGCCTGCGCGCGGTGGGCGGCGGAGAGAGGGGTGAAGGACGGCCCGGGCATGACTTTGGAGGCGTAGGCGGGAGGAGCGCCGCGCTGGACGAGAATGTCGGATTCGGCGAAGTCGTCGATGTCGCCCTCGGAGGGGTCGGACATTTCAAGGTCGCTGTCCTCGACTTCTTCTACCCGCGGATGGGAAGGCATCTTGGCGGTTGTCTGTGTCGGCCGCTAGGTGTTGTTCTTTGCTGATTTGGTGGGTAGGTTGGAGATGTCGACCTCGAATGCGCAGATACAGCTGAGGCGACCAAGTCCGTGATGGTTGTGGCAAGGAGAAAGTGGAAGGTCGCTGGTTGAACAGATGAACCAACAGCTCCCCGCGAGTTGTTGGAGAAATGTGGGGTGGCCTCGTCCAAAGGTCCAAGCTGTCGATGTGGTTTCAATTGGGTCGAGTGGGGCAGCCGGCCGGGGAAATAAAGTGGGGTCCGTGCACACGGCCCCGGGCAGGCAACGAACCAGCGGCACCAACCGCCAACCGCCGGAGCTCCTATTCCAACCTCACTTCGCTTTCGGGGGTAAGCATATTGACACTCGTTAAGTTGAGGAAGTAAGCGTCGTATTTCCTCTTGGTAGAGAGACGTTACTCAGCCGATACGAAACAGAAAACAACACTCATAAATCAACTAAACTCAATCTGCCCATATGTTTTGACCCCTATTCCCCCTTTCCCCAAAGCAACATCCTTAACATTGAATGAGAGAACATGTTCCCACCACCTTGTCCATCTCTTATATCCATTCCCACGAACCGCTTCAACTTTCGCTGTTTCATCCACTCGAATAACTATTTTTGCTGGCTTGTTTTCGCCTTTTGGTTGTTTTCGTCGCAAATATTTTGTACAAAATGTTTTCCGCTGTTTGATATCCGCAACAATAAACAACTCTGACACCCCCCCACTGCATTCCTAAACTCCGACTCCTGATTTCAATAGGTCCTAAATGATCGGTTTGCAAAAGGCCTCTGCTAGCCCCTGAGTGTGGAATCCGTTTCTTGAGACGTCCCTTCTCAGACGGCCATTTCTCGGACAGCCCTTCGTCAGATGCCCTTTTCTTAGAATCCCTCCTCTTAGATAAAATTTCCCCAGACTCTTTTTGAGGAGGCCCCTTTTATTAGAGGGATCTTCGCTCACACGAACCTCTTCTGCACGCCGCGTCAGAGGTCCTATTCAAAGCCACATCGTTCCCTGTCTAAGAGAAGTAGTCATAGGTCTTTGTGCTTCTGTATTTCGTGCCGGGCGGGTGATCGGCATCCTCAAATTTGCAGTAAGGATGGGTGCAGACACCATCCTTGACGTTGGGGCACTGTGATTGATATCGGTCAGCATATATCCAAGACTTAGAGCGAGAGAAGTGAAAACCTACATGATGTCCATAAATACAGTCTTCAACATCGCAATCCTGGCCGCTGGTGCAAGGGTTCAAGCGGGCCAAGAAGGCAATAGCGTCAATCTCATCTTTGGTAGGCTTATACTTGTGTTCGAAGCAGCAGGCGTCGCCCTTTGAGCAAGGACCCCTCAGATAATGATTATTGCATAGTTTGTTGTTGTCCTTCCTTTTCTTGATACTTTCCAGAGCAGCTGGTGAGACCTTGATAGGCGGGTCCAAGCCACGAGGACCGGGGTTCCAGGCCGGCTGCTTCGGAGTGGCCGAGGCACGAGCATTCGCGTTAACAGGTCTAGGCTGAATGGGAAGCGTTATCTTGGGCGGAGGGCTCGCGTTTCCAATGGCTCCGGCATAACTAGCAGTCGCGTTCGCGGGCGTAGACGTGGTGGAGCTCGCGGGAGTCGGGATATTGCCGTTGCTGACGGTAGGGGTGGTGACAGGTGCCGTGGCAGTCAAGGGAGAAGTGTTGGTGCGCAGTGCTGTCTTGTCTACCAACTTCTCCGATCGGAAGATCTCGTCGTTGAAGTTCAAAATGTTGACGCCAGTGGAGACGAGTTCGCGAACAGTCGGAACACCTTCGACGACGGTAACGCGACGCTTCTTGGTCTCATCTTGGAAGAGCTCGTCGAGGAATGGAGCATAGCCGGCGTCATGCGAGATGCCGAGAAGAAGCTGCTTGCAGTTATAGTTGCGCAAATTCCATTTCGCCGTTTCTGCTTCGGTCAGTATCCACCGAGTATGCCACTGGGACCAGCCGACCTACCTTTAATCTTGTTATCCGCGCGCTCCTTTCCGTGGCCAACATCGACAAAGTCAAAGGTTGCCTTTCCTTGAGTAAAGCCAATGGTGAACTCCTTGAGGGTCTCTTCAGCCTCCAGGCAACCATTGCGTCTCATGGCTTTGGCCAAACCACCGAGGTTGGCGTAGACTTTCGCAATGACTTCGATGTTGCCGGCAAAATCGCCGCATTGCTCAAGAATAGCGCTTCGTAAAGCATATGCCGCCTTTTTGCCGCCTTCAACTCCTTGTCTGATTAAGGCTTCTTTAAACTGCAAAAAGGGGTTAGACATTTGCAGTGAAGAAGCATGGGGGGCAGGGGAGGACATACCAAACAGCAATCACCGTCTATGAGGACGACCACAAAAGGATTGTTGTTCTGCAGATTCTGTTTCAATAACTGTCTCGACGAGACTGGCCAGTGACCCTCACCTTCAAGTGATGATTATCTTGAGCGAGGTCCCTATTGCGAGACTCGGCATTCGCCACTTGCTGCTGGAGCTCTCTTCTGGAGCGAGTGGCATCATCAAGATCGAGTTGAGAATCCGTGAGCTGTCTCCGAAGAGCTCTGTTTTCTTCGCGGAGAGCATCCTCAACGTTTTTGGAGTAAAGGAGGAGGTCCTGCACAGACACGTGTCAGCCAAAAGGAAAGAGGCTGGCATGAGTTGAGAAAGGTCCATCGTTCAACCTCTCAGTCACTCTGCTGGATGGAAGCCCACCTCTATCAACCTCGCGCTGCTGTCGTTAAAAAGACTAAGGGTTTGGAACCTTTGGTAGAAGGTCATAAGGTCGCTTTCGGAGGCAGCCATGATGATGGTCAACCCGATGGGCTATAATATTTGATGTTTCAACTTGAGGCTTTGCAGCGGAGTGGACCAGTTGTCCAAGTAGTGTATAGGGTATGCGGTAGCCGGTATTGGACTTGACAAGTCAAAAAGATGGTAGCCGAAAACAACAACCTTGCTTAAAGATGGAGAAGGGAGAAGCTGTCCCCAAGCTGTCTGCTTCTGGCGCTCTGACAGTAGGTTAGCAGGTGGTTGGGCAGGCAAAGTTGTCACGCCGGTTGTAGAGCAGGTGTCACGTTGGCCGGTCCTCCCGAGGTCCGGTCCGCAAGAATTCTTTTGTGGCGAGGGACTCGGGACCCGCACGGAATGCGCGCCGTAATAGGGGCTGTGCCTGTCAATGTGGAACTGGAGACGGCCGGTTTGCGAGCTTCCCTACTGGGGAAATGCGTTTGGACCTCGGATGCTAACGTCAATGGTGGGAGGAGGCACGTCTGTATGGATATGGGAGTGTAGTATATTCCGTGGTTATGTTTTCGAGACTCGGAGGATGGCAAGCTTGGGTTCAGAACTTGGATGGTGTACGGCAATGTTCAGTTTGGATGGGAGGATGGCCGGGACAGCTTCGAGACGACGGGACGAGATGGCAGACAAGGCATGACAGGTTTGCATGGCAGGTTGAGGACACGAGGAGGCGATGGCTAGGTCTGTGGTCGAGAAGGAAAATTGGATGAACTAGTGGCATTGTTAGACCCGTTTGTCTTGACAACAGATGGGTAGTGGAATAGTCGAAGCATCATACCTTACTGTCTTGATTCGCTATTGCGCGCTAGCAGACGATTCACGACGGCGTCCAAAGTCGAAGCAAGATGGTTGATGTTTTAGGGAAAAGAGGCTGTGTGGAGGCTGAAAAAATTGGGAGTTTGCGGTCGGTCGTCAGTCAGGCAAGAGCAATCCGCACCAGATTGCTTGGTTCGTTCGATATTAGGTAACTTTGAGCTTCGGGTCGAAGGTGCGTTCGTGTTGTATCAATGTTTTTGCGCTACCCCTCCTCTGGGCCTCGAAATTTGGCTCCAAGGTGGCACTGCAAATTGTCTTGACGAAGGAGGACGGTTGGACGTCTACGTTGGACCGGATCTTTGCAAGCTGGGCGGCCGTCACTTGTCTGAGAACAAAAGGACAAACTTCCATTCACCTCACTTGTGGTTAAAGTTCTCCATGCTACTAGTTCGGCCGGTTGGTGTGATGATGATGGTGCATTCGCAAGCCCACCCCCGCCGTCGTCAGGGCATTTTTAGTCGGATCTCATCTGTGCGGGTGCCTACCCGTCTGCCCCACGCGCCGCTAACAACACAAACTTCGGGGTATGTATTTCAGGCAGTTGCGATAGAAGTGATTGCATGGCAGGTGTAGGACAGGTGCATTTGAGGTTCTAAACAGGTGTGGAGCTGTCTTGCAGCTGCAAGCTCTACTCCTGCTCGACACGTTCACGAATCACAGCTGGTAGAACTGGACATCATCAATCTCTCCATTCCATGACCTCAGCCATCTTTCATCGCCAGGCCAATTGCATCGTCAAGCCCAACCTCCAATCAGAAGACTTTAATCCTGCCGCCAAAACATATCAAACGGGCGCGACGACAGCTGAGAATTGAGGATGACAGAGAGGGGGTTTCGCTTAGCGCCATGCAGCCCATTTTTGGGTGGTGGTAGGTGCGTTCGAACTTCGGTCGTCCGACGTCCAAACAGAACCGCGTTATGGTGTCTGTCATTTCATTGGATTGTTGTCCGAGGCTGTCAGGCTGGGTTTGGCAGGCTGGGTATGGCTCCATCATGAACAGTCCTTCTTTTGATGGAGAGAATCGTACAAAGCAGATGGGGGAAGTCCAAGTTAATCAAGGCAATGCCCTTTGATACGCGGTCTGGAAAAACTTAGCAAAACAATAAAACACTCGACGGAGACCCGGACGATCAATCAATTTATTGACAAACACCCACAAGTGCGGGGGAGAGACGGACGGATACATATATCGGTAGTGGTTGAAGTGCACAGTGCGTACCTATGATTGAGCTTCGGTTCCTACGTACTAATGATTTGCGTTGTGAAGTTTGTGTAGTTGGCGATCATATAGGGGATATATGTAGGTGATGTGGTTTATCATCTGGCCCGTGGGTAGGGCTCGGTAGGTGAGACTGTAGGAGACGACGCCGCAATGGAAATGCTGAACGTTGTTATCTTTCCAAATATGCCACGTCCGGTATGGTTCCCCGAACATATCAGATGAGCAAAGCCAAGCTCGCCAAGTTCAAGAGAATGGCCTGGATCGAAGCTATCAAAGTCTCAGTTTACCCACTGAGCTACGATAGCAAGCTGAAAGGTTCGGAATATAGACTATTACGTCGACAATGTCCACAACTCAAGTCAATAGTCCATACCTATTTTTATCACCTTGAGTAACTTGGCTCGCTTGGTAACTCCCGAATGTCTGCTAGACGTGGAGAAGAATGATGAGTAGCGACAAGTCCGGCCTTCTGTGTGAGCATGTGAGGACTTCTCTATGACGCTAACTTGGTAACGCTCGATACTTCCCTCTAGGAGAACTCGCTCCAGCCTCCAGTATCTCTCCGGTACTATAACGCTGACATATGCTCAGGACCAAAGGCCTTGTGAATTTGTTCACATGCCCATCATCACATGCCACTCTCTAGAGAGATCTAGACACCGAACCACAACAATCGTGCCATGATTTCTAAACAGGCCCGTTGTCATGAACGTATCCTGACTCGCACAGCCGCATCGCTCACAAGGTCGTCGTAACTGCCGCGGCTGGCGAATGGCGGCGGGCCTCCCTCGAGATGGGGCAGTGGATTTGCTGGTGGATTTTCCCACGATGTGGAGTTCCGCGAGTTCGGTACAAAGGAGGATGTACCTTGAAGCTTGATTTCTCTCCCCGCTGTAGTCTAGGTTCATGTCTCTTGAATCTTTGATGGGGTGAACAAACAGAGCAAAGCGGAATCGGCAACCAGTCAGCGGCAGCAGCCGGGAGTGCCCGAAGAAACAATCAACACCCTTTTGCGTTTTCATTGTTGCTGGCATGCTGCTTGTCCGTAGTCTGCAACAAATGGGAGTCTTTTGTTGGAAGCTCAGCTCAGCTCCGTCTCAGGTACCGGTGAAGCTTGCCGGAGCTTCTTCCTTGGCTTTTTACGCAGGAGAGGTGTGATCGGCATCGGGATCGTCGCCGAAAGGCCCGTATCCGGCACGGCGTTCCTGTTCGTGTTCCTGAATTAGTCTCTGTTCAAGCGAAACATCAATCGGCGTTAGCCTTTTGTTTTTGGGGTTCCCAGGATTTCTCTCAAGATCCTTCTTCGCCCGATCCTTGGGCCCAAGCAGCGAGGGTTGCATTTTTTTATCGGTTTTTGCATCTCCCATCCCATATACCTAGAGTCCGATTCTTGTGCCTACTGGTCTTGGTTTCCTTGGATTTGGGACAGATCCCAATGGCGCAATAGGTGGTGCTGTTTCTCTTTTGAATGCGTTGGCAGGAGCTATGCTCAATCAGCAGAGGACAGTGGACGATCAATCTTCTCTTTTCAGCAATCCCGATTCCGTCATGCTGTCGTCGGCCGTGTCGGTTGTCTGTCGGTTATTTCTCGTTTCTCGCTTCTCTTTCTGCATCGCTAGCCGAGGGAATTTTCTCTCTCAACGAAACACGAAGATCTTGCACCCTTCTCGAACGAAGCGCATTTCGATAGCCCTAATTCCCTTCACGAATTCTCGGGACGCCGATCATGCCCTGTATGAGGGGCCCTATTCCGAAAGAGGGATGGGAAGAAAATAAGCGCACAAGGGGGTTGTCGTCGGGATTTGAGACTTGGAAATTGGAAAAGCGAAATTTCGTGCGCCCTGTGGCCTTGCGATGCGATACCTGTTTTGGCAGCACCGCAGGATGAGCAGCAGAAGAAGCATCGAGAGTGTCTCTCTGATATGCGCGGCGAGCACCCGCTGGTGCAGGTAGGCTGAAAGGCTGACAAATTGAATCCCGAGATCAGGCATGCTGTTAACAGTCAGGCATATGGCACTGTGTCAACAGCACGAAAGGGGATGGACATCTCAACGGCCGGGTCCGGGTAACTGTATGTGATGATCCGAAATCATAAGCGCGAAATCAAGATGTGAAATTCGACGACGACATGGACCACGAAACATGCTTGCGATTCCGTGTATCATAGGGCTTCGCAGCACAGTCCGAGTGCCGAATCGATATCTCGAAGAACTTAACGTATGAGCCTGTAGTGACGCGTTCCTGACTTGACTTCCACTTTTTGAGTCTTTTTTTTTTCTTTTTTTTTTTTTTCTTTTTCAATTCCGCTTTCCGTCTTCCGCGAGGGAAGATCCGGTATAGGTACAACTCTGGGATGCGTACGTTTTCAAGGCCGCCAACCTCTTTTTGTCGGTAGCCCGCCATTGGGCTCCACCGAGATGCAAGTTGTATCACCAACTGCAAAGGTTGGAGCTTTTATCCAGGGCTGTTGATACGATGAAGGACAAACATTCGGCTCGAGGATAAAGAAATACTCTGGCGAACAGCGGTATGAAGTAGGAAGGTGGGAATTGGTGTTTTCGGAGTGCAGCATTGGTGAGGATTGCGGGAACAAGAAACTCGGGGACGGCGCCGTCTGTGACAGGTCTCGCTGTCTTGCAGTGTCTTTCTTTCTTTTTCTGAGGTCATCAATGTTTGAGATCTCCCATACTCGTCAGGTCTTCAAAACTACGCCCACTAGTCAGACGGTCGATTTTGAAGACCTGACGAGTATTGGGTCCTGGAAGTTCAACTCGAAAATAAAGAACGCTTTGTTTTCTGACCCCCGGCATGAGAATTTTCCACGGCCAGGGAAAGTAAAAAGTGGTTTGGTGTTGGTTCCTGGGTATTGTGACTTGTCGACTTTTCAGATGTCGCCGAGTTCCCCGCTGCCTGGGTCCAACGGACGGAGCTTTCCCCGTCCAATGACGGCCAGGTTCCGACAGTATGACCCTTGCCCGGAAGCAAGGCGACAAATTGCCTGTGAGTAGCGAGTCCCGAAGACGAACGAGGCGGGAATATGAATCTGATATTCGGGTCTTCATCTTTTCCTTCTGCCGACTGTGACGACGACAACGAGATACAGAAAGGGAAAAGAGTTCATGAAGTTCTTGACAGAGCCCCTCGACTTGTTGAGCCCCTGGTGGTATTCCGGCGTCTTTGACACCGAGGAGAGTCTGCAGTGCAGTGCAGCGGTGCAGTCTGACCGAAGTGTCATTCGCTTACAATAACCGCAGATGGAATTGTCGACGACGCGGCTGGCCAACGCTCTCCACCGTCTATTGAGTCTTGGCTTTGAGCTTGGCTGAACCTCTCCCCAAAGTCTCTCTTTATCACAATTACCGGAAAGATGCTGTGTCCAGCGTTAGTGCAAGACTCACAATGAGAATCGTGACTTCTCCAAGTGTAATTCGTTTTGTCCTCCCCACCTTCGTCCTCCAGTGACCGGACGCAAAGGAAAGAGCTGGAGCAAGTGGGTCAAGGGGTACCTTGACCGAGTTGAACAGCCCCAAAGTTCACAGGGAAACCGCGGACTCGCGGTCTAGATTTGCGTTGGAATTTGAGGTGGTGATTCGGCTCGAGGTATTGGACGAATCCCCAGACGTTCTCAGTTTTCCGCAGAGAAGTTGTTATCAGTCATCACATTCTCACATGGGAATTGTAGTGAAGACTCGGAGTGACATGATGTTGTCCACCACCTTTTCAGCCTCGGATGCAGTCTGCCGTTGTCAGGTGACAGGCCATCAAAGCGTTAGTTGAACATCTGAAAATCCCCCCTGGCAACTCGACGTTGCGTGTTGACCTTCAACTCTCTCGGTTCGGCCCCGTACGACGTTTCTCTTTGATTTGACTCCCGACTCGGTGGTCGGCTAAGTCAACAAGGTTACAAGGGTCCGGGGCACCGGTTTATCAGTCCTGGGAATCCAGTCAAGGGGTCGATCTGGGAGTCCATCAGGGAATCCATCAGGATTCAGGGAGGAGTCCATCGGGAGTCAAAGAGGCCATGATCCCATTCGCAGTCCATGGGAATCGAGTCTTTGCCAAGGCTATATTACGGCACGACAGCTGGGGAATTTGAATGGATTTGGGAAAGGCTGGGGCCGATCCCTTTTGTTAATCAGATCTCGGACAAAGTCGTCCGTCCTCATTCCATCTTTCCTGATTGAGAGGCTAACACAACGGCAGGGCGACAGCTCATCTCCCGACATCCGGGTCGAGACCGTCACAAGCTCTTGTCTAGCTGCCCACTGATCCCTCACAGCGGTATCGCCCCTGGTCTTGGTATGGGGTTGAAGGGGGGCTTGTTGGAGCACGGTAACGAATGTAAGGGTACCATAGCCTTTATGCCGCGAGAGGACGGTCCAGTCGATAATGAAGCCGCCCTTGATTACAAACTCACAAAGGGGACAACGACGACGCTGGGACGCAATGAGCTGTTCCGGATCCATAGTCGAGCTCCCCGTTCCTGAAAAAAAAAGAGAATCCATTTTGTTACAGGAACGGTATCCATCTCCCGGGTCCCAAGCAACGCATCCCGTCGGGTCACATCGTCGCTAGCGGAGAGCTGTGGTTGGTTGAGCCATCCAATGTAGAGGTACAAAACCCTGCCGGCTGCAGCGTCGAATGCAGAGTGGCCTGCACAGCACACCCGACCCTGAACCCCCCCGGCGGACCCCCGGTACATCAGCCATCACCTCCTTTACCGTCACCCACCGCACTGTAGTACATGTACCTTTTTAGGGTCCACGTCCTCGGCGACACTGGGTCTCGAGTTCGGTCGCTTCCAATCATTCGTCTTTTCTCTTTTTCGCGGGCCAGACATTGACACATCCCTTCACTTCTTCCTCCCCTTCGTACCTACATATGTAGATCGGTGCAGCTGCTTCGACATCTCGAGTTGTTCTCCTCAACTTTTCCAATTCAACACCATTGACCACTCCGATCTTGGTCTCTCATTGCCGAGTCACTTGTACACGAGTCGAGCTTTGACTTCAACAACCCCACTCACCATCCCACCTCGTGCCGGCATACTTTTAGGTAGCTTAGCTCCAACCTTGCTTTCTTATCTTTTCTACTCTCGACAGGAGCTTTTTTCACTCACACGACTTCTCGAATAATAGCTACCTCGAGTGTATTCAACATCTTCCTCGGATTGTTATACAATCTCTCGACAACGAAAATAGCCCCTCCGTTGTACCCCAACAACCTCAGATCACAACAGCCAAAATGTCGACAACACAAGAAAAGCAGCCACACTGGTCCCTCAAGCAGTCGTTTGCTGAGCGCGTAGAGAGCTCGTCGCATCCCCTCACCAGCTACCTCTTCCGCCTGATGGAGGTCAAGCAGTCCAACCTCTGCCTCAGCGCCGATGTCGAGCATGCGCGCGATCTCCTCGCCCTTGCCGACAAGGTTGGCCCCTCGATTGTCGTCCTCAAGACCCACTATGACCTGATCACAGGGTGGGACTACCACCCGCACACGGGCACCGGCGCCCAGCTGGCCGCCCTCGCCCGGAAGCACGGCTTCCTCATCTTCGAGGACCGCAAGTTCGTCGACATTGGCAGCACCGTCCAGAAGCAGTACACGGCCGGCACCGCGTGCATCGTCGAATGGGCCCACATCACCAACGCCGACATCCACGCCGGAGAGGCCATGGTGAGCGCCATGGCCCAGGCCGCGCAGAAGTGGAGGGAGCGCGTCCCCTACGAGGTCAAGACGTCGGTTTCGGTCGGCACCCCGGTCGCGGACCAATTCGCCGACGAGGAAGCCGAGGACCAGGTTGATGAGCTGCGCAAGATCGTACCCCGCGAGAATGGCATCAGCAGCGCAAAGGACACGGATGGGAGGAAGGGTAGCATCGTCTCCATCACGACCGTCACGCAAACATATGAGCCGGCCGACTCGCCACGCTTGGCCAAGACCATGTCGGTGGGCGATGAGGCCGTGTTTCCTGGCATTGAGGAGGCGCCGCTGGACCGCGGTCTGCTGATCCTGGCGCAGATGTCGTCCAAGGGCTGCCTCATGGACGGGAAATACACATGGGAGTGTGTCAAGGCGGCGCGCAAGAACAAGGACTTTGTCATGGGCTACGTCGCGCAGCAGAATCTGAACGGGATTACCAAGGAAGATTTGGCCCCAACCTATGAAGACGACGAAAGCGCAACCGAGGAAGAAGCGCAAGCAGACAACTTCATCCACATGACACCCGGCTGCAAGTTGCCGCCACCGGGAGAGGAGGCGCCTCAGGGCGACGGACTTGGTCAGCAGTACAACACGCCGGATAACCTTGTCAACATCAAGGGCACGGATATCGCGATTGTTGGACGTGGCATCATCACCGCGGCGGATCCCCCCGCCGAGGCTGAGCGCTACAGGAGGAAAGCCTGGAAGGCGTACCAGGATCGCCGGGAGCGTCTGGCGTAGAAGCCCGAGAAATAAGAGATGAGGAAGGGGTGGATGATGGGGAAGGGAAGTTTGTTCTTATATGACTGGCATTAAGGTCTACATAACTCTTGGTGGAGATGCATCGTGAAAAGGTGGATGAACGGGCATCATGTAGTCACACTCGGTCACTATCCCGGCCGGAACTTTATCAGGTCTCAGGCATGGACATATTGTGGAAAGGAAACATAACATGATCATGTGTAAAAACGGGCAAGGAGGGAGGTTGTTTTGTTTTCTAAGGATTTGGGCGGCTTTGAAGGGCGTTTTGGCGACAATAGAAGCTTGGCATTTTTGGCCTGCTTTTTGCTGTGTATACCATACTGTTACTCTTTGTACACTGTCTATGTCTTATTTATACTTGATTTCCTTGTTCTTTAGTGTTTACTATGGATATGAAGTTCTTTAATACCTCTCTGCGACTGGTCAAAAAGACAGACCAGGATCGCGGAGTTAACCGGCTTATCCCCGGGCTCGCTTCCAACCAACCAAGCAGCTCTCGACGACTTCCGGTGGTACCTTCCTCTTTTCTGTCAACACAACAACAAGGTTCCTTCCCGTCTTACATGAACAGGACATTGGCCCCCACCCTACCTTCCTCGCTTGAATCCTACTGCTTACAAATGACGAGGATTGGAGTGTCTGCCTGCCGTGAAAACTGACAGGAGCTCGAGTTCATGTTTCAAACGCCCGTTACAAGCAGAAAGTCCTTTCGGCGTTGAGGGTGCGGTCGCCAAAGTGGTATGAAAGGTACTTTGAGCTCAATTGACTCCAAAATACGTTCGTGATACTTGTGCTAATAACAACAGAGACTAAGTCGATGAAAGAGGAACACAATTAAGAAATAAGAAAATGACTGCCTTGAGCCTTGAGGGGGGCTTCGATTTCAATATCCAAGTCAACCACAATGAATACCTTCCCGATCCGAATCATCATACCCAGACCCGTGCTGTCTCTGACAAGCCTCCACCGCGGAAAAGGAGGAGGATAGTAATATCATGCACAGAGTGTCACCGGAGAAAACAGAAGGCGAGTTCACCCTTGCTGAAGTATTTAACATCTTCACTAACACCGCCAACTATTACTAGTGTGACCGCAAACTCCCTTGCACAAACTGCATCGCCCGCCATAAAGAAGACGATTGCCAATATGACTCTGGAGCACCCACCGCCAAAGAACAACAGCGACACCAGCAGCCAAAGCGAGCACGACGGACCAGCTCCAATGTGACTGGGATAGTAACTCCCGGAACCGGGCCCGATGAGACTATGGGTAGCATGACGAAGGGACATTGGCCCCAAGAATCATCCCCTGATGATAACGACCACCAAATCCTCCCCTCCAACGTCTCCAACGTCACCAACCTCGGCTACTCAACCACCGGCGCCTCAACCTCCACCCTCGGCTTCCTCCACAAAATCGAAAGCCACTCCAAGTCATCCTCATTACCTCAATCACCCTCCACACTACCACCATCTAACGGGAATGGCCGAGCATCAACAGCGCCAACCGACATTGTCAACCGCTACAAGTCCCTCATTCGCCAGCTGCCGGCAAGGGTCTACGTCGAGAAGCTGGTAGACACCTACTTCCGCGACTTTAACTGGCAGTATAGCATGCTTGACCGGGACATTTTCGACAAGCAGCTGGAGGAGTGGTACAAGGTGCCGTTTGGAGTGCTCAGTAATGGGGGCCCAGGAGCGATACCGCCGGATTTGAGAGTTTTTTCGGCAGTGCTGTTTCAGGTGGTAAGTATCGGGATGTTAGTTTTGCCTGAGAAGACTGCTAAGGGGAATCGGGAGGAGGTGATAACGGATGGTAGGGATGGGGAGGGCGGTGGAAGGGAAGAAGAAAAATCAGGGAGCAAGGGGCCGAGAACGGGAAGAGACAAGGAGGATGTCGATTTTGAGGCTCTCAAGTACGCTGGAAACATGACGTTCGAGGACCTAGCGACCGAGTATAGCGAGTCTGGTGTGGCTATTGTGTCACTCTTGGGCAAAAGGCAAATGACGCTGACGACAGTTTTGGCTGGGTTCGTGAGGGCTTCATTTCTGAAGTTTGTCGGAATGGTCCCTGAAGCTGTGAGTTCACGTATCCCTGTCCTCAGAACGACCAGTATCTAACATGGCAATAGTGGCACGCAATAGGCACCGCCATCCGTGACGCCCAAGAACTCGGCCTCCATCGTCCCTCCCTCGACCCCCGTCCTCCCCCCTCCGCCACCGCCGACGCCATCCTCCAAAACCAATGGGAAATCCAACGCCGCCGCACAGTCTGGCTCAACCTCGTAACCTGGGACATCCACTGCGGCGCCACGCTCGGCCGGCCCTCCACCATTGACCTAACCACCAACCCTCCTATCCTCCCCATAGACGTCGCCCTTCCCATCACCACCTTGGCCAACTCCCGCTCCCCAACACCCATCATCCCCCGCTCCGAAGACGACCCCCCAACGCCCCTAACTCGTATCCTCTGGGCCTGCAAAATCACCCTCCAACTCGTCTCCATCCTGGCCCTAGAGAAAGAAGGTCCCTGCCCGGCTTCCTTCTCCAAAGTTGATCTCCTCCATCAGCACTTACTGGACCTCGAAGACTCCATCCCTTCCTACTTCCGCTTACACAACCCCGACACCCGCTTCGATTCCCTACCAGAATGCTACTGGATCCCCTGGGCGCGCGCCCTCTTGCCGCAACTAACAGCCTTCAACTTCATGGCTTTACACCGCCCTTACATCTTCACTCGACCGGAAAGTCGTCGGTTAGCGGTGGAAAAGGGGTGTTTGGGCATGTTGAGAGCTCAACGAACACACTTTGAGATGTTGAGAAAAGAAATGAGGCAAAAGACGTTTGCTCTCTTCTTCGGGACGTTTGATGCTATCGTTTTGATGGGGGCCGTGTATATCCTGTTTCCTAGGGAACAGGGGACGAAGAGATTGGTGGGAGAGGTGATGCAGCAGTTCAAGTGGGCGGAGGAGCGGTTTGAGGAGATGAGGGAACGGAATCCGTTGGCAAGGCAGGCGAGGGGGGTGGTGAGGGGGGTGGGGGAGAGACTGGGGAGGGCGGTGGGTGTTGAGTTGGGGGGTGGTGGGAAGGAGGGTTGTTTGGCATCGGGGGGAGCGGAAGGGGTTGGTAAGACTCCTGCTGTCGCTGTTGGTGGGAGAGAAAGGAGACTGCCGAGGCAAAAGAGACTTATCAAGCCGGTTACCGATACTCAGAATGGGCTTTCGCCGGCTCTTTCAACATCAGTGCCACCAGGAACCGCGTCCAGGGGTACAGGAAACTCGAGTACCACGCCTGCCACCGCTACATCGTCAACAACGGAGTTTCCAACTCCCGAGTCTAGCGCACCTTCTTCTCTCGCACAGGGGCAGTTCGGTGCAGCAACATCCGATATCAACAACAACAACAACATCACCAACAACAACATCACCAACAACAACATCACCAACACAGCCTTCGATGCCTCTTCTACCTTCCCATTTGACAACAATACCTCGTGCATTCCCATCGACCCGAGTCTCAATCCAGTTCCAGCCCCAGTTCTGTCCCTGGGAGCCGCAGATTGGGCCGCCGCTCCCACTCTGTCCGCCTCCATGTCCCTCCCGTCCCTCCCCTCCCTCCCCGAGGACTTCAGCTGGACCAACATCTCCCCCATCTACGCGACAGGCGACCTAGTCTACAACGATCTCACGGGTTTTGTGTATGACGGTTTTGAGTCTGCCGTGCATGATGACGGTAATCACTTGGTACAGAATGGTGGTGGCGGTGGTTGTGGGGATGGGAATGAAGTCGGACTCGGATCAGGAGCGGGGCTGGTGATAGATACGGATGCAAACATGGGCGCAGAAGATGCAGAAAGTGGTGGCATGGTTGAGATGATGGGACTGAATCATGATAATAACGTTGGTGATAGACAAAGTCAAAGTGAGGCGTTGTGGATGTTTGATGGGCGGGGGATCGGGGAGGGGACATGTGTTTGGGGGTTGCTGAATCGGTATTAAGGAATTGCTTCCGTAGAGCGAGCGAGGAACTCGGATATATCATGATCACATCACCATGAAGAGCGTGGGACTCAGCACCATTTTTTGTTCTTTTCTCTCTATCTCGATTGATTACGGCTATGTAAAGCTCTGCTCTCTGTATTTAAAAAAAAAAAAAGAGTCTGAAGAGCTGTGTTACTAGCAACCTAAGCCATGTGAGCGACGTAGTGGATAAATCGCAAAGACCTTATTTCTGTTCCGATCGCAAGAACCACATTTCTGTTCTCATTCCCATTCCCATTCCGTTCCCATTTCCATTCTCTCATAATTCCGTGCTGCATGGATATCCTTCCACCTCTGCTCAAGTCCCAGGCAATCAAACCCCGTAAACCCAAGTTCTGTTCTGTGTGAAACCACGAGTTATCAAAGACTCCGTTTCTCCATCATTCCCCGTGATGCTCCGTGTGCTCAAACCCCAGATCTAGCCGTTAATAAGTCCCAGGCGATCAAATCCCATGAACTCAAACTCCGTTCTCCGTATGCTCAAACCCCAGACCTAGCCGCTATCGACACAGTCGATGCAGCTTCGTAGGTACCCCGAAATATCAACCCAGTCTCTCCCGTATTAAAGAAAAAGAAAACGGCTCGAGTATGGATTCCCACGGAGACCAAGTCTAGTGTTTGACTTTGATACCGCAACTCCTTTGCGCGTATCGTATGTGCTCCTGTGCCCGTAAATGTTGTTGCTTGCTGCTTGCTGAAGATGTGATGCTATTAGTGATAGCTATGATGATCCGCATCTTTTCTTCCCGCAGCAAGTATTGCCCCCTGCCGCCCCTTAGCGGTGGCGCAAATGTTGACCCTTTTTTTTGTCCTTTTTTTGTTTTTGTTGTGCAATGATGAAGTCGAACGTCGAACCAAGGAAAATAACCATGCTGAAAAAAAAGCCGAGCCAATGAGATGATGATGCTGAAAGCGGAAATGAAAAAGAAAAACCGGTAGTGTAGAAACCCCATCAACTCCCAAATACCAATGGCCATCACCCCAAAGGACGTTTAAGGAAAAGGGTATCATGTCGTATCCGCCGTTAATGCCGTGAAATCGTTGAGCGATCAAACCCCAAGACCCAGCTAGTCATAATAATGTTTGTCGTGCGCTGTCGAAGATAGCAAAAGAAAAAGAAAGGGAAGTAGATGGCCGATGTACAGCCCAACCGACGATTGGAAGATGTCGGCGTGTTTTTCGTCGGGCAAAGGCAATGCCGACCCGAGGAAGGAGTAACTGCCTGCTCCCCAGCAGGACAAATCTATGCCTCGATGCGATGGCCGGCCTAAACCATAACCAAAACATCACTCCTCCTCACCAACCTCGTCCCAATATTCATCCCCCTCGAATCATCCCTCATCGTAATCCCGGGAGTAACCACAAGACTAATCCGCATCTGCCTCTGCTGCAGCATCGCGCCCGTCATCTCGCTATTGACCGCAGTATGATTCGCCTCCACAAACTTGCTGCACGTCTCGCTCCAGAGATAGACATACGTCATCCTGGATTCCCATCCCTTCTGCGCAATCCGCCACGCCTTCTCCGCGATACTAAAAAGATCAAACAGCGCCTCATCGCGGACATCGCTCTTCGGACCAGGCGGCAAAAACGGACCAACCATCTTCTTGAAGCGCTGGTAATGATCATTAACCTTGTAGTTCTTGAACTCGGCCCACTTGGGGTGGTCGACCATTTTCTTGACGAGTTCGGCCTGGCGGTCTACCATCGCCTGACGCTCATGAGTTTTGCTGTGGTTTTGTGCGCCAGAGGAGTCCTTGAGGCGGGCAGACAAAGAAGCCATTTCCTTGTCTACTGAGGGTTCGTACCCGGTCCAGCCGTCGGACTGGAGCATGGTGCCGACTATGTATTGCACTAGCAGGCGCTCGACGAGGTAAGGGCGCGAGACGTCGTCGTTTAGCAAGAAGGAAACGTGCGACTCGCCGATTTTGCGGCCGCGGCCGGGGTAGACGAGGTCGCACATGTAGAGGAACAGCGAGGAGGATTCCTTGCGGATGCGCGACTCGACCTCGGGCATGGGGTTGCTGAAAAACTTGTGTGTAAAAGCGCGGATGACGACGGTGAGGAGGTGCGTGAGTTGGCCGCAGAAGGTAGCGGTCGGACCGTCCTCGTCATGTGTCTTGGGGGTGGGAGGAATAAAGATAGCGGTGGGAGGACCGCCGTTGGGAAGACCATGGTGGTGGGATCGACTGCCGCCGCGACCCGAGCCAGCGGAGCCACGAGAGACGGGACTGCCCCATTCGGAAACGACTCGGCCGGTTCCTTTACGGTGTGAGTGGCCACCGCGTGAGCCGAGACGTTGGGAGTGGGCGATGGCGAAGCCGGAGACGGAACGAGGGGGGATGGGGCCGCCGAAATGGGTGCCGGGCATGAGGTTGTGGCCGCTGCGCGGAGGGCGGGCGTTGTTGGAGCTTACGGCGCGGGAGGCTTGCCATTCGCGCGGGCCGGTGGGGGTGGGGGAAGCGGACGAGTCGGTCACGCTGGTGTAGGGAGTGGAGGAGCGGGAGAGCATCTCCAAGGCCATGGCCTTTTCTTCGGGGTCTTTGCGGACTTGCATCCACAGGTGGCGTTTGCCGGCGATCTGTTCTTGGAGGGCCTGTGCAACTTGTTAGTCGTTTGCCCGCACCGGTAATTGGGAGTGATGACATACCTTGATGACCCTCTCGTCCTTGTCCTTCTCGGCCTTCATGTCGGCCTCGAACTTCAACATCCTTTTCCGCTCAGCTCTGATCTCAGCGCGTTCAGCCTCCAACTGCGCACGAGTACCGTCGTAGTCCATAGTTTGCGATGAGTACACCGTCCGCAGGCTTTCGCATTCGTCGCTCTTCCTGTCAAGACCATGCGCCAAGGACTCGGCAGCGTTGGAGATTGTGGTCAGGTTCTTGAGAACCTGATTGATATCCACGTCAAAACCCTGGCGGAATTGGGGAGGGACGTGGTCGGAGGAGTCAACAGCGTGCTTAAGGCCACAGAGTCGACGGTTGGCGTCGGCAGTATGTTTTCGGATATCCTGCTGAGTGTTAGTTGATGCTCAAGATAAGAAAGAGGTGAGAGGAGACTTACCGAGATGGCAGGATGGTCTCCGCTGCGGGTGAGCTCCATGGAGCTGAGACCCTTCGCCAGTTGTTGCACCTTGTTAGGAGGCGTCACCTGGTTCTCTGGTGTCTGGTAGCGCTGCGGGGGACGTGACGATGAAGGATGATGTGAAGCTCCAGGTTGGAAGTTCGCGAAAGGCTGGATCTGTTCATGTCCATTGCCAACATAGGTGTTGCTGCTAGAACGCGAATGTGACGACTGCATGGACACAGCAGAGGCCATCGACGATTGTCGCGAATGACCGCCAAGTCGGGCACCGCCAGACTGCTTCTCGCTCCCGCTGGGGTCGCTGGGAACACTGGGGAAGGTGTCTGTGTCCGGAGTGTCGGTCTTGTAAGTCTTAGTTACGGATCCAGACCGCCAATGTTGGTTTCCCCTTGGTGGGGGAGAGAAAAGGGCAAGGCGAGCGCCGCCAGCGTCGGACGAACCGTCGCTGGAGAAGCTTCCGCGACCCATGGTGAGGTTGAGGTGAGCGCGAAGTGAGCGCAGCTAAGTAGTGAGGTTAGGGATAGGTAAGGGAATGGGGATGGTTTGACGAGAGGAAGTCTGGTAGATGCGAAAGAATTCGCGGTTAGTGATGGGGATGTTTTCGCAGAAAGCGAAGAGGAAGTTGTTAAGAAGACGTTAGAAGAAGATGGTTAGTAAGAGCGCGATCAAGTTGACTCCTAAAGTGAGAGATCCAGGCGACGAGATCTGGCGATGGATACTCGAAAAAAAAGAGTGGGAGTAGAAAAGTTGAAAGGAGGAAGAAGTGGCAGGGCCGCGGAGGATTAAATACTGCAGAACTCTCCCGAATTTCTGAATTTCTGGGAGGTGTGGGGGTTGTCCGGGAGACGGAGTGGGCGTCGAATTAAGGTTCTGGCGACAGAGGACTGAAAAGTGAATGTAAAATGGAAGGAGCCAGAAGTTCAGACGGCTATCCTCCCGATGCTCGCAGCGTTTGACTCGAGGTGCTGGCCCAAGGTCCGTCGTGGAATGGAAGGAGAGGGATTACGTTGACCTCAGTGACCCGGCAACCGGGGAAAATGAACCTTGAAGCAGCCCTTGATGGGCGGGAGAGTCCCCTTGGTGTCCTTAACTCTTGCAGGAGACGCGGCCCGCCGTTTGCAAGCTGATGCTTAAAACTGGGTCTGGTAATATCAGACAAGCTGTCATCTGAAGTTGAGATGGTCACAAGAGTGCGAAGTTAATGGTGAAGATCCACAGCTACTTTTACTCTCCCGGCTGCTGAGGCAATGGCAACAGCAGCACCAATCCCTGATTGGGTGTGATGGAAGTCCCGGGTGCTCTCTGTGTCGAAGGCCGTAGTTGTTCCTAGAACAAGACGGCTCGACCTTGGACAGTGGTTCTGTGAAGTGTCGGTCTAATTTGAGTGATATGAGATGAAGTGTGTTGCCACGTCAACCGCTGCCCACGCCTGTGAATCCAGACATGTGCTCGGTGAGCCGGCTGAAGGTTAGGAGACGGCAGTTGTGTGGAATACCGGTTTTCCAAGACGGAAACGTCTGTCAGAACTGGATACGCTGGATACGCAACACCGTCACTTCACGTTAGAATGCCCCTTGGAGTAATAACTCCTACTTTGATGGTAGCGGCGGCCAAAGGTGGTCAGGAGAGGACCTTTTGTCAGAAAATCAACGCTATATATTGACTAGGACCGGAACATACGAAAGCTGGAGGGGTATTTGTCTCGCTCTGATCGGGTTCCCGTGGAAGAAAGTGATGGCAAGCTGAAGGCATTTGCGCCCAGTTTTCCCTAACGGTATTTGACCGCAACAAACCAGTATTAGACAGACAAGACAGACAGGTTGGCTCACCTCAAGATCAAGCCACTGAGCACACATTCACCACTTGCTCTTAGCAGACTGACGACCAGACGAAAGGAGAGAGACGAGACCACACCACTGGACGATGGCTGTTTGCACTTGTTGCCCGGGCACCCACTCCATCTAAACTTTCAATTCCTGTGTGACTGTGGCTAGAAGCATCCATCGACTGTTCCGTCCGTCTTCTGGTGGAAGATATGAGACGAAACAGTTTGACCGAACTCCATCCATCGATATCGCTGGGCAGCAACCACGGCTTTGTGCAAACAAGTTTGTGAGAATGAAGTGGCAAGTTGTTGACACTGGCAACGAAACCTGTGCTTGCGGCTCTTGGGCAAGGGTTCACTATTCTGATTTCACAACAACAACGTCCAGGTTGCTTTAGCAGGCCGAGACTTTGTGGGATTGTGGAAGGAGGCGATGCTTCGCATTTTGGTGGATGACTGTCATCCGTGAGCTGTTAACGAAGTGTCCAGCATCGCTTCAGTAACCGGTAGTGAACAGAGTTGTAGCAGAGGTGGACATGAATAATTTTGAGAGATACTGGGCGTTTGCCAACCGCAAGATATTGCACTTGCAGGCGATTTCAGTAAGTGCTGATTCTGAAACTGTTTCCAGCTTCACTCCCGTTTTGTCAAAAGGAGTCGCCAACCTCGATGACCAGCTGCAGCTATGGTCCCCATCTCAGGATGGAACCGAGGACTACTGGGGTTGATCTGAAAGATAGCATGGCATGTCCGTTTGCTGTTCTGGTCGAGACAAGAGAGGAAGTAGTAAACACAGAGGGAGAGGTTGGTTGGCAAAGAAGAATGGAAGGCCTGACTTCAGGTTCTCTTCCATCGTAAGACTTGTGCTACCCTCGTAGTGTGAACATTGAACAAAGAGAGAGAGGGCGCCGACCACTATCAGTGCGGTACGAAACGATCCGTATCAAAGCCTCGGGGACTCGACGAAACTGAGGTGATGTCAGATCTCAGTTGATTACGGAGTACCAGTCACTACAGCAAGTCAGGTTTCTCTTCATTTTCGTGCCCCGACCGGTAAGCAGGGGCGTGGGCATAGATACCTTCACCGAAATTGTTATCGCGACCACGAGCATAGCGCAAATGCCAAAGCTTCAAATCACCCATTTTTATATTTTTCAAATGTTCGCTATACGAACGAAATAAATGCATCTATGAAACAAGGTCATTGTATCGAAGAAACGCCACCGAGGTTATAGGATAAGTCGAGCTCTGAAGGGAGAGGTTGATACCTTTTCGTGATGCACGGCGTTAGTGCATAGAACAAGTCTCCCGTGGCTCGAATGCGTTGCAAGCGCATTGTGGTGAGAATCTCGCCGTCGCCATGGTCTCGCCTTCTCCATGGACGACAAAGTCTCCCATTGTCTCTTCTGGTGCAAGACAGAAATCAGTATTCGGTCGCTTAGCCGCTATGTGGAAAAAGCTGCTGTGCAGAAGAAGAAGCAGTAGGCAAACCCCCGGTCCACCCAGTCACTTCTTCGGTCTCGAAAAATGGCAGTGAGAAGAGGGCAGCGGGGACGATTGTCTGTCATTGCATCTTCATCAGCGAGGGATCAATGGTCCTTGCGAAGACCTGGTGATGTAGTGTGCCGTGAAACCTTGAAAGAGAATCTCTAAACTTGAATGCTGAGTGCCGTCCATCGCTGGTTGCGCTGATTGTTGTATGGTTGGGTGGATATGTCGCAGGACAACTTGCTCGCTCGACGGCATAAAAGACAACAGGGATCCTAGAAATAAGTGATCATCGCTCCCTCGTGGGACTGTCGGAACTCTGTAACCATGTTAGCCCTATGCTAGAAATTTGGATGGAAAGTCGGAGAAGCTTACAGTGAGAATGCCTAGGAAACGCAGTCAAAGTCGTGATTAGCGTCTTAAATCGCCTTTGAGCGAGAGAACAAACTGCTGTAGACCGCGTCCACAACAGGCGCAGCGGTAATCATTCTTCCACCGAAATACCGGCCGTTCAAGCCCTTGATGGCGTTCTCTCCTCCCTGGACCTTGTCGAACTTGAGGTAGATGTCGCCGGCCGAGTTGGGATCTAGAGAAATGTGAACGACGTGGCCATACTTGGCCTCGGCCTCTTCGCGGACATCGTCCTCGAGCTCCTTGATCCAGTCTTCACCCTCTTCCCTGTTGACGGTTAGCATCAGAACAGCCTAGAGGGACAAGGGGTTGACGTACTCTGCAGGGTCAAACATGTTGTGGAGAACAACGCATCGGCTGGCCATGTTCACGTTGACAGGCAGCGGCTTAGTCTCCGTCTTGGGCTTGAGAATCTGTCGGTCAGGAACAACGCTAGCAGGTGGCTCGTCAGTTCGTGCCAGCTTCCTCATGAGGGCATCGCGACTATAGTTGTTAAAGTTGACACCGGCAACGTCGGTGTCATCGAGGGCACTGGCACCGGTGCCCTTCTCGTTGTCGCGTGCGCCAGCGCGATCAAAGTTGGAGGTAGCGGGGCCACGTCCGCCGGCGCCCGAGAAAGCAGATCCCTGGAATTGTTGAGGATGATTCTGGCCTTGGAATCTCTGCAGGAGATTGGCAGTGGACTCTGGGGTAAACTTATCGTTTCCAAGTCCCACACGAATCGGGCGACCGGCGAGGTCGAACCCGTTCATCTTTTCGAGGGCCTCTCTGGCCTGACCGGCGTCACGGAACCTAGGGGAGTGGGTGGGTTAGCAAACGTTCCGTCTGTGAAAAACGTGGAGCAGTGATGGACATACTGAACAAATCCGTAACCACGGCTCCTGCCGTTGTCATCCTTCTGGAGCTGTACAAACTCGAGCTCACCAAAGGGCTCAAACACATTCTGCAGATCTTGTTCCGTAATGCTAAAATGGATGTTGCCCACGTAAAGACGGTGGAAAGGTATCGAGTTGGGATGGTGTCCAGATGTCTCCGTGGTGCGCACTTGGCGGTTCTTCTCAGCCTCGGTAAGCTGGACGATAACAGGAATACCTAGGAGTTTTTGGCCTGTGAGCTGTAGAGCGGCTTGGACGGAGTCTTCGTTCTTAAATTCAACATAACCAACGCTGTCCAATTTGTTAGCCTGCGTCTCTTTAGATGCGGAACAGAGGGACTGCGGTGTAACGTACCCCTTGGAGCGATTGCTGACCCTGTCCTTCACAATCTGGGCCTCGGCAACAGGGCCGACTTTTTCAAAGAACTCCTTGAGCTCGCGAGTGCGCAGACGGGCGGCCAACTGCTGCACGAACACGGTGCGCCGATCACGCTCGTCCTCGGTCAGGGGCGGAGGGGTGCCATCCCTGGCCCTGGGAGTGTTTCTGCCGCTGCGGCGGTCGTCGTCACGTCGACGGTAGCTGTCACCGCGGTCGCGGCGATCGTCGCCCCGGGGCCGGTAGTAGCGGTTCGGGGAGCGAGATCGGGAGCGGCCTCCGCGGCCTCCGCGACCTCGATAGTAGTCTCCATCTCTGTGACGGCGTGAGTGTCTGCCAGAATCACGGCTCCGGCTCCGACGCCTACTTCGGTGGCTTCCGGCCTCACTGCGGGGGGTGTCTCTACCAGCCTCACTCGACGAGTTGCGAAGGCGGCCCGAACTCCGGTCGCGATGTCTCCTGCCACGGTCCCTGCTGGTATCTCTGCCCCGGTCACGGTCTCGCTCGCGCTCCTTATCGCGGTCGCTGTCACGGTCGCGGCGTTCGGATTTGGAGCCGTTCTGGTCGGCGTCGCCATTGGTGGTAGGGGGGTCGACGTCCATCTGCTGCTCCTTGCCGGAGGCAGTGGAATCGAGGAGGGCCTCGACGTCTAAGCCCGACATTTTGCGTAAATGTGTAGTGGATTCGCTCTGTCTGTATCGGTGTATTCAGATGGATGTGCCGTCGATAGTTGATGATTTGGCACGAGTTCAGACAAGCGCTCAGTGACTAGAGCAACAAAATTCGGCGTGGTTGCCTGGTGTGGTAAGTATGATGGCGAATTGTCCAGTTGGATCCAGATGTTGGGAGTCGCAGTTTCCGGTCTGGCGATAAAATCCATGGATTCTACCGAAATGGCAGCCTCAAGGGGTCTGGGCGCTGGGACTTCAGGCTGTGGCGGCCCTTTACTGGCTGGCCGGTCGCCCGAGACAGCCTTTGTTAGGGGCACGTGACGTCCGTTCGCAGAAACTGATCGATGCCAAGCAAATTGCAGTGACCGCCTTTCTTCAGGTTGGTCGGGCTACAGTAAATGACGGCCGAGCGCTTTATATCTGGGTGAAGTCCATAGTTTTCCTGTAGAGTTAAGAGTAACCAACAAGGTGCACATTCTCGACCAACTCCCCGAACCTGCCAACAGCGATATCAACTCTCAGCACGCATGACAGACGCTTCTTTGGATAGCATAATTCCATTCACGTTACTTTCAAGTCATTCGTATTAACATTAGGGGGTATTGACCAACGACCAAAAAAAAAGCAACATATATCCATGATGATTCCCCCTTGCTGCCAGCCCAGTCCAGCCAAACCCAACAGCTAGACGCCCATCCCCCTTCGCCTATCAACCGGCCGACCAGCCCAAACAGAAGCAAAAAAACCCTTCCCATTGACTTTTCTCCTTGTTTCCCTTGCTGCCCAACCCATGATTTGAGATTTCCTGCCCACCCATGCTTATGTACGGCGTCAATACTTCATGAATCCTATTCTATGGTACATACTCTTTTTCCCCTTTCTTTCATTACAAAATGGTTGTGTTCAATAAGTATGTACTCCAACGACGCCTTGCAAAGGTGTAGTCGGGCTGTGTGAAGAAAAGCGAGTCCGAACTCAAGACTCCAAAAGTCCACCTAGGAGTGGCACTTAGTTCGTCTTGGGGTTGTACACAAGCTCGGTACCAAAGATCTTGTCCCAGAAGGCGCTGGTGACGCCAAAGCCGTTCTCGTAGTCGAGAAAGTGGTGGGCAAGGTGGTACTTCTTGAGCGCCCTGTAGTAGGCGGGCAGGGTCTGGTGGTGGAGGAAGTAGTGGGTCATGTCGTAGAGGGTGTAGCCAAAGACACCGCCGCAGAAGGCAGCCGTGGCGGCGTACCAGTTGTAGAACAGGACGGTGTGGGCAAACTTCCAGAAGGGAGCAGCCAGGACGACGAAGAGGGTGGGCGGCATGACGAGACGGTACCTGTCCATGGGCAGGTAGTGGTGGATGCCGTGGAGGAGGAAGTGTGCGGTGATGCCGACGCGGTTGTCGGGGAGGTAGCTGAAAGGAAACTGGTTAGTACTCGTGTTCAAATGCTGCGCAGAATGATGTAGGAATACTCACTAATCAAGGTGGAACAGGAAGCGATGCAGAATGTACTCGATCAAAGTCCATAATGAGAGGCCAAATCCGAAATAGCCGGCCACGGGAGCGACACTGCCAAAGCCCTGGAATGCGACGTAGACACCGTACGAGATGACTGGCCACCAGACAAGCGGGATCAACCACCAAGGCGTCTTGGACAGAGGCTCAAGGAAGTTGCCAAACAAAGGCGCAGACTCTCCTCCCTTGTAGTGGCGCGGACGGTGGACTTGATCAAGGTAGAACTCCTTGGAGAAACCACCATTCCAGATCTGCATAAACAGCGGCTTGTTCAAGTCGAGGAACTTGTGTGTCTTGTAGTCGGCGTTGTAGTCGGTGTCCTTGCTGAGGTCCTCTTCGCAGGACATACCCGTCCGAGGATGAACCCATTGCTCTTCTGTTCCGTTCTCGCCGCCCTTTGCCTTTCCGTTCGCCGAAGCGCCGTTTCCTGATTCGAGAAATCCCACCAGTGACTCGTCGAGGACTTCGTATGCGGCCTCGGAGTGAGTATGCGACGCCTCGTCCTTGAGAATGGCGCCAATGTCCTTGCCGGCCCAGTCAAGGACGAGATCAGCACCGCCGGGGTGGGAGTCGAGGAAGTCGGTCACGTCGTAGACATTCTTGCCAACGGTAACGTAGCAAGACTTTGCCGAGTTGTGGGACTCGACCTCGTCGATGGTGAAGGTGGGGAGAGTGCGGCCCGGCATGGTTGCTGTGTTGTGGTCGCAGGATGCTATGCTCTCTGCAAAGTGAGGGCGGCGTCTCTCGGGAGTGCTGGGATGTTTGGTATGGGATTCTCTCGCTTCTCGCTTATTACTTTTTGGGCGGTGAAAGAACAAAAACAGTCGAAAGACGAGACACGGGCTACCTCGCAACGGGGATATCGAACAGTTTATAAAGGAGGGCCTGGAACCTCAAGCACCAGACTGGAGATTAAAAAGGCAATAGTAGTGAAATAATGTAGGTAGGGAAAAAGGGGTTGTTGTTCTGGTCCGTCCGGGTGTTATAGGATCCGCGGGAAGGGAAGTCGTGGTTTGCGTGTTGAAGAACGGACGACTTTTCTGGGTCGGACTTCAGGGGTTCCCAAGTTCCCGGAGGCGCGCGACAGCTGTCACTCGAACGGTCAGCAGAGGGTGGCGTTATGCGATGGTACCGGTGGGTCCGCCAAGACGGCGCAAGGCAGAAAAATCGAACTCTTTTTTTCTGAAAAGGAACTCCTGATCGGCATTGTTTTCGCTGGATCTTGACTGGATCTTGTCTGGATCTTTCTGAACCCGCACGCATAACCCTGGAGACGACGGCAACCCTGCCCGGCGATGGGTGGGTAATCGCGTTATCGTGTCCCACTTGTCGGTTCACGGTTGTCGGTCGGGAGCGGTGCCTGCCGAGTGCCATTCTCCCCACTGCCGCTGGTCCCTTGGAAAGTTTGGAGGATTTTGGCGGGGCAAGGTGGTGAGAAAAGTGGGCACAAGACTGAGAGCGGGATGGGGACTTGTGCAATTCTCCGTCGCCAATGTCTTGTTCCTGTCGGAGTGTTTCCTTTTGTTGCTTCATGTGACAGTGTTGGATGGGAGACAAAGTACGGCAATGCAGGTGGAACCGCATGAAGTTATACCGCTTTTAGATGGGAAAGCAAGATGTCCAATGGGCTTTATATCGCAAAGTCGGGTATTTGGGTTCAAGATCAAGTCAAACTTCCAGATGAACAACAGCATGACTTGCAACTCCATGGGTTGGCTGAGCACTGAGAGCACCGTGCACAACTTTATGAACTTCGAGATGGGACGGCGGGATCATCATTGATTGGCTCCGTTCCAAGAACTCTTGGGAACTGCGCCGCGACCGCAGCAACGGCTTTGAAGCGGCTTTGGAGCTCGCGAGATTGGCAGATTGGAAAGGCGGGAAAGAACTGAGAGCATTGACTGCAGGCGGGCAGTTCAATTCGTTCACAAGGAGAGCACCTGCCTCGGGTCCAGTGTTCAGTGCAGTTGAGACTTGGGGGAAGTTCAAAATCTGACGTCAAGGGTTCTGCTTGGAGTGCTTGGCGCTCCTCACTGATCAAGCTCAGCTCAGCTCTCTTCAGGTCGCAGCTTTGCCGTTCCTTCCCCATCCCCATCCTCTTAAAAGTCCTTCGTAATCTGCCCACTGAACACTCTTTCCAGCTTCAGGCCGCCAGTCTTACTCTGTCCTCAAGTTCCTCCAATTGTGCTTCTCCAAAGACGTCCGCGAGACACACCTTTTGCCCAGGCAGAGATAGGTAGCTGAGCTGAGTCACGCGCATCGTTTAAGTACAGCACCTAGCTACTACATCTTGGCAAATGCTGGAAGACATCTTTACCACTTTCATCTGAAAATTGACCAAAGACTTCATCCGTTTGCACACGCGTACACAACGATAACACCCGAAATTACTACACACTGAGTCGCACACAATGGCGGGTCTCAGGATAGGCTGGGGCAGCGTCTTGCTGGTCCTAGCTCTGGTCCTGGTTGTTCTCCCAGACAAGGCCGCAGCTTTCGGTGCTGGCAACATTCCCTCCATCGCCCAGGTCGAGGGCCACAACTGGAGACATGGCGATATTGAAGACGTGCTCAAGACTCTGGCCTTCATCAACGGCAAAAAGTGGACCACTATGATGGTCGGGCGCACCTACTTTGGTAACTGGCTCAGAGACTATTCCCAGGCTATCGATGTCGGCAGCTTGAAGGGAGTTAATGCGGCTACCATTCGCATCCTTGTAAGTCTTTCATCGCATTTGCGCCCCCATGTCATCTCATCCACTAACTGTTGTCACTAGGTTTGGGTTCTTTCCTTCCTGGCTCATGGATACGCTACCGAAGAGTTCGAGGTTACCGAGGAGCGGCTCGGCGTTTACAGACCCGAGGAACATATCGACAACCCTCTTGGCTACGCTGATGGAAAGGATGCCCGCGAGTATGACCCAAGACTACGACCACCGGTACACCCCGGAGAACTCGAGATCGATAAAGAGACCGGTATGAAAAATTATATCGCCAACGAAGCATTGGCTTTCAAACAAGGCTGGAATACCACAAGTGCCGGCTATATTCGTTTCAGCTTGCAGCGTTGCATTCATTACGGTCGTCTGTATACCAGTGGCTCTCATGGCAGAGGCAAGGAGTCTGACCTGTGCGAGGCCTTGAGGTGCTTGGGACAGGCCCTTCATACCTTGGAGGACTTTCCTGCCCACAGCAACTACTGCGAATTGGTCCTAATCGACATGAAAGAAAGGCGAGGCCAGCACAGTCCAGTCTTCCCTCACGTTGGCACACGTACTCGAGTTACACTTGAGAATAACACACCTAATAATGGAAAGTCGGTTTGGCCCCTAGTCACGGGCACCTTTGGAGGAGTCGACTTCTTGCACTCCGTATTGGGTGAGGCCAACGATCACTTCACCCAGTCCGAGGTTGACGAAATGAACAATGCCCTCCTGAACGCTGAACAGCTGACCAAGGGATCCGGCGGTGGTTCTTCGCGCGGTGGTGGCCTCAGCCTCTTTGGCTTGAACTTGGGCGGCTCCTCTGGAAACGATGGAGACTTTATCTCCCTTGTTTCCAGGCTTCCCGGTGTCGGTGACGGGTATGCCAGCACAGCCCGTAGCCTGAAGGCTGCCTCTGAAGCTCAGGAGCAGGAGAACAGTAGATCCGCTGGCAATGTCAACGTCGTTCCTGGCATGAGCCCCAACTTCGACCCCGTCAAGACTGCAGCCAAGATTTACCCAATCCTCGAGTTTCGTGACAAGATTGTCAGGTCCATCAACAACATGATCGAGAAGATCCCCGGCTTGGAGAGTCTGCTGGAGAAGATCACGGAGACTCTGACGGCTTTCATCCTTGGCTTGCTGGCTCCTTTCCTGCGCCCCATCATCAACCAGGTCAGCCAAGTGTTGAAGGAGGGCTCATCTGGTCTCATCGAGACCAGCGCAAACCAGCAGCTCGAGCCGTGGAATAACCCTCAGTGCGACAATCCTACCCACTCTATGCTTTCCAAGGACCACTTTACCAACATTTTAAACTCGTGCGCCGGTCGCGTCGCCGCTACCATTCTTCAATACGTCGTTCCGTAGGTCTCCCCCGTTTCCCCCCCTTGTTATTCGAACTATGCTAATTCCAACAACAGCCGAGTTGTCTACGCCTGGGAGAATCCCGGTGTGCCCGACAGCGAGGTCATCAAGGACGTCCTTCAGGTTTTCCACCATCCTGCCAATTACAAGGAAGACGTCGAGATTCAGCGAATGATGTACGACACCGTCGTGCAGTGGTCCCGGGAGACTCATCATGACTACAACGCGCTCCTCACGTCCGACGCCGTCAAGGCAGGCCTCAACCATGTCCTGAACGGTCAACCTCTGAACCGCGGCCCCGGTGGCGGCCACACCTCGTGCGGCGCTGATGGCGGCCACGGCAAGGTTGCGGGCTCCCTCTGGAGCAAGATCCAGAACCGCGATCTTGACACTTCCGGTCCTGTTGGCGGAGGAGGTGGCAGGTCCTCTTCCTCTACCGGTCACAAGTACAGCTACTCCTCCAGCTCCTCCTCCCATCACCAGATCCCCACCCATGGCGAGGCAGCCTCGTACTTTTCTTCTGCCGACGCGCGCCCTGCCTCCCCACCATCGGGTCGCTCCTACGGTAGCCGCCCCTGTTCCTCCGGGTACGGATCTTCCGCCCACGGTTCGGGCCGCCCCTCACCCGCCCCTGCATCCTTCGGGTATCACCACGGCGGTCACCAAGCTTATGAGGGAGGCAGCGGCTACCCTTCGCAGCCGTCATACGGCGGATCTTCTGGCCCATCATACGGCGGATCTTCTGGCCCATCATACGGCGGGTCTTCCCATCCCAGCTACGGTTCCCAGCCTTCTTACCTCTCTCAACCTTCCTACGGCGCTCACCCCTCCCAGCCATCCTACGGCTCTCAACCCCCCTATGGCGGCCCCCCTCACGGCTCCTACGGTGGTGGGCGTCCCCCCTCTCCTCCTCGTCCCTCCGGCTACGGCGGCGGATACGCTGGTTACTCCGCTGGTCCCGCTCCTAGCTACGGTGGCTATGGCGGTGGTCCACCTGGTGGTGCTCCCTACCCCCATGGCGGTCCAGTAGGCGGTGGTGGTTCGGCTCCTTATCCCCATGGCGGAAGGGCCGATGCATATGAGAGGAATTATGATCAGCATTACGAGAGGGATGATAGACGTGGCGATAGAGATGGCAGGAGGAGGAGAGGAAGCCATGGTAGTAGGAGTAGTAGCGAGGAACGGGATGGAAGAGGATACCCCGGGCAAGGGTCTAGGGGAAGTGGTCATCACGGTGGTGGAGGAGGATACGGAGGAGGATATGGTGGTGGATATGGTGGTGGATATGGAGGTGGTGGGGGATACAGAGGAGGTTATGGTGGAAGGGACGAGCATCGGAGGTATTAAGCTTGGTTACGTGGGATTGGGAAATGGGGTGATGCCATGAGTTTGGAATATTTGAATAACGAACGAAGGTCACGAGGTTCTATGAGTATGCTTGATTCGCGGTGAGACTGGTGCTCTCTGTTTTTTTTTCCTTTTGGTATGATACCATTCCCTTGAGCTCAATAGTTTTATATTGCAGAGTTATGAAATTATGATCAGGCCAGAGATCAAATGGGAGACAAAGGAAGAGTATGTTGATCTATACTTCCCGTCCATGGCAGTGTTGTGAGCCTGGAAGGGATGGGACTTTGGAGTGGCTAGGGTTGATGTGCTATTGCCCCCGAGGCTTAAGAGTGTACGGCGACTGTCAATCCTAAACACCGATGATACTAAACCCTGTATGTGTTCTCCCTGGCTTTGTTGACGTGCGGTTGATTAAGGTACCGAGAGACTCTTTCTTCGTGTCAACTGAATCCATCCCCTCCTCTTCATGTCGTACAACTTCAATGACAACCTTGGGTTCCCGTCAATGTGACGAGTTTGGGACTTTTGGGAAAGCGACAAGATCAGCAGCACATACCCGACCTCCGACCGAGGAAACTTGAATTTCATGATGAGCGTACCTTACTAACAACCCAAGCGCCGCTTCAGTTAGAGCCTGGCAGTGTAGTCAAGTAGTGTAGCACCGGCGCTTAAGAATGTAACATCATTGGCCTCCCTCCCCCCTGCGAAGTGCGAAGTTGCCTTGCCAGGCTTCGTTGCGTATTCCTTCGTTCCATCTCGTTCCTTCATATTAACTCGCAGAGAACCTAACATTGCTGCCACGACATTCAACATGTTGACCTTTTCAACCTTTCATACTCGCTACTCGCTCCTCTCAATTTTCTCTCAGTGAGTGAACCATTACTTCCGTTGTTTTGTTGTTGTCCTAGGAAGACATCGAAAGCTCCTACCCTACCTACCTCCGAGATATATTATATTACATACCTTTATACCTTCGTTTGCTCCAAACTTTTGGATAGCCATACCATAGCATAGCCATAGCATAGCATACAGCGTTGCTGCCGAACGCCGCCAAAAAAAGTCAAAGTCAAAGTCAAAGATGGCCCGCCGCTACCCCAAGCTTTGCTCCGTCTGCGCCATCGTCCCGCACTGGCTTGCCTCCCTCTCCTGGACAGATTACGCGTACTACAATGAAACGACCGTCACGCTTCGGTCTTGGAGGGGGATGCAAGAGCAGGCTGAATTAGCGGCGGAAGCAACAGCAGCAGTAGCAGCAGAGAAGAAAAGAAGTGGAAGTGGAAGTGGAGGAGGAAGTGGTAGGAAAAATGGCGGAAAACATGATGAAGGCGGCGAAGAAGTAGGAGAAGGAGAAGGATGCGACCTCTGCCTCATGATTGTCAAATTCACCAACCGCAAGTCCCGCTACCAGTACGAGGTGAGGCCGTATTACTTGCCGCCGGTGATGGATCCGAGGCATGATGAGCGTTATAAAGATGTGCCGTTGGTTTTTAGGAGGGAGGGGAAGAAGGTGTTGGGGAGGGATATAAAGGGAACGGGGGATTATTGGGCGTATAGGATTGTTTGTTTGAGTAATGGGGATCTTTTTGCTGCGGATGTGGTGATGGTGCCGGGCAGTTGGTGTAAGTTGGTTTTTTTTTTCTTTTTCTCCCTCCCTCTCTTTCTCTCTTTCTCTCTCTCTGTCTCTCTCTCTCTCTGTGTGTGTGTGTGTTTCTGGGTCTTGAGATACCTTTGGGAGAGACGTTCATGCTTACTATTGTCTTGAGATGCCTTTTGGGAGAGACGTTCATGCTGAACTATGTTTGGTGATCTGATGTAGGTCCGAGGTTTCTGCCGCCTATGGGATACAATGATCAAGATCCTGAAAGGAACGTGCTACTATTGAAGGATTGGTTAGACAACTGCCGACTCAATCATACGAAATGCCGCGAGATCAAAAAGACCATGGAGACGGGCACCGATTTCTTGCCAACTAGACTGCTCGATGTTCAAGCATTCGGAACGGGTAGTAAATCATTATCCTATCTTGGGAACGACGTCAGGCTCGTGTCTTTAAGTCCAACAACGGGCCCTGAATCAGATATGAACAAGTTCCCGCCGCCCTACTTCACACTCAGTCACTGCTGGGGTCCGCCAGAAAAGCGCCCAACGACGACAACCAAGGCCAACCTAGCCCAACGAATGGAGAGAATCCCGCTCTTTGAGCTGCCAAGAACATTTCAAGACGCAATCGAAATAACCCGCAAACTAGGCCACCGATACCTCTGGATTGACTCGCTCTGCATCGTCCAAGACGACGAGCAAGACTGGGCGCACGAAGCCGGTTTGATGGCCAAGGTGTACTCACACTCATCCTGCACGCTCTCCGCGCTGAGCTCCAAAGACAGCAGTGAGGGTTTGCATCTGGAACCACTAGATGAGGACCGTTCCTATATGGATCTCATGATCACCTCACATGCATCTCCCGCTGGTGGTAGTGGTACTAAAAAAAGCGACATGGACGACCCCTTCTTCTTCCGGTTTCGAATGTTCTACTCCCTAGATCACTGGGACACACTCTACAACGGCAAAATCCAACTCGGACTCTGTGACGACATTTCGCCCCTCCGCTCGCGCGCCTGGACGCTCCAGGAGCGCGAGCTCTCGCGGCGAATCATCCATTTCGCCAAGAATCAGGCACTGTGGGAGTGCGCGGAGCTGAAAGCGACTGCGCAGCGGCCGTGGCATCACTCTGTCTATCCTGCGCTGGACCCGGAACAGGAATGGAAGGAGTGGGCGGGGATAAAGAAAAGTCTTGAAAGCCTAAGCCTTCTTCAAGACCGTGACGGCAATCCGGTCCATGTCGCTGCCGCTGCCGTTACCGCTTCTTCTTTGCTCTCAGCCTACAGAGGGGAACATGAGTGGTGGGAAATGGTGTTCGATTACAGCCAGCGGTTGCTATCCAAAGACACGGACAAACTGGCCGCTTTGTCCGGGATGGCGCAGTTTTACCAGCGGAACCACTTCCCTCATGCGCGGTACGTGGCTGGGCTATGGAGCTCTCGGCTGGAGGAAGAGTTATTCTGGGAAGTTGACGACAGGACGAGCGCGAGCAGACCGGCGGAGTACGTCGCGCCGAGCTGGTCGTGGGCGGCCGTCAATGGACGTGTAAGTTTTAGGCCGAAGGATCCTGTCTGGAGGTTTCAGTCGATGAGGAAGAATATATTAGCCGAAGCTGAGAAAGATCCCGCCAATCCCGTCGATGCCAAAGACAAAGACAGAGACAGGGAGAGAGATCCACGCAAAGTGATATGCGAAGAATGGAAAGTGGAGGAGGTCAACTTACTCCCCAGGTACGACGACCAGTATGGGGCACTGAAAGGCGCGAGTCTGATCATAGGCGGTGCCCGTCTCGTTGAGGTGAAACTGTTTACCGAAACCTTGATCGAGCCAGATCCTGAGTACATTCAGGGGTTTCATCGTCATTACGGCGGCTTGAAGATAGACGGTCGTTGGGTGGCTGATCATAGACTTGATGTTGAAGGGGAAGTAGAACAGAGTGGTTGTAGACTGTGGTGCTTGGGTATGGTGGCGGAAAAACATTACAGGGAGAGGCCAGTGATAGGGGGCCTTCTTCTCAGGGAGGAGAGGCTTGATGTCGATGGGGATCTTTGTGTTTACAGCCGGGTGGGAAAGTTCCACAATATGGCGGTGGCATTGTTTGATGGTGTTGAACCACGGCGGATCAAACTGATATGAGCGAACGGTTAAGATGAAGATCAGGGCAGACGAGTCAGTCGACCTGGGTGGAAGATATCAACTTTGTAGAAGAGAACAAGGAAAGAGCTACCATGGAAAGCTGCTTCTGCTCCGGGGATCAAACAATCCCCAAGTCCCTACATATTATACCTGTTTAGGCTAGGTCTGGGGGGTGAAAGAGCGATTCTAGCCCAGACGAGTCCAATTGTTTCATCCAGTTGGAAAGGGCAGATGACGGCCGAGAGCTCGTGGAATGAGCGACCCGCTGATCGAGACGGGAGTGGACAGAGACGAGGATGAGAGTGAGGATGGGCTAAGTGGTGGTTGCAGTATCCAAACATCATTTTACATGAGGAGGGCTTGGGGAAACCACATGTTGGTAAGCATGCTCTCTCCTCTTTGTCTGCATGGTGCACGGTGGGAAGGTACGATGAAGCAAGCTGATCAGCAACCTCAAAAGATCCAATGGAGCTTTAAGCTTACACAAAACTGGCAAGAGAACACGAGGCCATCCAAATGCAACCATATGTGTTGGGGCGCGGGTGGTGACTGCCGTTTGGTATGTCTCAGCTGCCTCGACCGTCCTTACCGTCAGGACTTCCTTTTGTATTGGATGACTTTCTATTGGTCTGCTTTGCGCAGCCACATTTGTAGCCTAGAGGTTTGATGCCCACCCTCCAGCTCGATCCCCACGAAACCCTCAAAGCGACTTCTGCTGACATCCGACAACAACACTGTCACGACGCTCCCAACGGAAATAGAATCAAGGCACCCGCGCACTTCGCTTCGACAAGACCCCTCTGGTTCCAGAGATTCCTCGGTTCTGGCAACAGACCTATGTCCAGAGAAACCTTTCTTGAGGAAGGTTCCCCCAGCGGAGATTCTCTTAGGGATATGGAACCCAGACCAACGCCCTCCGAGAATGAATCCTCGGGATGCCCCAACACTGAGACTGTTCTCATTTCTTCAAACTCCGAAACGGCCACAAAGCTCTGCGGTGTCTGGTCTAGAATCCCGGCCTGGTTCTGGACCCAGGAGCTTGAGGAATACGAGGAGGTTTCTGTCGAGCTGCAGCCATTCAAGGGGATGCGAGCTGAAGCACGAAATGGCTGTGGTCTATGCAAAATTCTGTGCTTACGAGATTACACTGTTGTGGAAGATGGATTGCAAGAAGTTGCTATAGATACCCTGTTAGAGTTAGGAACAGGCAAACTGGTGAAGTCTAGGGTCGGCGACTACCGGATCTGGGGCCGTTTCAAAGAAGCTAAAGCCTGGCTAGGTGCAGTGTATCCATTCCCATCTTCATGGCGTAAGTTGCGCATTCAAGCTGTTACATGTTCAGGGCAATTGTTACCATGTTAACCTCCGTTGTCTGTTGTGTAGGTCCCCGCTCCCTTGCCGCAGCAGACGAGAACTCAGATCTCATGCTCATTCAGGACTGGATTAACAATTGCCAACTCAATCACACAAGTTGCAACAACGTCACAAAGGATTTCCTACCAACCAGGCTGCTGGATGTTGAGGCGTTCAATAACGGAAGATCGCCTGGTCTTAAAGACGATGTTAAACTAGTCCGCTCTGTTTCGTACCAGATTCAAAAAGGAGGATCCGCGCCACAATATATTACGTTGAGTCACTGCTGGGGACCGCCTGAGAAACGTCCTATTACCACGACACTCGCGAATCTCGCTGCCAGAATGGGGAGAATCGCTTTCACTGATCTTCCAAGGACATTCCAAGATGCAGTTGTTCTAACAAGAAAGCTAGGACAACGATATCTTTGGATTGACTCTTTGTGTATCATCCAAGACGACGAAGATGACTGGGCCAACGAAGCTTCAATGATGGCGAAAGTATATGCGCAGTCTTACTGCACGCTCGCGGGTCTCAGTTCTTCGGATAGCACCGAGGGACTGCGAATGTCCGGTAACGGTCGAACGGATAAGAGTCTCATTATTGATCTCAGCGCGAATGATGCTCATAATGGGCTATTCAATGCGCGTATTTTTTCACAGGAGCCAGCAAGATGGCAAGAGGAATATGATGGCTGGAGTAAGCCTGCGAATCACTTCGGCACCAACGGCCACAAGAAGGAAAGTCCCCTCCGATATCGTGCATGGGCGCTTCAGGAGAAGGAACTCTCAACCAGAAGCATTCATTTTGGCTTTAAGCAGTTGTTGTGGGAGTGCCGCGAGCTCAAAGGAACTTCTGAACTGCCCTGGTATCATATCATGCGCCTAGTGGAGAGAGACGAGTTAGACCGGGAGCGCGAATGGGCCAAAAGCCACCCGGAAGGCTCCATCTTATTTTATAGGATGAGTGCTAGTTGGCTCAACTTATCCCAGGATTATTCCGATCGGTCTTTGACCAAGGAAACCGACAAGCTACCTGCTCTTTCTGGCATCGCGCAATCCTTCCAGAAATACTTTCCTAACGACAAGTACATCGCCGGGATATGGACCTGCCATCTGCCGCTAGCATTGCTTTGGAAACCACTTACTGTTGCCACAGAAAGGTACACCACAGAATATATCGCCCCCAGCTGGTCCTGGACCTCTCATCCTTCGGCAATTATGTATGACTACTTTGATTATCAAGAGATCTTCTGGTAGAAGGTCAGCAAGACATCAGATTCAGTGCGGAAGTGGTTTGACGAACCAGAGGTTGTGAACATAACAGGACAGCCCAAGCTCGGCGATGACTATGGTGCTCTTAAGAAGGGCGCGGCTTTGGAGCTAAAGGGTGCTCACATTCTTGAACTAGACTCTAATCTAGTTCTAGAAAGTGATGGCGAATTACGCTATTATATAAATGGCGTATTTGCTGGTGAGTTCAAACCAGACGTGTATGGTCCAATTCAGGGAAAATTTATATGCCTAGGCGTTTTCAACTCGGTGAGGCGTCGCCCGGCTAGAGGCCTAATTCTCAAGGAACACATTCACGACGGAAGTCCGGTGTATAGCCGGGTTGGAGTTACGGATCTGTTTTATCCGTCATTTTGGGAAGGTTCAGAGCCGCGCCAGATAACCCTGATCTGAAGAGGGTGGTGGGCCGTATCGCTCTGCCAGATCGAGCCTGTACATTCTCCTTCGCCAGCATATCAAAATCATACCATCATCTCTTCCTGAAATCATACCATCCTCTCTTCCTGAAAGACAACAAGTTCGATATCAAGCATTCAAGACAATGGAGCTCGAGTGAAGCCAATGCCCGCCCGTCGAAAAAAACATCCCGAGTCACAACATCTGAACGACTTCTCATGACAGAAGCCTACCTACGAACCTTTTGAAAGCTTCAACTGTAACCACGAGACCTCTTTCTCACCTTCCTGAGGTGTTTCTAAACCACGCCTTATGCCCTTTATTCGGCAAGGAATGCCTGGTCTCCTTGCAAATATGCTGGTTCAGATTCTGATTATGTCGTTTGGATCGGTACAGGTGCATATCGAAGTGTCTCTATCGCCCATCTCGGGGTCTGAAAGCCCTCATGAAGCAATGAAGATGGTACATAGAGATAGATACGCTCGAAGTATTGGACTGTGAGACATGTTATATCAATTGACGGAATATCGCGAGGAAGTACCATGGGAGCAGAAAGGCAGCAAACGGAGCGTGAAAGGGAAGTGAAAGAACCAGAAGTTGCTGTTTGCTGGTTCAGAAATACTTGACGCAGGGATCTCCTTATTTCGGTGTCAGCGGAGGAAAGGAAAGTGGAAATGTTCATTTTTCTGGCGGTGCTTTGTGTAGAGTAGGTAGAGATCGGCTCCTAGGTAGAAATTCGATAGTCTTCTTTGTTGCGAGTGATTCGGTTAATAATTAATAAGTAATGATGGTGGAAATGGAAGAGTTGTTGACATGGAAAAGGAGGCAGGGACTTTGGCTGAAGTGTCGTTGCCCGAGCCTTGGTTGTTAGGTAGACACCCCTTGAAAGTCTGTGAGCTCGAGACGTCTGGTCAACTTTGTCCAGACGTTTCTACATCCGATTTATATATTTTCTTCGATGACGGGGGCTTGACATTAGTTTAAATATATCAAATTAGATGTTAATGAATTGTTTCTGGCTCATGATTATACATTTTAAGGTACTATTACGGCGTTCAGGACGGGTTGGTATGAGTCTTGTTCGGGGTACCAGGCTAACAAACAAACCTGTATTGAACTGTACACTCAATTGGTGATTATTAACACTGTGGTCAGGATGCAGCTGCAATCAGGAGCTCCTCCCGCCCAAGTGATGCCGTATCTGGTCTCACTGCAATTGGTGCCCTGCTACCCTTCTTTGCGCTGTCACGACGTTCTTCAGTGGGTTGTTCACATCGTTTGTAGGGCACCCACCACCAAAACAGGAGAAGCATCAGCGCGCACTAGCAATCACCACGACAAGGAGGAGCATCACAACAACGACGACGACGACTCCGCATCGGCTTCCACTTCCTGTCCTACACCACAACAACACACAACTCCTCACCAGCAATGCGCCCCAGCGGTGCTCTCAACCCAACAACATGTCCGAGCTAGGAGTAGCAGTAGGACAAAAGATCGAACTGGCCGATGGCTCCGGGAGGACCGCCTTTGTCCGCTATGTCGGCGAGACCGCATTTGCGCCCGGCACCTGGGTCGGCATCGAGCTCGACGAGCCCTCGGGCAAGAATGACGGCAGCGTCCAGGGCGAGCGCTACTTCAACTGCGAGATGGGCTACGGCATGTTCGTGAGGCCGACCACCTTCAATGTCATCGCCCAGCCCCCGCCGCCATCGAAGCCGGCCTCGTCGACCTTCAAGAGGTCCGTCAACACCAGGCCCACGAGCCTTAGCGCGTCTACCACCCGGAGACCCGCCCCTGCAGACACCGGTCTTGCAAAGAGGATGAGCTTGAATGCGCCGAGCCCTAGTCCGGGTCCGCGCCCAAATCGTACCTCGAGCACGAGCGTCTCAAGGGTCAGTACCAGACAAACAGTTGGAGATCACTTACAGCTAACACGGAATTCTTCCAGTCTCCTACGAGGTCACCTACGAAACAGCTCGCCACCGCTTCGTCGAGCGGCGCCCCTTCGCGCAGCGGAACACCATCCACAACCACCAAGCCGGCCGGAGCCACCACTCGAACGCGCCCCTCTCTTAGTACGAGTCGACCGTCCATGGGGCCACCGCCAAACCCAGGTTCGCGAACAACTAGGAAGGTTTCCGTATCCTCTGTCGGTACCAGACCTTCGATAGGCGCCACAAGGACGGTGGGCGGTAGGGCATCCATATCCGCGAGGTCGTCTACAAACCGCCTCCCCGATCCCAGAGAATCGACCGGCTCGGTGTCTTCGATAGGAAAGTCCGGTGTCAAGAGGGGTAGTGCCTCGCCTCGCAGTAGTGATGAAGACCTGTCGACCTCCCCGATGCCCACTAGTCCTGTACATCAGAAGACGGCCGCTCTGGAAAAGCTCACCGCCCCCGGTGCTGGAAATGGTGGCGGAACTTCACCCGGCGCAACGTCGCCGAACCTTAAAGCGAGCACGATTACACCGAGGTCATCCATCACGAACACTGCGACTATGAACAAGGAGATTGAAGACCTCAAGGCGAAACTTAAAGTGTTGGAGAAGAAGCGCATGGAGGATCGTGAGAAGCTCAACAGTCTGGAGAAGGTCAAGGCGGAGCGCGACAAGTTCGAAAGAATCATCCAAACGTTGCAGATCAAGTACCAGCCGCAACAGCAGGAAATCCAGGACCTGAAACGTCAATTGAAGGAAGCGGAGACCAGACTCTACAATGTCGAAGAGATGCAAGCAGAGCATGACACAGCCATGGAGCTTGCCACCCTCGACCGAGAGATGGCCGAGGAGACAGCAGAGGTGCTCAAGGTCGAACTGGACGCCCTCAAGCAGAAGAACGAAGAACTCGAGCTCGAAGTAGAGGTCCTCCGTGAGGAGAACTCGGAGTTTACTACTGGTATGTCACCCGAAGAACGGGCGAGCACTGGCTGGTTGCAGATGGAAAGGAATAATGAGCGTTTGCGCGAGGCCCTGATTCGTCTACGCGATATCACGCAGCAACAGGAGGAGGAGCTGAGAGATCAGATCAAAAGCATGGAGGAGGATCTACGGGAGTTCGAGACCATCAAGGAGCAACACACGACCGCCAAGGAGAAGTTGGCACAGACTGAAGCGATCGTCGAGGACCTCAGAGAGCAGCTTAATAACGCTCTTGGGGCCGAGGAGATCATCGAGTCGCTTACTGAGCAGACCATGAACCAGTCCGAGGAGATCAAGGAGCTTCGGGCCGTCATTGATGACCTTGAGAGTCTAAAGGAGATCAATGACGAGCTGGAGATCAACCATGTTCAGAACGAAAAGGAGATGCAGGAGGAGATCGACTTGAAGGACGCCGTCATCGCCGAGCAGTTCCGCCAGGCCAACCTGCAGAGGGAGAGCTTGGAGGACATGGAGTACACGCTCTCCAGGTTCAGAGAATTGGTTACGAGCTTGCAGAGCGATTTGGAGGACATGCGTGCTTCGCATGCTGTCACTGAGAACGAGTCTGAGCAGCTCAACAGCCGCTCGCGTGCCATGTTGGATCTCAACATGAAGCTACAGATCTCGGCCTCCAAGGCTCAAGTCAAGACTATTGATCTTGAGTTGCGGCGCATGGAGGCCCAGGAGGCTGAGCAACATCTTGAGATTGTCAAGCTGTTCTTGCCTGACACTTACCAGTCTGATCGTGACTCTGTCTTGGCCCTGCTCAGGTTCAAGCGTCTGGCTTTCAAGGCCAACTTGTTGAACGGCTTCATCAAGGAGCGTGTCAATGGCCAACCGCACCCCGGCCACGAAGACGACATCTTTGACGGGTGCGACGCCATTGACAAGCTCACCTGGGTGTCGGCCATGTGCGACCGGTTCGTCAATGCAATCAGCCACTGCTCCTTGGAGCAGTTTGCCAGGTACGAGGGCGCCTTGTACGAGTTGGAGCCTGTTGAGCGTGCTCTTAACGGCTGGATTGATGGTTTGAGGCGTGACGATCTCAAGGAGAAGCAATGTGCGGACGAGCTCAAGCGCACGATTGCTCTCATGACCCATCTTAGCGAGGTCCACATCTCTAATGACCTTGAGAGCTTCGCCGATGATGTTCACATGAGGGCCCTGCTTATGCAGAGTCATCTGGAATCAGCCGCCAACTCATTCAATTCACTCAAGGGCATGGTTCAGCGTGTCATCCCTCCCACCGGCGAAGACGACGAGCTTGCTCAGTACTTCTCCAAGCGTGCCGAAGCTGTTGTCTCCCAGACACGCAGCGCAAAGGTTATTGCCGGCAAGACCGTCCGCGCGCTTGAGGACCTCAAGACACGTTCCCTCTCCCTCACCCCGGATACCCTCGAAGCCTTCGAGCAATCCGAAGCTGCCACGCGCGACCTTGCCAACATGGCTCGCCAGATCGGCCTCGATTTACACGCTTTCCTCCACGAAGAAGGCCGCACTGAGCCCTACAACTACATGGAAGTGCAATCCTGCATTCAGCGCTCCGCGCAAGCCTCTTCCCCCACCGCCTCCTCTCCGGAGTCTGACCTCTTCAACACCTACCTCTCCCACCTGCGCAATACCACCTCCAACATCTCCGACCTCGCCTCCCTGGCCTCCGACCTTGCCCAAACGCTGGAATTCGACCGCACCCCTGCGCCCTGGATTCTGCGCTCCGCCGAGCTCAAGGCTGCCAAGACCGTTGCTCCCGACATCGACGACGAACTCCGTCGCTTGCGGGACGACATCGCCGAAGCGCGCCGCTCCATCGCCGTGCGCGAGGAGATGCTCTCTACAGCGCAAGTCAAGATCGAGACGCTCGAATCCCGCATGCGCGATGCCAACGCCAAGGCCGCGCGCATCGTCGATCTCGAAGCGGACTTGCAAGCCGCCAAGAAGGAGGCTCAACAACTGCAAGAGGACATGGAGAAGCAAGATCGCGAGCTCAAAGCTTTGGAGAGCGACAGAGACAAGTGGAAGAAGATTGCTTCCGAGTCGCGCGTCGTCGTGGCCGATGGCTCCGGCGTTGGCGTTGACA